AGAAATGGGGAGAAGACGTTATCTGGATTTGTCTTACGCTCCATCTTAGTCCAACAATTGTGTTGGTCACTTTTTTTGAATAATCAAAGTCATTAGGTGCTCTGTCGTTTCCTCCTCAGCATTGTTCCACAGTCCATTCATTGGCAGTTAAGTCCTATTACTTTGCTCTCAGTGACTTTGCCTACACCTACCTTGACTTTTTTAAAGAAGAGCAATAAATCACAGTGACACTGGAATCAATTGCAGAACGAGTGGCACTAAATTCTTTACTTCCATGAAGTGAGCTGCTTTAGTTTATGATTCTGCCTCAGTTCCTCTGCTTGTCCATGTGCCTTTTGGGCTGTTTTCAGATTATCTCAGAAAGTCACTTTGAAGTTAACTACCAACTGGGCTACTCATTGATGTGAGAGGTATATACTTTTTTTTTAAATGATATATTAACTTTTGCTATGCCAGCTGTTTGAGACAGCAGTTTATTCTACAGGTCTCTTGGGACCGATGTTCCATACATTTGTGGAATTAGGGTTGAGTTCATGGAAGCAGAACCGCTAAATGGTGGATGAATTCTTTGGGCCACATACTTAAATGTGGTTAAGTTATTTCGGAGTTTCATTTCAATTTAATGCCTTGGCATAAGCAGTGTGGATTATACTTGAGTCTACTCACATATTTGAAATATATCTAATTAAAGCAAAATTGAAGCTTTTTCTGATTTACGGGTAATTCATTCAATTTTAAATCAATATTCAGAGTTTGAAGCTGGGTTCTTTTTAGTCTTTTTACTGGTAAATTCTAACTTTGAAAAAGGTTTTGATTGGTCAGACGTGTGCCGCTCTGCCTACCAAACATTGCTCTTTGGTGGAAAAACAACTTAATGGTCTTCTTCTTGACTTTGATGAAGAGAACTCAAGTTGGTATTGAGGAGGAAATGTGTTAGGGATGATTAGTTATGAATGCCACGCATTTGAGAGGGTCAAATGGCAATCTTACCAACAGAGTTATCCCTAAACCTGAGGTGTGTTTCTACCTTCTACTTTATCTTTAAAATGACTCACAAAAGTGCATTTGTAGGAAGCTTCAAAATAGGCTTGAAGAAATGTTGACGGCCGTTTTGTTGTTCTTCCCGAAAGGAAATTCCGTCCAATCATTGTCCATATCATGTGTTCTGTGAGGGCAGAAAATGAGTTTGTGGGAAGAGGAAGAAAAGAATCCCTCAGAATATTTAACAAGCCTTTCTGATGGGGCCAGAGGTCTTCCCATGAATAATACATGAGGGCTGAGAGAGGATGAGGAACAGACATTTTGACACTGTTGGACCAAGGCTTCCAAGGGGAAAGTGAACATGCCGGCTCTGCTGGGTGAGCGGTTTTACTGGCTCGGCCAGTGGAGCTTTTCACCACCTCTGCAGGGCTTTCTTATCGTCCACAGACCCGTGAGACATTACTGCACTCCTAATGCATTGGCCTTAACTTCAAGTTTGAGGTTGATGGTTTTTACTGCCTGGCTGGTTGCTTTGAAGAAATGAATAACCGGTGTTGAGGGTTCCCTGTTGTTTGCCTCTGTTGATTCATTTAAACCCCTTTTGTATGTTCGGTGTTACACAAAGATACATCTGAAGGTCACATGTACAGCTCCGCGGCCTCAGATTTAATATTGGCTTTCTGGCATCTGGGAATGATGTGGTGAGAGAGAGAGAGAGAGAGAGAGAGTCTAAGGGAATATCACCAAGAGTCAGAATGAGAAATATTTGATTGATATTTGCGCTCATGCTTGTAAATGTGAATGTTTGGGTAGTTGTGGCCTTTCAGCCTGCATGAACATCTGGATGGACTGGCCTGTGCTATAATTCATAAAGCCTCATTAAAATGCTAAAAGTTTTGGCTTTAAAGTCACTGTGACACTCCCCGCCCCCTCCCCGGTCTGCTGTAAGCAACAGGACCTGCATACTGATCAGAACTCTGATTGATCTACCTAAGTGGCTGCAATTAAACAGAAGTTACCCAACGCATGCATGCAACTACACACACACACATGAACACACACGTGTGGTCATCTCATGCTACATGTCGATGCATTCATTGTTAAGCATTTGATCCTAATGTGGAGCTAGTCCCCTTTGACACGTTCACTCCGCCCATCACTGATTATGCATTGGATAATGTGACACCTTCGCCCCTCGAACAGACAAAAGGTGACATTAAACGATGAATATAAAGCAGTAGAAAGGACCCTTTCCACCGGTAAGGGTTGGTGAATTGCGTGATGGCTGCAACCTTTGTTGCAGACTCCTGAAAGGCATTAACAATGCAGTGAGTCACACCTCATCCGTATGGGAAGTATCTCTATGCCTGTGTTGCTTGAGTGTATTCTGACTGGTCGTGTGTACTCTCTCAATGCTAACATGTCAAGCTAATTTGTCTTCAAATACGTTGACATTGAATGTTGCCTAAGACGTTGTGTTACAGTTACACCATTCCAGGTCTTTTATGAACGCTGATACTGTGCATTGGACACCAAAGAGCTGCATGAGGTGTTTGACAGAAAGCTCTTGGGGGTCAGTGTTCTCAGTTTAGAGCACCACTGGCAGTCTATTTCACCTTGCCTTTCCCAAAATACATTTCTTGGTCTGTCATCAAAAGTCTGACTCAGACTAAGAGCTCTGGGGCCTGGAAATGGAAACTGATTTACTGCTGCACTCTCAAGACAATTCCGCATAAAATGTAATATGGTCAGCCGGACGGAGAGAGAGCGCGATAGGGTGAGCTGAACTACAGAGGTGGCCTCAACACCCTTCAGTAGACCTCCATCAGCCAGCTCAGGACTTTTTCTGTTGCTCCCACATGGTCAAGCTTACACCAAATCGTTACATATTTTCAGCAAAAGAGGAAGCGGACAGTGAAATGGTAAAAGGCAAAGGGGACCCGAGGTCAGAGGGATAGTTATGGTGTTCCGTTCGTCCTTCATCCTACATGTATTAATCTCTTAATCCGTAATAGCATACACATCAGTTCCTCAGACTCTGCCATTTACAATGTCAGTCTTTAGCTCACAAGTTAACGGAAGACGATTCACGCTCATATTGCCCTTTAATTAAAATGGATATTTGGATTTGCCCCCCTCTCGCCCCTTGACTCCAGTCCCCCCCACCCCCTCCCCCTCCCGCGACTCTGTACGACGGATAAGCAGTTTGAAGATGGATGGATGTGCATTCAAATCCTGGCTGTGGTATTTTGAGGCCCTTTTATGTGCCGTGTTGCATCATGTAATCCATTGGTGTAAGATTTAGTGCCCGGGACTGTGTGAGCTGTCACAGGACCCGGCTACGCACTTGGAGCCAGATGATGGGCCACCCAAAATGCCCCCCTCAATACTTAATCTCGGCGTGATGAAACATCTCCTGAGGCATGCTGTTCCTCTTTATCATTCTCACCTGCTGTTGTAAATCAAGGTCGGCGTTTTACAACGTGGATTCACATTTCTGTCGGATTTTTCGTTGTGTCATGCAGCCCGAAGGAACAAATAATCTGATCAGACGAGTAATTTAATTATGCCCACATATAAAAAAAGGAGAAGAAGATGGAATGCCTTGTTTACTCTGTTTTCCCATTCAGTATGATTCAGATGGGGGGTCAAGCTGTAAGTCACGGGGAGTTGAAGAATGTTCAGTGAAGGAAATTACAAAAAAGTTGTATCACAAAGTTTAATCAGAAATACACTATTAAAAATGTAACCTGTGTACTTGGAAATTATGTCATACGGCATATAAGGTACATAATGTATGTTATTTTCATTATTGTTTATATATAACAGTATTGATTGTTGTTGATTTTTTATTTTAAGTATGTACCTTTAAATAGACTCATTCCCGGATGTCAAATCAAATCACTGACATTTTGAAATACCATCTCTCTTTGTCTCAATGCTGCATTGCGATTTCTCCGGCATGTAGCCAAAAACTCTTTTTGTTTTCACCTCCAGTCCATCAGGTGAGATCATGTTTAGCTTGAATAATAACCGACTTTGAAGCCCACCTGCAGCAATAGTTTACCTTGCAAACAAGCGGTGCTGTTTTCTTTACAAGCAATGCCAAGTATGTCTACATCTAGACACCCACATGCTTTCCATTATCCCAAGAGAGCTCTACTGAATAGTCACATATCACAACCAAATACCCTCACTGGGCCGAGCATCTCCCTACATCAATGGGAGCTGGTCAGAGGTGAACCTCAGTGCAGGTCTACTCTCACAGGGTGGAGCAGATATGTCGGTTGGGGATGTAAGGTGGAACAAGTTGGGGGAAATGCAATTTACAAATGGACCATTGGAAGTAATTCACACCCTTGTGGGAGTGTGTGCCCAAGGATATGGGTGCATGTACTGTATGCGTGGGAATGAGTGTGTGTGTGTGTCAAGATAAAAGATGATTCCGAAATGGCTTCGGCTTTAACAACTGAATAAGTGGCTGGTAAGGAACATACCTCATTTACATACAGATCAGGAGGCACTATAAGTGTGTGTGTGTGTGAAATATAATACTATTACTTTATCGAAGCAGTGAAAGGACTGTCCTCTCTCTCTCTCTAAATGCCACCAATGATCTTTCCTCTCCCATTTTTTTATTGGGCCACAGTTTGGTTAAGAGCCATTAACGTAATAGTGTGTCTTTAGTACTAAACCTTCCTTTTATTGGATCTTTAATGTGTAACATTTTAACATCTCTGAGACTAGGCCACAGTCATTTCCAAACATTAGTATAATTACCATAAACAAACTCGGCATACCACAATCACCAGCATTGTCATGCTTAATTAATAAAGCAGTGTTATATGAAGGAACTTGGGTACACGTTGTGTACGGAGGCTTCGTCTGAGTGTTTAGACTGACACTGCATGTAGGACCGTGTTGTTTAACCTTTAACCAACCTTTAACCAACATTTTAAGATGCTATTAAATACGATTGATAACCAAATGCACTCTTTTCCCCATGTCTGTGTCTACAGGTTCACTGGCCCTAACCTCCCCTCACCCATCATCAGCAGCAAGAATTGGCTCCGGCTTCACTTTACCTCAGATGGCAACCACAAGTTGAGAGGTTTCAGCGCCCAGTACCAAGGTGAGATGAAGACAGGTTTTGATGCCTTTCACCAAGGCAACAGCGAAACAATGCTGTGTTTTTATTATATCTATGTATTCTTGGTCATCTGAAGAGAGCTTTTCATGGTCGTTTTTCACTAACTCTCCCATCATGAGATATCCGCATCAAGTGCCTAACATGTATCTCATGAAATAAGGAAGGAAAGGCAGGAAAATTGATTAGTTCATCTAGAATAAAGGTGATCTCCAAGGACCTCACCTCCAGCCTACGCTGGAAACCTTAGAGTCAATGGGACAAGAACAAAAACCGAGAGAAATAAGAAAGACAAGGAGAGACAGGAGGATTTTTACCAGGTTTACAGGTTACATTTTGGATAAACATATTAAGAAGACCAGAGAGAACCTGGAGGCTAATACTTTAATTGGATTAAGCACTCTTGCAGCCTCCGTCTCCTCACAGACTTTTTCCTCATGACAGTTCCCATGATTCATGCAACTACGGAGTAATGTAGACTGCTGGCTCTGTTTATTTTATTTTATTCTTTAATGTCCTTCCTTTTGTGCGGCACAAGAAACAGCCACACTGTATCAAACCTTCCCTCGAAACACATCCGAAAAAAGTTTTCTATTGGGTGTTTTTTCGAGAAGAATAATGAACAGAATGTGGCGCAGGGGGTAGAGCGGGTGCGCTGGGAACTGCAAGGTTGGTGGTTCGAGTTCTGGCTGCCCCCTGTCTCAAGTTGAAGTGTCCCTGAGCAAGACACCAAACCCCTAATTGCTCCCCAGGCTAAAATGTGAAAACAGCCATGGGTTTAAAGTGTAATGTTAGTCGCTTTGGATAAAAGCGTCAGCTAAATGACCTGTAATGTAACATACTTTTTGACACATGACTTGGATTGGCATTGAAATGGAAAACCATTAAAGTAAAGAATAAAAGGTATTCATGCCAAATAAGTTAGCTTCTGTCTTTGCAAACTACAAAAGTATTTCAAAAGAATCCTGTACATTGATGAGCTCTCTTCTTCTATGTAAACTAAATGTAGAATTGTCATTGACTAAAATGACAAATCTGCAGTATGCTATAGTGTATGGTGTATTCAATGGTGTGTGGAACATTTTACATTATATATTGTATCTGCTGCAAACAAGAGGCAGTCCTGAAACGTGATTCTGCTCTTTGCTTTTTTATCTTCCACAGTGAAGAAGATGACTGAGCTAAAGTCTCGAGGTGTGAAGATGTTGCCTAGCAAAGACAACCACCACAAGATCTCAGTGTGTAAGTAGAGAACCGTAACTGTCAAATTGCAAAATCTTTCCCTGTCCCTCTTCTGCTCACCGCTTATTGTCCCATTCAGCTTTATTGGAACATCTCTAACGTCAACAATTTGACAGAGATAAGTCACCTGACTAGAGTGAGGGATGCCAAGACACGCTTTTCCGACAAAAAAAAAGATGCTTTCATGTTAATCCTGCATCAAAGTCGATTACAATTATGTTTATGCACTTCTACCTTTAACTTTATTTTTTGCTTTTAATACCTACATCTCTTCTATTTTCCTTTCATTTGCATTGCTTTTAATGCATTTTATTTTCCCTGCATAATTTGTCTGCCTGTTGCCACAGAATAAAAAATACAGACATTGTGGAAAATGTTTTATTACTTTGAGGTTATTACCCCCTGCATCCAAAATATCATTTTAGTCTTTCTAAATGCATCAACATTTAAACTGGAAACATGCAAATTTCGCCCCACTGAAAAGGTAGACTTAATTCCTGCAACCACTTCACTTTCTACTACTATATTCAAATATTGATTTAGCATTTAACAATCAACAAGTTTTTTTAATAATAAGACGAAACGCAGTATCTGCTATGACTGTATGACAAAGCTTGGCGGGCAAAGTCCCACATTCCACAGTTAGTGAACACAACAGTGAGTCTCGTTTTTTTAGTTTTTAATCCCCTCTGCTCATCCCAATTAGCCTTGTTTAAAATGCATTGGTATCTTGCCTCACAATGGGATCTTGGCGAATGAGCAGGTGTCACATTGGTTTGGCTCTGCCGACCTCTGACCCCTCCCAGTCAGTCAGATGGGTTCTCTGGGTTGGCCAAGTTTATTTGACCCCTCCTGGCAGTCTGCCTTTCGCTGTTTTGCACCCAGTGACACGAATAAACTGAGCACCACCAGGAACCGTAAAGGTGAATGACGAATGAACCCATGTGCTCAGAGTGAGAGCACCATGCATATCAATGAATCAAAATGAATACCAATGTTCTTTAAAATAATATATATATATATATATATATATATATATATATATATATATATATATATATATATATATATATATATATATATTTGTATTAGTTTTGTTTGTGTTTTTATGGGAACAATGGTTGTTGCATTGATAAACAACAATACAGCCAACATGTGGTGTCAATATTTCCCCCCATTATTCATAACGGATGGGTGAGTGTAGTGCAACAATCTTTTAAAAGTGCATGGTCATCTTCATATCAATGGAAATCTTCCCGAAATGCATCAAAATGGAACATTTTCCGAACATTTTTTTTTAGACTCTCTTTTGTTGGACAATCTGTAATCTAATTTTCTCTCTGTATTCTCCAATTAGTGTCTCAGATGGGTGTCGCGCAGGGACACAACATGTGTCCAGACCCAGGGATCCCTGATCGAGGAAAAAGAAAAGGCACCGACTTTAGGTAAAACATTAAGCTGAGAATGTTTTCAGGACCAATTAATTCAATGACAATTGTCACAATGGGCAGATAGATTATTCATTTTGTTACAAAAGATGGTAATCAGGTTTGTAAGAATTGCTTTCCTTTAAAACAAGTGATGACCTTATTAAGCTAAAATAACTAACTGGTGACTTTTTTTCTGTTCTCATTATAGATATTTTTCTGATGTTTTAATGGAACTTTAGTCGTATTTCTTTAAATATGTCTCTTTAACAAAAGGTTTTGAGTTTTCTAATTTAATGATTGAGGTCCTAGTTGGTAGTGCTCTGTGAAAGTTTGTTAGAATTTTTGTTCTTCACTTGCATCTACGGTTGATTTATCTTGAGTTTAATTAGTTCCGTTTCCAGTTTCTCTGGGAAGTAGAGAAGAAAACTTAGCTGCTGCAATAATTGGACAACGTTCATTGGTCAATGACATCGGAATGACCAATATTTTAAGGCAAATTATTATTATTATTAATAATAATAATACTTATTATTATTATTAGCTAATTAATTCCCAAACTTAACTTTGTTCACAGTTGAGATTGAATCAACAGTGAGCTGGGAGTAAACTCAGTGACTGGGTCTTGAAATGGGTCTTCTCGAGGATACAGCACATTACCCAATGGAATGCCCCATAAAGCCGCTGCACGCAGACCAGATTCAGAGAAAGCTACACTAAAACCAATACCCCACCGTTAGAGCCGCTGCACACTAATAGGCTGCTTCCGTGGCATGGTCATAGTACCACGGGATGGGACTATGGACTTTCCCCAGCCAGCCTTTGTCTCCATCAGTGGTCAACTGTAACACAGACAAATGGGGAACATCTGCCTCCCACAATGCACTTTTGTAAATCACACCCTGGGAAAAATATTAACGTCTTAAGCTCTCTTAAGCACTCACTGCTGAAATGTGATTTTCCACAGGCGTGTTTGCGATGCTGATGTGTTTCCCCTTTGTGTAATCTGAATGCAGGCGAGGAGCCACGGTGCATTTCTCCTGCGACGAGGGTTATGAACTGCAGGGCTCCAAGAGCATCAGCTGCCTCAGAGTGACAGACAGCTACGTAGGCTGGAGTGACGATCGGCCCATATGCAGAGGTGAGGGTCGACGTGTGGGCTGTCCATCTGTGCAGTGTGTGTAATGGTGATTACATAATGATGAAATAACTCACAAATATATTTCCATAGTTTTTGTGTTTGCTGTGCATATTAATAATGCTATTGTGACTGCCCTGAGTTTGACCTCTGTTAAGTCAAGCTGGTATAGTGCTGCCCTTCAGTCATATCTCCCTCACATCTTACCGTTTTGGGACAGCGAGGAATAGTGGTCATACTCCCTGTGTGGTGTTCCCATTGCAGTTTTCAGCCTCAGTCAACCGAATTAATCTGAGTTAATTTGATTTTTGACTTTTTCAGTGTTGAATAATTGGTTAAATTGATTGTTATCTGACCTGTAAAGCATATTCGTTGAAGCGGGACTTAAATTGTCAGGTGTTACGTTTCACTTTATCCATCCAAATGCAGGTAATAATCAGTGTATTATTACTCCAAATTAATCTTGAAATTACAAAATGCTTAATCATAAGTCTATATGTATAAAGTAATGACTCCGACACTTCTCAGCCTTCTCGGCTCCTAATCGGGCTGTAAACAGCAAGCAACCCTAGTTAGATGTGTTCACCCTAAATCTAACCATCTCACCGATGCCTAAACCTAACCAATTCGACTAACTAAGGCAAAGAGCACCAGCCAATCAGAAGCAAGCCTTTGCTATAGCAGGATTTGCCCATTAGAGCCCTTAAACACCTTAATCTCTGATGATGAAAAGGTCTACTCTAATCACCTGCAGTATCCTCTTTGGGTTCACATACAGGACATTGATGTTACTCTTCTTCACTCAATGTATCAATCCTGCTTCCCACAACTTGCTCTATTAATTTCTTTTGTCTCTCATTTTTTCTCGTTCTATTATCCTCATTTAACTTTCGGTACTGGGCCTTTGTTCTGCTTCAAAGAAGGTGTTCAAAATGACTCAGGAATAATAGAAGCTAACTAAATTAGCATTAGTCATCATTACATTTGACATTATCATCATGAGGGAAGTAAAAAGATATATAATCTCTGGCTGCAGATGCATTGACCTGACATTAAATTGACTGTTCTCTGTGTGTTCATGTTGCTGATACACTTTAAAGCCTATCACTGATCACATATGGTGTGGGATTATCTAGCACAATGGTAAAAAAAAAGAAAATGGGATTGGATATGAAAGTTCCAGCGGACATCCTCTGTGCCTCATTGTTTTCATTAAGGTCACCCTAACTGTCAGCACAGCTCAGGTTAATTACTTTATTGTCCCTTAAAGGCTGCCAACGTTCTTTTAACATTTTAACAAGCGTGTTAGTGGGAAGGGCTGGAGTATGGAGACACTGAGTGGGACTTAAATAGCCGTACGACTCATGAATTTGTGGTAGGTGGTTCTTTCAAATAGTTTCACGTTATCCCAAAACACACACTCACTCGTTTCCCTTTAAGTTCTCACTTGAATTTCCGCTTTAAATTGAAGCGGTAGGTGTTTTAACAGTTCTGCCTTGTAGACACCCTCAGGCCCCAAAAAGCCATATTGTCTTTTAAAGCTTGGTTTGCTTACTGTGCAACTTTTTTAAAACCAGAATATAACTTTAAACCGACTTGTGTCGTCTTTGGTAGATGTATTTTTCCTTTCATGAAGTCCCCACACACATCTCCTACACTATATTATGGGCAGGGCCCGACTATTATATATTAGGGCTGTCAACATTAATGCATTAATCTATGCAATTAATGTGGCCTAGATTAATGCAACAAAATATTTTAACGTAGTTAACATTCGTTTTGAAGTAAACCGGAAGTTGACCGCGGAAACGACACGGCCGCTAGCTGCAGTCAGTTACATCGAGATGGAGATAGCTTTTTGCATTGTACGTAAAACAAACAGTGGTGCGACATATAGCAGAGAACTGTGCAGAGGAATCCCTCCAGGTGTCAAACAGGAGGGGGGTGAGTGAGAAACGGACCACTTAAAGCACGGCCATGTTATGCTAGCTGCTATGCTACTTCCATCTCGACGTCTAATGTTACCGTGCGCGGCCCACGGTCTGCAAAGAACCACCACTGTGTCCCTAAAAGACGTGGTTTGAAAACGTCCTGGCTAAATGTGGGGAGATTATTGGCACTTTAAACACAGCCGTTTTTTTTTATTATGGAGAGTTGAGAGCAAAGTGCACGAGGACCGCAGGAAAGGTCGCTAGTTCATCCGGTGGAATTCTGCCTCCCAGATGATCAGAGGTGTGTAGTTTTGTGTTTAAAATAACATTAACAATGAAACAACAGTGTCTAAAATACACACTTTCTAAAGTGATTACTCATTACTTTTAAGATTTACTCTTTCGAAGAAAAACAAACATTCATTATAAACAACATTGCAACAACAACAACATTTATTAATCGCCATTAATCGAGATTAATGAATTTCAAAATGTGCAATTTATTTTTTTTTTTCTATTGACAGCCCTATTATATATTAATGTAGTTCCCTCCTTTATTTGAAACTTTGAAACCCCTTGAAAACTAGTTAACGTTTTTAGGCCAGTTATCACGATTTGAGGTAATTTCTCTTAGAGGTCTGGGGTTTTTCCAATTTTGTAAGTTGAACCCCTCTTTCAATCGTCTGATCCTATTGGATCCGAGTAGCATGACGTGATAAAGAGCGCCACCTCCCTGGGCCATGCAGAAGTCAGAACGTATTGAGCGTAAAATGATGCGTAGAGTGATGGATGATGCCCGTCTCTGAAATTTCCCCCCGGAACCCTCTAACTTGGCCCAAAAAACAGCGTGAATCTTTCCAGACAAGCACAAGATGGCAGCTGGATACATTTCAGTCTAAAAACACCTCATTAAATTAATATTTCCATTTAGCAGTTAGGATTAATATGATTCAGGTGCTTGGCGTTTGGTTCCAAATTAATTAATTAATATTTCAATAATCACCATGGAACGCTCTTGCTGTTTCGTGTCCCTTTGTTTCTGTTAACTGCACGCTTCGCCCGATGAATAATATATATGCTGCACTAATTTGCATTGGATTGTTTTCTAACTCTTTCAATACTTCTGCAGTTGTTTGGATATGGGTTTGTTGTAGCCAAGACTCCACCGTTTCTGAGGGTGTGCGGTATTGCTATATTTGTTTGTGATGAGTGTTTTTCATGAGATCCTATACGGCAGAATTATCGAGTTTCAACGGGGTTAGCCCCCTTTAATGCCGGCTCTGGGGAACAACGGCAGATGATCATGACTTTTACTCTTAAAATAACTCACCGAGATAATATTAACTCTCCAGTGTGGCCTGAATGGTGTGATTTATGGGTTTGATTGAGTCTTTCATTGTGCTACTGAACATGGTGACACACCAAATTGGCAAGTCAAGTGTTTAAAGGATGCACAGCAGTTAATGATGGTTTAAGAAGGACATGCTATCATTACCACGCCGAGCAGTTTCAACTCCTGGATTTCAAAATAAAATCCATGAGTCAGTTTGACGGATGCTCCATCTTTATAAATAAAAATGTGTGCGTTTAAACCGTCAATGACGAAACGTTTGCCAATTTCTATGTCTTCCCTTGTAGCACCAATGTGCGGAGGCCAGTTGAAAGGACCCAGTGGTGTCATCACCTCTCCAAACTACCCGGTCCAGTATGACAACAATGCCAACTGCACTTGGCTGATCACAGCCACGGACACATCTAAGGTAAAAAGCATTGAATGTGGGGATTATCCAACTGTGCAGTGCTAATGTAGCTTTGTCACTGTAATTGCCTAATTCCAGCAGTGTGTTAAGTGGTAGGTTTAGCTGCCAGCACACTGAAAAACATTTAACTGCTAGAATCTCTTCTCTGACACGCAAGACTCTTTTTCTAATTGCCACAGGACATGGTTGGAGTTTGTTGAGCATACCGTGTGACTTAAGATCCCTCTTTCAAAATGTGCGACATCAGGAAGAGGAAATAAGTGGGAGTAAATAGTGCAACTGATCAAACAGAAGACAAAATGAGTTGTTAGGATCACCTGTGGTGAGGAAGATGAGAAAACAGCAAAAATGAAAGGAAGGGAGGGATGGATTTGTGATCATGAAAGTGTCGTAGTCACTCTGTTCAGGCTATTGACTTTGGAGTTGTGTTCAAGGCTACCCAGCCGCGCTCCTGCCAAATATCCTTCTCTGAACTCCGTCAAAATGGTTGTACAAATGTGCTCTCTTATTGCTCTTTGCAGAGTTAAGGAGAGGCTGTGAGGTGAGAGTCAAGGCTAGTCAGATACATAGAATCTACACCTACCCAACCCCACCCTTTGCTTGCATGCATACACACACACACATATATGGACACCATTGTGTTTGCCAAGCCGGCAGGCAGCTTGCTGAAACAGACAAAAGTACTTTGGGCTGTCTCTCGCTCTGTTGTATGGTGCAGATGATGATGGAGCGAGGCAGTTCTCTCTGTTTAGAAATGTAATGGGCTCATATTCCTGCCCGACCGCAGAGGCCCAGCCAGAGGAGACGCTAGGTCAGGCAGGAGACCGAGGCGAAAAATGCCGAGGGAGGCGGGTAGGACGTGACCATGCTGCTCTTCATAACCTAAATGTAGCCTGGTGCTATTATGAATAATGGGGGTCCTTGTCTTGATGTCGCTTCATCGGTATGTCCTGAAGGGACCCAATGAAGCAGCTTTTTTGTAGGCAATCATTCACGTGTTTATCCGTCAGTGTCGGGGACACTGGGGTGTCTTTTCAACAAAAATGGCAGACGTGACGTCAGAGACGGCAAACATATATATAGTTTGATATATTAGATATTTCTTTTTATATATATATTTCGTCTTTGTTTATTTCACCCCAACTTCCTGCGTCACCTGTTGGCTTGCAGATGGAGGATGAGTTGGTGCTGTGTAACTCTTTTTATCCAGTGATCTGACCTATTTTGCCTACACACCATCCATCTCTTTTCTCCCCCATGGCAATTTTCATTAGGCAGCGGGTTTAACATAAGACGGAATGCAATTTGCATTTATATAAGCTTTTTCATTTGGCCCGACGGTCTGAGCCCTCTGAAAACATTACGAATTTGGCAGAAATCATTGGCAGCCAATTTATAATAGGAGATAAAGACAGTCCTTGTTTTACTTTTTGTTTATTTATATTTTGGTCAAACATTATGTTTTGTTTTGTCCATGCACTATTGTGATCAAACCATATTTGTCAGTCTGTTTTTATTAGAGGCCCTTTGCTTCCTTGAGCTATGGCACGTTTATTGATTATTTTACCTTGTTCAGCCTTCACTCCCACACGCTCACCTGCAGCATAGAAATGAGGCCAAATGAAAAGGTCTGATCTTTTTTCCACCAAAACCCAATTCATAAATATTTGAGAACTTATGTGTCACCTTTTATGATTATAAACTCACCTTGCGGGTAACCTCAAATTCCCTGTCACATCTCCTGATGTGCTTAAAGTCATTGGGAGTCTGGTTGAATGGGCCACAAAGGCATCTGCAACCTGCTGATTTGATGAGCGAGCCAGCCAGTAGGGGGTCATGCAGACCGTCTGGCAGGCAATCAGATTTTTGATTGGTGGGTAAGGTATCATAATCACTAGAGGGGGAAGTCCGATGGGGCTAAATGTACACAGCCGCATGTCAGAACCGTGAAGGTGAACGTAGGCGTGTGTGGATTTACGGTAAAGTGAACACATTGATAACGTGCGTTGATGTAATTGTGTCCGGAAAAAAATATCCAAAAGAGACTGACAGATGGACGGTCACAGATGTGCAGAGGTCTCTCCTCTCCACCTGGTGTCAGGGGCATTCAGGCATCTGTCGCTTACAGTTGTGTTGGCAATGTACCTGCTGTTGTCTAGGTGATCAAGCTGACATTTGAGGATTTTGACCTGGAGCGAGGCTACGACACCCTTACAGTGGGGGACGGCGAGGTGGTGGGAGACCAGAAGACCATCTTCCACGTGTGAGTGACACGATTCCTATCTTTTTCCCTTTAATCACTCTGCTGTTCTCCAACTTCGACTTGCTTTTAGTCTTTAGTTTTCACTTTCCTCTTCTACTTATGCGCACACTTGTTTATTCTCCTCTTCTGATTCCTTGCAGCGGGGCAGCATCCCTCTCTTTCCCCTTTACCCTCCAGCCCTTTTCTCACAGTTGTGCTATTTTCCTTTTATTTCATCACCACAGGTGGGGATGCAGCAGTGCATGAAAAGTAGCTGCCGCGCCACCTTGTCAATCATCACTCGTTTTGATGTTAAAAACAAAGATCACAGCGTTGTGCATCAGCTTTGCAAACTGCATATTGATTCCCCTAATGGAGGTTGCCATAGCAGATGCTCCATAACAATCCACAGGGTGTTGTTATTAATTGCGCCGCAATTTACCACCTTAATAAAAGATTTTTATATGAGATGACCTCACGGGGGTGAAAACTGAATGGAGGTGGGAAATAAATGAGGGATATGTGTGGAGGAGGGGTTTGTTGTTAAGGGGAGATTACTGATATTCTTGCACCTACTCGCACAACACAGAAAAATGCCTAATCTCTTCTTCGACTTTGCCCTTTGCCGTTTTCTCATTGAGATCAGATGCACTCTTGCACACAAACTAACTGTAACAATTTAGAAGTAAATACTAGATAATATACTGCAGCTATCTGCTCAGTTCCATTTCAGACTATATTTGTGATTCAGTGGAGCAGGCCAGTGTGTGTGCTTTGAGGAGGATTTTTATTTCGTGTGTTTTATTTGTAAGATCATTTCACCGTTTTGCACCGCATGCATGTGGTGGTTAATAACAGATGAGACACATCCGATCGAATCCCCTCATTTCACTTGAAAGACACTTGTGTCCTGACACTTTAATAATGGAACATACCACTTTGGTAAGTCTACCTCGACCTTTTTCCCACAGGGGAAATGATGTCCGTGTATCTGAGGAAAATAATTTACATGAGCAGATAGACTTCCCAAACAGCCCAACAAAAGGATATTTGTTTTAGACATTGATTTCCTTTCAGGACGTTATTACACACTGACCTTGTTAGGTTAGATGTTCCATAACATTATCTATACCTGCATGCCTGCGTTGCATGCCAATTCATATATTTTTATCAGTCCATCAGGCTGCAATTCATCTAAGGAATGAGCTTTAGTTTTAGGAATGAAAATAATTAAATAATAGGGGAAGGCAAGGGGGAATCACAATAATCGGATAAACTATGGGGCTTCTATGGATTTACTTCATTTTGCATCTTTCTCGCAACCTATTCATAGACAAATAGAAAAGAAAGTCGCCACCAATTACAATAAGGCTGTAAGAAAGGACCAAACACAGACCCAACGTATCCAGACACTGCCTTACCACCTACACCATCCTTTGTGTGCCATCACTAAAATTAAATCCCCTAATCACTTACTCCTCAGCCATACACCTCCTAATTAGAGTTGGGGGAATTACTATTCAAACAGGATTAAATTACTTCCGTGGCATTGACTGATCTTGCCTTCATTTTCCACTTTCCTGTCCTCGACTGTTTTGAACTGAAAGGCTCGGCTGGAAAAAAGGCGTCTCGGAGTAGAATTGCCTGCAACCATTATGGAGCACTTTTCTTTGATGATTAAAGTCAGATAGTTTAATATGTAACTTCAGGTGTTGTTGTCTTACTGCTTGCATGGAAGTTTTAATGATGCAGCGACTGCTGTAAGTGCAGACACTGCTCACAATGCTTTAACCAGACAACTGACTCCCCTTGGAGTCATACTATGTGAAGCTTCCTGACACAAAATGTTCACAACACATTTAGAAGAACCTCTCCTCTTGTCTCTTCCTTTTTTTTCAGCCTGTCTGGAACCACCACTCCAGACCTTGTGGTTAGCACCAGCAACCTGATGTGGCTTAACTTTAAAACAGACGACACCAGTGGCTCTCTGGGATTCAAGGTGTCCTATGAAGGTAAGGGTGCTTCAGACGTTTTGGATCCTCCATCCGTATCATCTAACACTTTTGCAGGGAAGCTTGACATAAAGTAATAAGCATGTCACCCGCTGCAACTCTGGTTCACAGCTCGACTAGTACTAACTAACTAGTCAAGGATTATGACTGAATGAAATGCATGAATTGCATATATGTGGAACTCATGCATTGAGATTATTTAATCATCCGTGCCTCTCGGAAGCACAGCCAGTTTTCTCCCTTTGCCCACAGATGCTTATTTTATTATCAGTCAAAAATAACAAAGAAAGCGAAGCAGCATGCTAAGTGTAATTAAAACAATGAGATCAACTTAATGAGGGGGAAGAAACGCTTTGAACCACTTCACCTCCCAGATTAGAGCACCCCAAATATAATTTGCATCCTCAATTACTTGTATTCTAAGCCTCATCATCGAGTGTAATTGGGAACGCAGTCATTCCAGTACACACACGCCCACCTTCCTCTTCAACTTGACTGTGGATTGCCCCCACTCTGCAGTGGCCTCCACCTCTCCACTGAAATCTGAAAGTTTTTAACGATATAATTTTAGGAGCTCGATCGGAGAGTATTTGTTGGAAAAATTGGAAGTTTTTGTTGCGTAACTGGTGGCAAAATGCTTGAGTAGGGTTAATATCCATCTATGAGACTAAATGCATGTTGACATTTTCCAAATTGTTAAAATAGGCCGCTTGACTAGCCTGTGAGGCCCTGATTTGTTATTGGAAACGTTGGTCCGTAAAGCCACATTGAGATATCGCATTCGATATTGTGTTTACCAATAAACTTTCTTATTAAAGTCCTCTTGTCGTTTTTGGCCTTAGGAGACTGCAGTGACTTTGTTGACAGTAATGTGAGTCTGAGACCCATTACAATGCTCGGATTACTCCAGAATGTCAAACAGACAGGAAAAACAAATATACCATTACATCTCTTTGCTTATTCATGATAATCAGATGCAGTTGCATTGACTCCTGTCTGCACTTATACTCGACACACCCACACACATACAGTATACCAACAGACAGTCATTTCCCCTCAAGTTCTAATTGTAAGGCACCTTGAGGCAGAGTGCCCATACTTTGAGGGTTTGTGTGCCCGAATGCACTTGTACATAAATATATGTATTTGTGTATGCGCGTATGCATTGTTGAGTTTTTCCTGTAGCTGCAGTTATCTGCAGTTGCTGTTGTACATTCACCTATATATTGCAATTTTATATTCTAAGCCCAACTCAAAACTCTGTTTCAGCACCCTTTTAAAGGTGACTTCCACGTGAGATCAATGAGTTGTCTTGTGAATGAGGCCGCCTTAGGACAGCCATACATCCGAACCGCAGTGAGCTCTAAATATGTGTTCTAAATGATGATCATCATTAGGGCCGAGTATGGATTTATACCCGGCACCGCCCCTGGTGCGATTTAAAATCGTATTAGGCTCTGCCATCATTTCCTGGATGGATGAGCTTACCCACTCTCTGTTTCCCCCATCCGGATGCCTCGATAGGAGGCCTCAGCATTCCCATCTGCAACCCACGGAAAAGTAGAAAGAAGAATGAGTGGAAGAAAGGCGGATGCATAAATCTCCCAATAATGAAAACGGCGTGTGTGTTTTTAAGAAACAAGGATTCACAGGGGTGCGCGGGTGTGTTTGTGCATGCACCTTTTAAGTGCTCCCACGCAACGTTTATCAGTATGGGCGAAGATATATTTGCAGGGGGAGAGAGAGGCCAACGTGAGAGAGAGAGAGAGGTATGCAACATACGTTATTCATGTTTCCAGAGAATAGAGAGAAGTAAGGACACCTGGGTGAAAAAAATAAATGACCCCTAATGGGAATTCCTGTTAAGGGAAGTGTTTTGATGTCATGAATTGTAAATACCAGTCTGCCTCATTATCCCAAAGTCAATTCTTTACTGGATCAATCATTGCTAATATTCATTCAAGGGGCCACACAGGACTGTCTGTGTTGATACATGTCAATAACACCAGGAACATACAAAGTAATGACTCTTGAGCTTGAGATAATCAACAGATGTTACTGTGTATTTAACGAATAGTTTGTTTTTCCACACAAACCCTCGCTGGGCACCAACACTTTCACATAAGTCAGCTGAGCCAAGACGAATTCCATGTAGTCAACTTCTTTTGACTCTGTCTCTTGTGTTGCTTCCAAAAAAAAAACGGTTAATGGAAAGAAGAAAAAAAATGATTAAAAATTGGCATAATGTCACTCTAATAAAAGCTGGTAATAATTTAGAGTGCATCCTATTCTGCATGTGATGTTCGTTTTTTTTGTTTTCCACAACATCCAGAAAGTTGGCTGCAGAAGAGCATCGTAAAGAACGATGAAGGAAGTCATCCTTTCTCCGCACTGTAGACTAAATGACTATTCATCCAGGCTTCTATAGTCAGCAAAAACATTTTAATGGGAAAGTCAATTAATGATGTTTTTTTTTTTTTTTAATTGACCACCCAGGGACCTTTATACAAAATTTAGTACTAATAAGCCCACATTTTTCTGAAACAGGAAAAAAATGAGAAACACCTCATGAGTTTTTGGTTTAGTGTGAGTTCCTGCATCTTTATATCGCCTATGTGGGGTTATCTTGTACCATGATGGTCCATGATGTTGAATTAATAAAACACTAAAGCATTGTTTTCATTTCATATCATAAGGGTTAGAGAGAGCAATGGTTAACGAGGCGGCTTGTGTTCATTTAATTGGAGCGTTTAAATGTATCTCTATTATGATTAAAAGAAGAAGGTCTTTTCTTGTCCAATAAACATGCTGAACATTATGTCCACTTTTACCTCGACAGAAATTGACCAGGGCAGTTGCGGAGACCCCGGAATCCCAGCTTATGGCAAAAGGGAGGGCACAAGTTTTCGTCACGGGGAGCGACTCTACTTTGAGTGTCTGCCCGCCTTCGAGCTGGTGGGGAAGAAGAACATCACCTGTCAGAAGAACAACCAGTGGTCGGCCAAGAAACCCAGTTGTGTCTGTAAGTTCTTGGTCACCTCATGTTATTCGGATTCCACGCGCACCGTGTGCGGACACGTGCGTGAGTGCATCGCTAATCAAGAGGGGCATGAATATGAATGTGTGTGTGGATGGCTGCAGTAATGAGCGGTCAGATTATCGCAGCGGTTTGCCTGGCACAGACGTGGATTTTTGAAAGCGTGAGAGGGATTATTATCCAATGAAAGAGTTGGAGAGCGAGGGCAAAAGGAAAAAGAGAGCTGACCATGCAGATAATGGCCACGGTTTGTATTATTGATAAGATAAGTGGGTGGACAAAAAGCTGCAGTATCTAGATAAACATCACTGAGGATAATGACTCGCTAGCACGATGTTTTGGCCAACAATACTGCTTAACATTGTTGTGTATTTATTAAACTACCTCCCGCATGGAGACACAATGCAGGGTTCATAATGTAGCAAATAATGCTCCAAGAAAGAGCTAAATTAGATTATAAGATATTTACTGTATCAAAGCATCCCATCATCTCTTTCGTATTTGGAGTGAGGATGATTCTATTGGTTATCACCATCGTTCCTGCTTGGTAAGCATTTAATTAGGATTCATTTAATTAATTATGCGGATTTTGATTGTTTTTTTATTCCCATGACTCGGATATGTATATTTATATCAGTTCATATTTTAGTATCCCTCTATTTGGCATTTGTGAAATAAAACAAGATTCAAGTCATCTTACAAATGTTTCTGTTATCTTTTACTAACACTTAACACTAAACTAAATTGAATTGACTTAGTGTTCATGATGGGCTTTCATTAGGGTTTATTGAATTGAAATGTAATTATGGGACCTTGAAAAGCAAACCAACGTCATTTTTCTAAATTCACTGTTAATTGAAAGGTCCTTAGACAATCGTGGCCTGTTGCATCGTTGATGCTCTCCTCGTCCTTACTGTATATAGTTGCTCAGTCTTGACAGACTTCTATCAACAAGGCAGGCATTGTGAGCAGGCTGTTTAAGGAAGGCTAAATTTGCGCTTTTGCCTTCTCAGAACATTTATTGGACATACTGTGATCAAGGGACGCGAGATGAGAGCATCTTTTATTTACATCGCTAACATTTTTCCTTTAAGACGCCACATTGATTTCAATTTTGTTCAGCTCACGCTTCCACTATCCACGTTTTATTCCACATGATTCAATTGAATAATATTAACAGTTAATAAGAGTCACAAACAACCTATTCTGAATAATGTCATGTTTTTTTTTTTTTTTAACTATTTCCTTCAATAAAAAGTGTCAAATTGTATTGTCTTTTAGTCAGAAAAAAGAAATAGAATCCTCCCTCATGATTTTCTGCTTCCCGAATGATATGCTCGGTTGTATTTACTTAGTTATTTGTATCCCTTCTATAGTTTCCTGTTTCTTCAACTTTACTACTCCATCCGGGGTGCTGCTGTCCCCCAACTACCCTCAGGAGTACGGCAACAATATGCACTGCGTGTGGTTGATCATCACCAATCCCGAGAGCCGCATCAATCTGGCCTTCAATGACCTCAGCATGGAGAAACAGTTTGACTTCCTCTCAATCAAAGATGGTGGAAAGGTAGTGATGAATCAGAGGCTCATGTTAATTTGAATGGCTCTTTTTGCATAAAGTATTCCCCCCGTTGATCAGACATTGTGCATGTCAATAGGGTCCGGAGTGTATAAATATGTGTACGGGCTGAACGCGCCTTCCAGCACCATAACTGATTATTTTTTAAGCTGATTATACCTAAAATTAACTTGTTCTATTTCCGTCAGGCCGAGTCTCCTATCCTGGGTACCTATTCCGGTGCCGCCTTACCCCCTCCTATAACAACTAGTGCCCATGTGGCCCGGCTGGAGTTTCTGACCGACCACACGTATACAGACAGAGGCTTCAACATCACATTTACAAGTAAGTATAGAGTTAAAATCAAATCTCTGAATGGAAATCGTTAAACCGGAGAGTCACAAAGTCCTGCACTGACCGGGTATTTTGTATTTTAGATTGTTTCTGTGTGTGTACTCTCCAGGATGTTTGTCTCTATGTGTATGTGCGTGCGTGTGTGTGTGTAACTGCATGCATCATCTTTGTATCCCTCAGACTGCACAAACCCCTTAGCAACACATTCTTTTTCTACAAACAAAAAAGCACATAGAGAAATGACGTAAACCCAGTCCTTAATGTCTAAATAGAGACTAGACACCTAAATAAAGCCCAAACAAAGACGCAGGATCTTTACCTGACAGATGCATTGCGGCAGTGCTCATTATATTCTATTCTGGGTAGTTGCTGATGTGAGGAAATTCCAGATGGGTTTTGCACTCTGACGCAGTAACCGTTAACTGCATGCTGGTAAACCCATTTCGAGGATACACTGTACCGTGGGGGTTGAGCAGTGCTGTTGCATTCACTGCAAATGCATCACATCGTAAAGAAACCGATATTTGCATTTTTTACATATCCCAAATTAGATATCCCCTTCCATGGTATCCAACTCTAACCCTACAAAACAACAAAGATTCATAGTAATCTTTAAGTTGCCTTTTGGGGGGGTTCTCAATATTTTTGGCACTACATTTAGTGGCAGTAACTCACTTTAATATAGGCAATAAATTGTTATTTTACTTTACAGTTTGATCATTTTGTATGGTCTTCTTTATTCTTTTCACCTTGAGTTTACCGCATCATTATAGTTATCCATCTACATGAGGGAAGCATTCATTTAGTGATTGTAATATTTTTTCCCCCAATTTTAGGTCACTTTGTTTGCAATCTTGCAACCACTGTCTGGTGTCTGTGTTAGCAAAGCAGTAAAAGTGTGGAGGTTGATAAAGAATGACACACTTTTCTGTTTGTACGGGGCCTACGTACAATGCCACGTTGAATAAATATTAGCAATGATTTTTAAACTGAATGGGTCATTTGTTTGATCATTCCATTCATTACCCTGTGGAAGCTAGCATGTCAAATTACAATACACTCTGAGGACTAATCCGGCATTCTGTTTCTAGTTTCTAAATATTGGTGCTCTAGCTAAAATATCGCACGTCAGCCTACCCAGAATGCTCGTGGGGCCTGCTCTCGCTCATTTGCAGACATGTCATCAAGCCAGCCCAGGTGTCTTTGTAAAGCGGCAATGTGAACAACACATGGCAACTGATGCATTAATTAGCAAGTTAGATGAATAAATAAATTACCAATGCAGCGTGGTGAATGAATGTCAAGACCGGCTAATTAAAGATGAAGGTTTGTTGCCGGGAACAGTCTCATCTAACTTCACCGACGTTTTTTTTTGGGGGGGGGGGAGGGGGGCGGCGAGGGTTGCTTTGCTGAGCGGACAACTTCCATCATTCATGTTAATTAAGCACATGCCAAACTGTATCGAGGGTATTTTTTGGCACCTTAATAAATGAGATGATCGTGATGGATGAGGTGTGGCCGCCACTCTGTCTGGGTCCGATGGATACAGAGCAGGGATTCATCAACACCTTACAGCGAGTCACCTGGCCGCGTGAGCGAGAGAGATTGTGGCGCAGGTGATGCATTTGTTTACGCGTCTTGTTCCGGGGGGGTCACGCCTCCTCTCGCGTGGCTGCGCTTCTCCGCGGCCTTTCTAAACTGGTTCCTGCTCTAGGTTCCGTTGAGTGGCTTGATGGATTCCCGGCGTGTTTACTCCACGTATCATTCCACAGTGTCATCTGGCCTGATGATCTGCATACGGTGTTGTTTTTCACCCTCTGTAATCACTGCAGCATATTGAATCAATGTGACTGGCTAAGTGAAACAAATCCCCCCTCGTTAAATGCTGGCAGTGCAAAATTCTGACATTGGGGTAAAAAAAAAGTTTTGTCCAGAAACTCAGGTAATTATTTCCGAATCTCTGTAGAAATTGGCACCGTTGCATGAAAACTGTAATGTGTGACAAGGATGAATACAGACTGAGCTGTTTTCTTTCCCTCCATAATGACCGTATGTCCTCTCTGTACGTCCGATAGCATTTCGCCACAACGAATGCCCTGACCCGGGCGTGCCAGTCAACGGGAAGCGCTTCGGCGAGAGCCTTCAGCTGGGCAGTTCGATCTCATTCCTGTGCGAGGAGGGCTTCGTTAAGACCCACGGCTCGCAAACCATCTCTTGCATTCTCAAGGATGGCAACGTGGTTTGGGACAATGCAGTTCCCCGCTGTGAGGGTGAGTAAACAACTGTCATCCTCGTAAATAAGAATTGGTTCTCGGTTGATGGTACCTGGTTAAATAAAGGTCAAATAAATCAAATTGCTTTGCTTGATTACAGCCATCTTACCACAGGGTTTCGAGCTTTTCACCTAATCGGTACATTTTAACTACACTTTTGATTTGATTATTATCAGGTTGCATGGGATGGAGCCCATTACAGGGGACGCGCATTTGTCCATTCAAAAAATAAACCCATTATAATTATTGACACCATTTTTTCAGTGTCAGTTGTCAATATTAATAAGATTATATGGATTTATTCCGTGGCGTATTTTCTATCCAATAGCACACGTGGTGCAGTTATATTACAGCAGGCATAGTGAGCGGCGAGGCTCAGGAAAATGCAGATATCGCCAGGTCAAATATACAAAGTTATGTGAAAATATAATTTAGAGGAAGATGTGCCTATCTTTTTATTTGAGGGAATCTGTTCCATGGTTGATCGTCTCATTAGCTCGGTGCGCACTGTGTTACAGGCTATTTACTGTTCCAAAGCATGAAATTGGAATATTCTTTTTTAATGTTAACTGTGGCTAGTCATTTATCATCACTGCATCTCAGGCTTGTAAGGACATTATTTCTTCTGCACGCTCAAATATTGTATTGAATATTGTTGATAAATGGGAGGACAAAAAAATCAATCCAAATTGATGTGCTTTCTTCTTTTGTGATGCATTAATTGAATATAGTTCAGATATGTTGCAAGTATAATTAATTGTCATCATCAACAATGTCTATAATAGCAACCATAACAATGCATTCTGGGATCACTCGGGTCAGACTAACTGATGGTGATTGCTGATGGTGCTACAGCAGCTTTATTCCTTCAAGTATTTGTTGTAGCAGCAGACATCCTCTGCTTGCATGCGGGTTGCTGAACCATCCATTTACCCCTCTCTGACTCAACATCAATAAACTATTTCCAGCTCCCAAGTCCTATGGAGCTGGCAAACTAAGACGAAGCTACGTGTTAACCAGCTCGGGCTCTTGTACACCAGCACATTCAGCACAGACATGGTTAGGGCTCCAAGGGGCCTCATCAGGCTCCCTATTGGAGATCCGCAAGGCAGAAACATGTCACTCTCCCCCCGTGTGCCACAGCAGCGTTCCTCTGAGAGCATCTATCATACCCCTGCGTTTGAAGCTTAATGCGTTTTATAGATGTCCTTCAGTATGCTGAGTTGGCTGATTAAATCATTCCACTTGAAAGGGAGCGAGTCGCTGGCGCTGTAACTAAGCCCTCCGCTGTGTGTTCTGGTTAAGGATACGCAGATGTACAGCAAAAAGGGGGGTCGGTGTGCTCGAGTGTGTCTCTTTCTGCTGGCGATCAAAGATATTCTCTTTCCCTCCGTTGGATGGCGGCGCTTTTCTAAGGGGGGTTTGATGACAGATTTGGAGAAAACAGGAGAGGGGAGGGAAAAACACGCAACCACGTGAATATGTAAGGGTTGCCCTTGTGAACACATGCACGCAGACACACACACATACAATACATGGCTGTGTTCCTAGGTGAAATGGTTAACCTTGAAGTGAGCTGTCACCGATATACATTAAATAGACCCTGGTACTAAAATAAATGGAATGAGCCGCGGCTGATGCATGGGATCATCTATGGACACCGTCATACATCAGATGGGAAAGACATGCATAATTCAATCTCTATCGTTTCTTTCTCTCCCTCCGTATTTTATTTCTGTCCATTAGCCCCATGTGGAGGGGATCTGAAGGCTCCCAGTGGGATCATCCTCTCCCCTGGCTGGCCGGAACTCTATAAGGAGGCCCTTAACTGCGAATGGATCATTGAGGCTCCTCCAGGCTACCCCATCAAGATCATCTTTGACAAGTGAGTCAACCGAGATAACTCGGCTGTTTGTTTTTCTTCTCTTTCTCAGAGCCAGCATGGATTTTTCTGGATTTTACCTTTGCATAATTTCCAAGTCAAATAAATTTGCCCAGATTCGCAAGTTTATAAATATATGCATACAACTCCTATTAAAGTGGAGATGTTCTGAGAATGGAACCCGGAGACTTGGGAGATAAGTGTATTTGCCCTGATGTTTCATTGAGAACAGGGGTGGGGGTGGGGGGGGGGGGGGGGGGGAGGGATAAGGGCCCTCGCCACTGCTACCATAGCCCACCATGCAAAATGGATACCACAAAAATGTTTGTTGCCTCTTAACTTTCATGGAAAATCAATAAAAAATCACAAGCGCTTCCTTTAGATGACATGTTACTGATACTAAGCAATTTATTCAGGGCTTTGAAGATGAAGTGGCTACGGCAGCAAAGGCAGGAACACACAACAAGGATGCACAGACAAACACACACTTATAGATGCCACACCGACGCTGCACTTACCCCACAGGGACAAAACTCACGCAAATTAGAAATGATTTAAATTCATCCTTCAAATTTAAAAATTCTGATTTAAAGCAAAATGTTGATGCAAAGAAATTATCAAAAGTCAAGAAAATTGATCAAAAATCAAGGATTAAATTATTTTCTACAGTCTTCATTGAATGTGATTTTTATGATTTTAACTATGGCCGAACTGATACAGTAACAATGCTCTGTTTTTCGGGAATCACCAGCATTGCCCATATAGCCAATTTCATTTGTATAGGACAAGTCTATTCAAAGTGCTTCACATAAAACCATTAAAAGCATTCAAACATAACGCTAGGAGATTTAAAAACATTGATTAAAACATAAAAGAAAAACCATCACTAAAAAGATTCTGAAAGACAACGTTAAAAAAACAATATATAGAACAGAACCCCCTTGTGGTCGTAAGGCAAAGTTTTGCTATATAGATCTAACAATGAAACTCAGACTAACCAAAGTGTGGAAAATGGGAGTGTAATTATCATCACACTGCAGGCCACGCCTCATCTGCTCTGCCTGTGACGGCACTGAACTCCTTTGATGACACACACATCAGTTCAGAGAGGCCGCGGTCGAGACGGCGAAGTGAGGCAGGTGAAATGACCGTAGCTACGGCGAGTGCGCCCGTTACTGTGAGAGCGGCGGGTCGAGTGAAAAGCCAATACTTCGTCGATACGCCTGTTCAGCAAGCGTAAACATCCCCCGCGTTGGAGGCCGTGTTTACACGAGCGCGGCGCAGCGACACAACTCAAACAGAAGCTGTCTGCGTGGCGACCGGCTGTTTAGCTTAGTTCACCACCCACATTAAGGCTCGTCATGCTGACGATCCTCCTCTACCTGCGGTACAAGCGAGCAGTGACAACAGGAGGAGGAGGAGGAGGCAAGGCCACATAATGAGTGACTGATGTGTGTGCGTGTGTGTGTGTGTGTGTGTGCGCCTCATTCCGTCTAATTGTCACTCAGAAACATGATTCATGTAACTGAGATTTGTTTTCAGTGAGATAATTACGACTCCGCTGTTGCTGCTCCAGCTGCAGCGTTCAGTTATATGTAAATGTATTAAAAAAATAAATAAAAATATTTTTTGCTAAAAAGCATTTTTTGCTAATATTAAACAAATCAATGGTTGTATTTATTAGGGAACAAACCAATATGGAGTGTCTCGTGACCATGCATTTGTTTCACAATACAAATACTATGTTAATTTTCTTGAAGCACTGAAACCCTTTCTTTAAATTCTCTGTTCCCAGGTTCCGCACGGAGGTCAACTACGATGTCCTTGAGGTGCGGGACGGACGGTTTCCCTCTTCACCTTTGATCGGCAGTTACCAGGGTACCCAGGTTCCCCAGTTCGTCATCAGCACCTCCAGCTTCCTGTACCTCCTCTTCTCGACTGACAAGAGCCACTCCGACATCGGCTTCCGCATACGTTACGAAAGTAAGGCTTTCGAAAATCCCACTACGTTATAATGCAAACCAAATCTTACACCAGCCATCGGCCTCGTACCGTACAGTAAAAGCCTCACAACCTCGGGTTGCAATTTGCAACCTTAGAATTTCACCATGAAGTTATTCTTCAGGCTGAGATTGTTGCTGCAGATATATATCTCCCCCTTGGCACACAATGCCACGCTCAACATGTTATGTATACAGTCACCTGCGTGCCTCCACGCACAGGTCGTCACCCAAGCTGTAAATCCAAACCCCTAAAGCAGTGCTGTCCTCATTTTCTACTTGTGTGGCTGCCACTGCTAACCTTTTCTACTTTCCCTGTGATGAATCGCTGCGAAGCTTCAATAATTCAATACCACTGTTACTTAGGCAGAGACTAAGGGGGGTGGAGCGGAAAAGGGAGCCCGGAACTCCTCATTTGTTTGTTCTCGTTCAAAAAAAGCATGAAGTTAATTATTCATCGGGATTGCTTTCAGAGAGCCAACTGCCTTTTAACATGTCTGACCTCAACGTGGCCTACTGAAAACCGGGTGTGAGCCTAATTACGCTGCGCCCGGGTGGGTTTCCAGTGTCGGCTTTCTTCATCGTCCCTCTTTTTCGTCGCTCCCCTTTCTAGCTTTGCAGCTGCAGTCGGACCACTGCGTGGACCCCGGTATTCCTGTCAACGGGCAGCGACACGGAAACGACTTCTATGTCGGCGCTTTGGTGACATTTAGCTGTGATGCGGGTTACACACTCAGCGACACGGAGCCTTTAGAGTGTGAACCCAATTTTCAGTGGAGCCGCCCCCTGCCTAGCTGCGATGGTACGTTCCAGAATATTGACCTAGAAAGAAATAGTCTGCTGCCAGATTTCCTCCTATTCATAGACGTGATTAAAGCCACAGTCATTGTTGTACGTTTCTCCGGATGAAACAGGGAAAATCTTTTCCAGCACTTTGCTTCATATTGCATCACATTTAAATTCATATATATGTCTGAGTGTTATTATAAAATCCATTTAAGATACCGTTTCTTTCAGAAACTCTTGTTTTAGGCTTTAAAAGTTTCAGGCTTGTTTCGTCATAAATGTTTTATATGTAGGGCCTTGAGCTTCCCCTTTGATGTTTTCCTTTTCCCTCATCTGTAAATGCTTTTATAAGTAAGGACAGTATTGATTTCTACCCACTCTGTAATGACATTGATGATAGCACTCCTCTTCATGCCGTCTTGAAGGGCACCTCTTGTAAAAATGTATTTTTCCGCACAGGCGGCTTTGGCTATTTTTCGGGACATTTTATATCTGTCTTCGTTCACTTTGTTTTGCCCTCTGACTCTCCTCTCGTTTCTCTCCCGCCACCACCCGTCGCCCCGCTGTACCCGATTGTCAGCACTGTGTGGAGGTTACATCCAAGGCAACTTTGGCACCATCCTGTCACCTGGCTTCCCGGACTTCTACCCTCACAACCTGAACTGCACGTGGATAATCGAGACGTCCCATGGCAAAGGTCGGCGGAGAAATGTTGTGTCCACGCGCGCGGCAGTCAAATTCAATTTCCTTTACCGCGTCGCTTCCCCTTACCGAGTGGCCTTTTTGTTTTGCCGAGCACGCCGCCCCTGCGAGACGCGCCGAGAGGCTGAGCCCCCGGGCTGCAGAGCCAAGGGACGGTGCTCCGGTCGCGCCACCTCTGGTGGAGCTCTCACATCAAATAGACACAGCCTTATTTGCAGATGTTCTCTATGCACAGGGCAAATGGGTTTGATATGCAGCTGAGAGGAAAGATAGGGATTTCATGCTGTATGAATGATACAAATGAGAATATTATGTTGATTTTTTTTTTTCCCCCACTTGAATGCAAATGAGTCTTTGACATATATGATCGTGGGAATACTCAGCATCCAATTCTAACACACTTACGTGAAGGCCAGATATGAAAATACGATTTTAAAAGTGCATTTTAACGGCGCTTTGTTCTTTGTCTGCCGTTCAGGTGTCCAATTCAACTTCCACACCTTCCACCTCGAGAGCCCTCACGATCATTTGGTGGTGACGGAGAACGGCAGCTTTTCTCAGCCCCTGTGGAGGCTGACGGGCTCCACGCTGCCGCTGCCTCTCAGCGCCGGCCTCTTTGGAAACTACACCGCTCAGATCCGCTTTCTCTCCGACTTCTCTGTTTCCTACGAGGGATTCAACATCACCTTCTCCGGTAAGAATGGGTTTCGCTATCCAATTCAGAATGTCGGCTGGAACAAGCGTCGATCTCTTATGTTGAGCCACGTTGTCTCAATGCTGCATTTAGATTTTTCACTGTGCACTCAAATTGGCACGTAGACGTGTCACGCGGAACAGCGATTGCAACCTCCCTTTAGGTGTAGAGATAATGGGATTCCTCAGCAACTGCGAGGCTGCCAACAAAAAAATTAAATGTATTGAAGCTCCAGTCAACAATACAAACTCCAGAGCTTCACACAATGTGTTTAGGTCTAAATTTGAGTTTCGGACGTTGGAATGTTGACGAGTACAATCATTGACACACTGTTCACCTTTATTCAATGTCCAGCACGACAAAAGTCCTACCCAGTTCAAATGCCTTTACACCCTTTCTCTTTAATGAATCTAGAGTATGACCTGGAGCCGTGTGAGGACCCTGGAATCCCGCCGTACAGTGCCAGAAAGGGCCTTCACTACGGGGTGGGGGACTCCCTCATCTTCTCCTGTTTCCCGGGCTATCGGCTGGAGGGTCCGGCGAGGGTGATTTGCTTAGGGGGCAGGAGGCGGGTTTGGAGCTCCCCTCTGCCAAGGTGTGTTGGTAGGTGGTCACATGTTTTATTTTGGCTTTCATCACTTCCCTTCTGCCCCCTCTCACAATGCCGCGTAACCTCACTGAAATAAACCCGCCCGTCCACTAACGAATCGGTCGATCACGTTGGGAGACGAGGCATTTCCCTTTCAGTTCTCCTCATTATCATCTCTCAATCCACCCACGTTATGTCTCTTCGCTGGATAGCTTCCCAGAAACAGCCTTTTTGACTTTGTCCAAATTATAGAGAGCAGCAGCTCTAATGAGGATGACATTATTATGCTGAAATATGTTTATTATGAATGCTGCTAATGCCTGTGGAACATGAGTAAATCTGGACGGATTTAGTTCAGTATGTTGATATAATATTGTGCTCCATAACTTACAAGTTGCATCAGATTGTTGATCTGAAAACAAATTATAGCGTAATTGGCCCAATGATAAGTAAAACGCAGACCGTGGCAGTGATTTGACAGTGATTTTTCTGTTTGTGGTTGTCCTTAGCATGGCTGTTTTTCTATGTAACCACGCACTGTTAAACATAAACTGCACAGCGGAGACTAATTGTGAACAGATGTAATTATTTTCTGAGCAGATGTAATTATTTTCTGGAAGTACGTACATCGTTTGGCCATTTTATTGTCTGAAAAATAAGTAATAATAAGTAATTAAAAAATAAGTGATTTGTTATGTTATGTACTGTTATTATTTTACCACTCCTTAAAAAAAATACACATTTATTTGCACTGCATTTATTTTATTTACACACTCAGTTTTTATCGGGTTCTCTGTTTCTAAATGTTTGTTGTGAGTATTTTGGCATGTGTTAAGTAGGTCAAGCAATTTTAGTGTACTAACATTTACTTGACTGCCTCTTTCACTCTGCCTTTCATATTGCCTCGAGATTAATCCAGATATTTAAAGGTTGACAGTGATAAAACATTTAGTTATTTTTCACATTTCCGACAATCCCATTCAGCCTAATTTTAGGAGCATAATTCTTCTCTGTACACTGGCTGTCGCCTCATCTCACCTCATGGTGCAAGATAACATACTGGATAAATCTTTGTTCATTGAAATTCTGGAAGTTATTTTTCCGTAGAAAACTTTTTTTCCTGAAATGATTTCAAACCCAAAGCCGTTTCCAAATGGTGCTGAAATGACTGGAAATCGTATTCAGATTGTAGCGTGATTATGATGATGTGCCACTCAACATTCAGGTACGGTCACTGACCGGATCCCCTTTCCACGCCCTCTCCCATCTCCCCCTGCTTCACAGCATGAATGAATACACTGTGAGTCTTAAGCACATAGCGATTGACATGTCCTCTCTTCTCTCCAAAAACCATCACTCCCCCTTGCCTCCTCTCTCCTTCTGCCTCCCCTCCTCCCCCCCTTCTCTCTCTTTTTTTCTAGCTGAATGCGGCTCGTCCGTGACCGGCATGCAAGGGGTGCTGCTCTCGCCCAACTACCCCGGTTACTACGGCAACAACCACGAGTGCATCTACTCCATCCAGACTCAGCCCGGCAAAGGCATACAGCTACGGGCGCGAGACTTTAGACTTGAGGAGGACGACGTGCTCAAAGTGAGGAGGGTCGCGGGGGTAGAATTGGGGGCAGCTGCGTGCGGGCCACCCGATCACGTTGATTCAGATGCTTCCCCCTCTGTCCTCGCAGGTCTTTGATGGCAGCAGTAATGAGGCTCGTCTGCTGGGGGTGTTTACGGGCAGCGAGATGCTGGAGACCACCTTGAACTCCACCTCCAGCTCCATGTGGCTGGAGTTTATCAGCAATGCGGAAAACACCAGCAAAGGCTTTGAACTTCACTTCATTAGTGAGCATCAACACAATCGGCCACCTTTCTTTAAGTTACATATTTGCATTCAGGTGTCGTTGGTTTGCTTGCATTTCAACCCCCGTAATGCTTTCTTCTTAAATACCCTCCCACTCCTTGCACCGTCCTTTCCCTCTGTCCCTCGAAGGCTTTGAGCTGGTGAAATGCGAGGACCCAGGCGTTCCCCAGTTTGGCTACAAGCGTGAGGACAAGGGTCACTTTGCTGGGAGCAGTGTGTCGTACAGCTGTGACCCAGGCTACACCCTGAAAGGCCCCCAGGTGCTTACCTGCCTGAGAGGGGAAAGGAGGGCATGGGGAAGCCCCCTCCCACTCTGTGTCGGTGAGTGACCCGCAGCTTGAATGGGTTCGAGTTTGACCGTGTCCCCTGCCGTTGGCACAAATACGCATTTATGTTGTACTTTTGGGTTCGGCTGGATTCATCACACTGGTACCTGGCTTTGTTGATTCACGCTGTGTGTCACGCACTCCATAATTCAAATGATGACATAATATAAAGCTATTCTCTGCTATACTGCCTTACATCGCAGTGTGTCTCTCCTGTCAGGATCTGTTTTAATGAAATACAAGACTGTGTCGGGTCATTAAATTCATTCATTTTAAAAATTACAGTATTTATCAGGTATGTCTTAGTGTTGTTTTTATTTTTTTAACTAAAATGTCTGACCTAGTTCTCCATCCTAATGCCAATGAGAGACTGACGCAACAGGTTTAGGAAAAGTCTTTAATTTAGCTCTGCTATTTTGGTACATCCATTTGCTCGCTTTGCCAGAACGTTATTCAGTGAATTATGTCTTCAAAAATAACTTTGCTCTATTCGGCTGCTTGTATTGATATTGCATCATCATCAATTCAAAAGCCCTTCTCTTTATATTTATTCCTACCAAAATAACATTATGTCCACATCAACAGCATACCAGAGCACATCGGTCTCACGATCTCATTGTCTGAGACTTTTGAGAATGAACTCGATGGGGATCATTTCTCCTGTAGAGCCAGAGTTCAACTAAAGTTCACCTTTCTGTTGGTGACACCCGATGCAATGCATTATGTCTAAAACTATAAAAGGAACATCCATTTACACATATAGTGTCTTGGTTTAAAAAAAAAAAAAAAGATATTCTTATTTGGGATCTCTTGGTTGACATTTTGACAGTTTCTCAGAAGCCAGCCAGAAGTGCATAGAGGCAAACAGGCACGTTGGTGTTCTTTGGCATCGGCCAAGGTGATTAGAATAACACGACCCGGCTCCCAATTCAACCCAAACTGGCGGATGATTTCCTGACTTGGTCTAAACGACCTTCTGCACGCTGTTTATCTCTGAGCAGGTTTGTCCTCCTCATGCTGCAGTTGATAGCCTGCACAGCCTGAGTGCATTTGGGAGCAGATGAGGCACTGCTTCTGTTTGTAATGACAGGGTTATTTTTGAGCACCGGGGGAGACACAGGACACCAGACGAGAAGGATATACTGAGAAGGGGAGGGAGGCAAATCAAATTGAGTAGAAAACCTGGAAGTCGCAGAAGCGAAAAGTTGGAACTGAGGAGCTCAGGGTTGCACACGGAGTTTAAAAGAGGGCTACATTTCACATCACACTGAACCTATTTTCCATATATTTAACAATATATGTGACATTGGGACAATATGTCTTATGGGGAAGGTGATACAAAAGGAGAGGCAGCACCTGGAGGCATAGATTGAAGGGGTAGAGGAGCTGAGGGAGTAACACTGCCATGGCGGCACTGAGCAGTACTTTCTCAGGTCATAAGGCGAGAAGAAAGCGATGTATTTGTCGTACTGTGATCGATCGCCCTCACATCTGTTCTCTTTCAACAAGAAAAGTATAACGGAGGGAAAGAATCTTGGAGGGACGCTAAAACCTCAGCAATTCTTTGAAGATTAATACGTTCATGCTTTTTTTCTCTCTCTTGAAGATAGAGAAAGCAAAGATTTGATTGTCATTTTAGCTTCTCTCTCGCTTACGTTCTCTCTTAAGTTACGTAGTTTATTCCCGCTATGTTGGCAGGGGTCACTGTAATTTAGTTCTCGGTCTTTGTCGTCATAGATTGAATTCACAGCAATCAGCATTATTATTTATTATTATAATTATTATTAAGTGTTTCTGATGCAAATGCATTACTTGTACTGAAAAAAATATTGTAGTTCTTCATGCTGTCCTTAACTAAATGCTTTGCCCTTCGATTCTGCTTTTTTAGTCTTATAAATATAATGATAACATGAATTATAGCGCAGCCTTTGACAGACACGGGGGCAAAATGAAAGCAATATTTACAACAGAGAGCTGAACTGTTCGGCCCAACAACGCACGCGTCTGATAAAAATATCAGGATACATGAAACACTCCATTAAAACAAATATATGCATATAATAAATAGTTAACACGTGTCTGAACAACTGTTTAATATACAAAGAGCAAGTGAGCTTATTGTGGGTGTATGTTGTGTAACTCACGTTGTCAACTTCCAAAGGCAACAAGAATCAGAAATTATGAACATTTATTACCAAAGTTTGTTGCACATACAAGGATTTTGCGGTTGGTGCATAACATCGGACAGTAAGACAATGAGACAAAGGACAACCAGGCAAATAACACAGTGGAGGAAAAGCAAGGACGAGGTCATTGGCTGAGACGGTGGATTGATTTCACTCAGCCATGGAGGTACATATAGAGCATGTTGAGTTGGCTGCTCCCCCTCCTATTATTGCAATCGCAGGCAAGATGATGAGGCACATCACATAGAAGCATACGTCAATAATGAATACTGATGACAGGAAACTGATGTCATGTACTGACTGGAAGTGAGGCGATCCGAGTCTCATGTTAAGCATGTTAATTATCTGAACCGTCCTGGAATCTTTTCATAATTTGACTTCCAGAACATGTTTTTTTAAACTAAATTTTCTTTTCATTCGTTCCTTTTCATTGCTCACCTCTTTAATCTCTCTATCGCTCTGTCTTTCTAGCTGAGTGTGGCGGCACCATAAAGGATGAGCCTTCTGGTCGTATACTTTCTCCTGGCTATCCGGCCCCATACGAGCACAACCTGCACTGCATGTGGACTATTGAGGCCGCCCCTGGAAGCACAATCAGGTTTGTTTGCGTCTTCTAGTTGTTGTTTTTTTGATTACATTGTTCTTTTCAGGCTTTTCTTTCAATCTACCACCTTTCAATACACTTCCAATTTAGCACCTCTTTTTGCCGTGGTATTCACCCGTTTCACAGGCCGCTGTGTAATCAATCTTCAGGGAGCTGTTATAGTTCAGTTCCCACTGGGTGAGGGGAAATGCCACCTAGATCCACAAGGAAGACAAGTGTTTGGCTTTTGTTGGTTTCATGTGCTTTTCTTTACCGAATTGGATTCAATTTTAAGCAGGAACAAATCCTGCAAGGTGAATGATTTTGGTTACTTTCAGACAATTTAAACATGGGTTACTCTCCAGATCAATGTATTGTTCCTACTATGTATATTGCATTGAGTACTCATGAGATCATGACCTTGGAGACATGGTCAGCTTATCAGCCACACTGTGACGCTTTCTTCGCTATGCAATGGACCTTTTTGGAATAATTAGCTACACAATCCAGCTTCCTGGACCAACAGCAATGTGGTTTCCAATGTATCTTTATCTATTGACTCTCTACATAGAGACACAGGGGCTCCGTGTACGTGCCTTTGTTCCTACCCACGCATGTCATTATTGAGAAGAATTCACATTGCATTAGCCCAGCGACTCCTGATATATCAAATAGTGTTTTGCTGGAGGAAGCACACACGAGTTTTAGAGAACAAACCCTTCAGACTGGTTTGCCAAGAGATTTTGAAGGAAGAGAGTGTAGGCAAAGGTATAAAGTTTAATATGGAAGTAGATAGATATTAACACTATGGAATAAATGCGTTGATAAGGAGGCAATGAGCCATTCCGCCAATGGATCCTTCAGTGGTTACTGCTACAGAGATCAAATGAGTCATCTCAGCGACATGGTACACTGGACATTGAAGCCATGGGCATTCATCTTAATATTGGTACCGAGCATTTATTAAGAAATATCCATTTTATCTTCGCGTAAATGGTGGTGTACTCTGTGTGTTGTGATACTGTCTGGTGCTTCTGTGACTGTCGCCAATAGGAGAGACAAAGTATGTGACGGGTAGGGAGACTAATGTAATCACCATAGTGTATCAATAGTTGTTCCATCGTTCACAGTCTAAGGAGCAGTTTCCGTATTTTTCATTACATCAGATCAGATCAGTACGGTGTGTACCTTTTTGAGTTTATGGAAATATCTATGATGAAATATGAACTCGGAAAATAACACTTCAGATACGTACTGTATTTGAATACTGTTTTATTTAAAAGAAGATACTACACAGGATGGTACTAGTCGAAAGATGTGTGTGTGTGTGTGTCTTCTGCCTCTACTTTTATCTCACTGATTTATTTCCCAATTTCCCACCTTTTCCTGGCTAAAAAGTATTCTACCTGTTCTTTTATCTCCACGATAACTCTTTGATGTTATTGCATCATGTATCCTGCAGTACGTGGACTTTGCACGCTTTGATTTAGGATTTCATGAATGAACCCATGTGTTGCTTTACGTTGGCGGAGCAACGACTGATGCCGCTCATGGAATGGACGCGTCTCTTTGACAGATGATCCCACAGAGACCATTTGCACACATATTGATGAAGGTTGCTCTACTGTCTGAGACATATTCTTTACACGTACCATCTCAAACAGTTGCTAAAAAAGCACACAGCTTCAAGTTCCATGTTCGCTTCTCCCTCTCAATCTCCCTTTTTCCTTATCCCTTTGCACGTTGATGCATGCACACAGACACACACATCCATGCGCACCCCCCCACATACTTACTTATTTATCATCTTCATGCGCACATACACGTACTCTGTAGACTCCCCACAGGACTCGTGATTGCAGCCAGACTATTTTGTATTCGTATGCGAGCCTCTCAGCGCTCTCCATTTCTCTCTCTGTTTCTCTCATATGAATACAAAATGATTTAGGCAGAATCAAAAGAGACCCGAGGAATCTTCTCCCGTCCGTCCGTCTGCCTCCCTATCTCATCTCCCGACAGCAATCCCTCTGACACTTGATTGAGCTACTTTATCTTGTTAAGAAGGGGGACGAGTGTAAAGGAGAGCCCTTAGCCGTAAACTTCAAAACATGGCTCTCTTTGATTCCACAAAACATTAATCGCACACACATCTCCTATTCCTTCGCGAGACAGTAATTCCACTTCTTTCAACCTGTGGTTCTATTCATCCCCGGACAAAGCCTGCCCACAACCCCCCCGCCCCCCCATAAAATGTCCGTGAAGGGGAGAAGTTGTCTTTCAAGGGACTTTCCCCACTGGAGGGACAACACGTCTCTTCGTAGTTCCTCTGCAGTAAACAGCTTTGGACGGCGCGCCGTGACGCCTTTCGTTAGCATTTAACAAGTGCACCTGTGCACACGCTCTGCAGCTGTGGCGGTCTGCATCACAAGGGAAAGCAAGACGAATGGCCACAAAGAAAGTTTTTTTTTTTTTGTTCCCTCTCGTGCTGCATCACTCTTATCCCCTTACCATCTTCTCTTTTTCACCATCTCCTTAGCCCGCCCCCCAGCCTTCACTCTCAGATACTGACAAGGAGAGATCGGCTATTTAGATCTTGTATAAAAGGAACCAATTATCCTAACATGCATCCCACGTCCATCCTTTCCGTCTGACTGCTCAGCAGAAAATCCCTCCAATCCTTCAGAGCTTCCTGTGCTCTCCATCAACCTGGTGTCCTCCCGCCGTCGTCCTCTTCCTCCAGCGGCAAGGCAGTGATTAACGTGGGTCGCTTTTCGTTCCCTCCCTCACCTTCTGCTTTCCTTCGACGTACGTCTTTCCTTTTCCACCCACCTCTCCATCTTCCTGTTAGCACATGAATCTGGAAGTGGAACATGATGCCAATCGGTGTCTGACAGTCCTGAAGGTTGCGTCGGCACACCAGATATCACTCCACCTTAAATATTTTTGTCATGTAATGCTTAAGAATAGTATCTGGACAGAAAGTTTGCACCAAGTTGTTCTAGATCATGGTGTAATGTTGCATCTGTGCACCTGCTGCTTCAGAGCTGCCAAGAAAGGAGCACACTTCTTCCACTGGTGCATTTCGAGGGATCGTTTTCACACACAAACACATTTTCTTTATTCAAGCCACCGAGTTGTTGACACCCATGTGTCTGATCTTTAAGCAGCTGCCAACCTAGGCAAACTAAATCGGCGTCTTCTCTAACTCTTAATAGAATAAACACTTAGGGGGTTTAATTTTCTGTGCCACAAGAGAAAATTGAGATATGTGCCTCGCAATTTAAGTTGGGAACCAAATCGGCATCGGTTGTCTTAGAGGCCCAGAGCACTGGGGAGAAGAAAAACAGGTTTAGCTTGCTCTCCCTTCCGTCCCCTTTGCGGCACATATCTATTTATTTATTTATTTGCCAACGTTTCATTCGCAGCTTTAAATGATTACCATATCTTACAGGGTATTACTTGCGCGTCAGTGAATATTAGCGGGAGAACTGCAAGCAGAGGAATGGCTACAAAGAGCAGGATTAGTATTTATGCCATTTCTTTGAGGATGAAAGTTGGGAACATGTCACGCGTTGCTCTGCAGAGATAAGGAGGTTAATGTGCGTGTGTGCTTACGTACGGCCGCGCAATGCAATATACCCCCTTTTACCAGCGCCACCCGTCCATGTGAATTTGCGCAAATAGATCCTCGTGCACCTGTCTGCATCTGTTTGTTTTACGTGCACTGCTTTCACAGGCGTTACAACAGGACTCGTACAAGTGGGTCGCGTACAGTATCCACAGAGGCAGCGCGTTGTTGGGTAGCCTCTGGCTGCGGCTCCCACATCAGACAGTATGGAGATCGGAGTCTGACACCAATTATGCAGAAACGGTGGGAAACTTGTTGCCAAACCTGACATATCAGTGGGTTGCTGTTTCCCCTCTGCATAATCTGTAGCTCAAGGCTCTGTGGTTGAGTGTATGTAAAGGGATGGGGATCCTTAAAGCTCAAAAGGTACCCTGATGTCCACTGGTTTACTGGGGCAGGGATCCACACGCCAGGTGTTTAACTGGAAATCAAGTTGCGAAATTTAATCCTGAATAGGTTGATTAATAGTTTAACTAATCTCAAGCTTGTGGACCAAATAATATAATCAACAGAGCTCTACGGATTTCTCTTTTTGGAAAAAAAAAAGAACTGAAGGGCTGCATGATCATTTTGATAAGTGCTGTTTGCTTTATATTAAAACTGAAATTATTGAAACATGAGGCAGTCAGGATTTGGAGTCTTCATAATAAAATAATTTTCATAATCTAATTTGTTTTGGCTCTTTGAATCATTCAAATATATTTTGATGGCACACTTCTGACATATTTTCATAAGCTTGGGATGCCTTTGTATATTTATATTGCTTTGAAGTATCTCACGCATTTATATAAACACTAAGAGAAGATCTTTTCTTCTCTTATGTAAATATATCTGTGGAGTTAAAGAAAACGCTTTGTGTGAGTTACACCTTCATCTCAGTGCACTTCACTGTTTCATCTTTTTTACTTGCTATGGAAGACAGCAATTTGTTTCTGGGAATTGAATGAGTTGACAAACATTTTAGTATTTCTTGCATTTGAGACCGCTGCTGAGAATACATTTTGTCTTCAAATGACTCCTTTATATTGAGCGGCCCATGTCGACTTTGCTGTCAGTCTCCCCTTTGCTCTAAAATACGACGTTCTGTCCTGCTGAGCCCAAACACATACGCATACAAGGCTCCGAGCAATATGTCATTAGAACCCCACTGCACGAGGCTGCTGCTTTTTACACACAAGAGTACGCGAGTACACAACTACAGCGCATTTCACATCCAGTGGACCACCAGCTGGCTGACAGCTGTCTGTGCCAAAGTGAAGGAACTAGTTTGACAGCATCATCCTTCTCATGTCTAGACTCAAACTATTAAAGCCCGTGGCAGACGTTTCTGCTTGACTGACACAGTGAAACATCCGCTGAATGCTCTGGATCTGACGTCTGTGAATCGCTTTTAAATCCTACAAGTCTTTTATTCGTTCATGTTGAACGAATGACCTTTTTTAAACAATATCATTACTTTTCTGCTTTCTTGTAATGACATTATATTTCGTAGACTAAGATAGAAATAAATGACAGGTTTTATGCAAGGTGGACGATTCCTTCTTGAATAACGATGTGTCTCCGTTCTGGTAATAGTGAAAGCGTAAGTGCTGCTTGTCTGAACGAAGGGGACGCGGAAGCCTTCAGGGAATTCCACCTCTCAAATGGCATGCGTGCCCTATGACGTATCTTGTCTTCTCTCCTTCTTAGCCTGCATTTCCTGGTTTACCACACGGAGGAGGTCCACGATGTACTGCGGATCTGGGATGGGCCGCAGGAAGGAGGGGTCCTGCTGAGGGAGCTCAGTGGTTCAATGTTGCCCCCGGATGCCCACAGCACCTTCAACACTGTCAGCCTGCAGTTCACCACTGACTTCTTCACTAGCAAGCAGGGCTTTGCTCTGCAGTTCTCTGGTGAGTAGAAAAAGGGAGCGGGAGGCGAGAGATGAACTTCAGCTACTCGGCTGTGTTTTTTTCACCGGGTTTAGAGAAGAACGAACGTGCAAGCTCAACTCTGAACGACGACAAAAAACATTTTCATCACGTGAACAAGTGAACAATTTCATTTCGGATCATTAAGTGTCGCCTTGCTCCTCCAGTCTCCACTGCGACCTCCTGCAACGACCCGGGCATGCCGACCAACGGGACGCGCGGCGGTGACAGCAGGGAGCCCGGAGACCACGTGGTGTTCCAGTGTGATCCGGGCTACATTCTGCAGGGGGCCAACAGAATAACCTGCGCGGAGATCAACGGCCGCTTCTTCTGGCAGCCGGACCCTCCGACCTGCACAGGTGATAAACCAGGATGCAATCATCAGTTGTGGCCTGTCATGTTGCTTGGCCTACGCCTTCATCCCTAACAGATGCACTAGAGCAACTCTGGCGTCAGCGAAATATCCCTCTCACCGCCTCACACCTCATTCAAAAGTCTGCCGTTAAGATTCTAAATGGAACTATGAAACTTGACCACAATGGAAGCCTTGAATCCTGTCGGTTTTAGGAGAGATTATCGATTACCTGCAAAGCCTTGGTAAGCCTTGTTGCAAATCATCAGTCAGCCCCATTTCCCAACACCCGTTACCTCACCCTCAGATTGGCAGATGCATCATTCCTTGTTAGACCGACATACAGATTAATACTCAAAGGTTATGGTCCCTTTGCAGTCGGGTCTCAGGGCTTATTGCATATATATATTGTTACAGCTAGATATTACGTTTGTGCGTGTATATAACGCGAATGTATTTAAAGAGAAAATATCAGGATAAAAACAACTGAGACCTCTCAGTCAGACCTCTACTCTTTTTTTCCTGTTAGATAAAATCACACTCGGTGCTCTCCAAATAAACAGGAATTAACAATGGTGATTCAGACATTGTTATTAGCCGCTTTGTTTAATTAACGCCTGTCTTAATTAGTTTGATCATTTCTTTTGTGTGGGGTCAGAGCACCTCTCTGATCCCAGGTCAGATCATGGAAAGCAGTGTTAATGGGCAATAGCTCTGTCTCAATTAAGCGTGTGTCACTGGCACTTCCTGTGGGGAACCCAGATAGAACAGGAAACTATTGTAAAAAACAATGCACGTGCTTGATTAAAAGCACCTAAAGTTACCTGAAACCTTTTCAGAGCCTTGTCTGCTTATTTTTTGCATATTCCTTTCCCACTAATTCCCTTTGTCGGTGGTACTTTATTAGCAGTTGGTTGAAAAAGACCTAATTTCAGAAACTTGCAACCTCTTGAGTTTTAACAAAATAGCAATTTCATCATATACCATCTAATCACTTGAATGTACAATAGCTGAAAGGTACGTTTACAGATGCAATGACCCCTCCCGTCCCGTAGCACCATGTGGCGGGAACCTGACCGGTCCGAGTGGGCTGATTCTGTCTCCGGACTATCCTGAACCCTACCCGCACGGAAGGGAGTGTGACTGGACAGTCACTGTAACACTGGACTACGTCATTGCTCTTAGCTTCAACCAGTAAGCACCAGTAGGACACAAGCTGCAACATTTCTGTCCCTGACGTATTTTACACAACAATAAACAAACACTGCTCCTGCACTGATGTCTATGTAAGTTTGTTTTACTTCTTTTTTTACCAGGTTTAGCTTGGAGCCCAGTTATGACTTCTTGCATATCTATGATGGACCGGACTCCCTCAGCCCCTTGCTGGGGAGTTTTTATGGCACAGACTTTCCAGACCGCATTGAGAGCAGCTCCAACACGCTGTTCTTGGCTTTCCGCAGCGACGCTTCCCTCAGCAGCAATGGATTCGTTCTGCAGTACACAGGTATGCTCGGGATTTCTCCCGCAGTAGCATTGCCTCCTTGAAGTATGTAGCCGATAAGAAGAAGGAAAAAAACGAGCTAGTGGAAACTCATTTTGTTTGTCTTCATGTTAGTCAAGTTTTTTTTTATCTCCGACATCTGCGAAACTCAACAAAACTGGGAATTTTAAATACCATGTGCAGCTTCATCCCTTAAACAATTCATGTCCTAAACTGCTCTCTCCGGCGGAGTGAGAATGGATTTACTCTCTGCTGCTTATCGACCTTGCATATTGTCTCTTTTTTAACTTTCTCTTGTGTCTAGTCCAAAGCTAGTGAGATTAGTGATGTGAAAATCACTTAAGCTAAAGAACGGGATGTGCTGCTGTGTCCTGATCACCATCCTCCCGTTGGTGCTTTTGTCCGCTTTGGCTTCATTATTGATCCCCGCCTCCTCTACAAGCCGAGCATCACATTAGGAAAAGGAAAAAGCCGGCAGCATGTGTGCTTTTACATTTTCGGATTCTTTGTGTTATTCGGCACTCTTCTTTTTTTTTTTTTTCAGCCCTTTACAGCTCCACAAAACGCTGCTCGTTTTGTCGACTCACATCTGGGCTGAACTGGCCTGCAGCATGTTCTTTTGCGGACCCCCGTTGTTTTACTTAACACGCGGGATTGTGTACTGTTCTAAGGTGCGAAATGGTCGCACACTTTACTTGACAAACGGTCAGTTGGTTTACGGACAACACAACAACATCTGCGCTCTCCGCCTCGGTGCCTGTACGTTAGAGCCTTTTTCCGGACAAATATATTGAGGCTGAGGAAACTCTGAATTAGACTGGGCCGCCCTTCGTTAGGGGTTTTGCTTGAGAGAACAGTGTTGAATCCCCCTCAATCTTCAAGCCTCCATCTGACAGCTGTTTAAGGTTAACGGACGTTTAACCAATTCCGGATCGACCCCCGGCTCTCTCTTGGCGTCTCTTGGCCGGTGTTGCGATGGGATTTCCGACTGATTTGGAAACGCTGCCTGTGCATACAGTGCCGTACAGAAAGTGTACCGAGGAAGACATTTGTTATAGCGTCTACCTCTTAGCTCGCTCCCAGCAATATTTTCTGCAGTGTGTGATAGAGTGTGTGATATCGTATGGCCAATCTGTCGGGGCAGATGGACTCAGTGTGTGGCTCAGAAAAAAAAAAAAACTCCCTCTGCCTACTTCCAATTCTCCACACTAATGAACCATAACCAAATAATACATACATTACCTCCTCAGTTTCTCAGAAACAACATGGCACAAAGCATGTTCGGCTTTGTGGTTCTGATCCGGTTGGTGGGGACTCAAGCAGGTTGAGGAGTGGGCCCCGGCAAGCATTTAGCGAGCCCGCCACTGAAGATCGCATTAGGGAATCTGCTCCGAGTTGCTGTCGGCCTTTTTCACCGAGCCAAGGCGACATCTTTCGGTTTTCTGTGTTTCTGGCCGTGTGGCCGGTGAAGCTCTCTGGAGAACCATGAGGGCAAACACCTGCCATGCCGTGGCCACATCAGAATATCACACAAAATACGAGTGTCCTGATACTCGAATCTGTCTCATACAATCACACATAAACGCCTTCCCAAACAGACGATGCCACTCGCACATTTTCCTCTCACGCCAGCAAACGTCTCGGGATAAACGGGCCGGCTTCGCTGCCGGCGAGCGACCTTCTCAGCGCTTGCTTAGGGGCCAGGGCCGGTCCACACCTGACGCCCGCTACATCCATCATGCCTCCGCTGTCTCTTGCCAGGTGTGCGGGTTGAATGTAGAAGGCATCAAGGGAAGGTCCAGGTTTACATCCCACTATGAAAGGGCTCAACTGGTCTAGAACAGGTGCCCCTAGGAGACGGACCGCCGACAGGCCAAACGCGTGGCACCGGCACTCTATTCAGCCATGAAGGGCGGCCTCCTGTTTGGTCAGCAGGTCCCCAGGCTTTCATCTTTTAAACTGGGCATTTAGCCGAGGTGCTTTGTGTACATTTCATCATCCATAAATCATGAAGACATGCTTATGATCCATTTTGCACGCCATGTGCCTTTCTTATAAAACAAAGGGAGTTGGCTTGACGGCATACAACAGGAAAAGGTTGCAAATGTGGCCCCACTACAAGAAAAAACCCTATTTAAAAATCATCTCCAACATGTTGGTCATCTTCAGTAGAGAAGTGGATGGGAATTTACACATTATTAACGTTCTATGGATGACCCGAATAGTAGAGTATCCAATGACTCAATATGAAGACGCCTGACGTACCAAACGTCTCCATGGCAGGAAAATATGTTTAAAAAAAAAGGCTAATTCATTTCTGGCTATATTAAGTTTGCATTCATTAAACATCGAATTGCTTCATGTCCCCCAACCAATCATGATATATAGCTTCTCTTGAGGTAAATATCAGCCTATTAGTAACTCTGTTATTACATTTTTCTTTTTTTTGTCAATGAATAACCTTCTTAATGAAGATGCACTATCCAAATTTCCCAGAACAAAAGAGCACGTTACTCAAATATGCATTTAATAATTTGAGCCCCACTATATGTGGCCCCATTTCAGTACTGTTCAGACAGCATTGGGTCAATACACTAAAACTCAACGCAAAGCACAGATAATAACATTGAATTCTGAGACGTTCTTTGTTGGTATTCCTATTGATCTTTGCAAATATAATGTGTGTCCTACTTGCAGCTCAGTTTCAGGTTGTAGATAGTGAGGCCCGTATTTTCTGAGGCACAGAATTGTAACTTGTAAGTTTTCCTGACAAAGTGAGTGAACCGCGTTAAAGATTGAGCTAAATTGCTGAGGTCATATTTTTTTTTTCCCCCTCCCTGTGAAATGCGACAAATTGACAGGCCTCCGCTCACATGCACATTTTCAACCTGAGAACAATGTGATGGCAGATCAAGCGAGACATCTTTCTTGCGGCCTCAGAAGTGGTGATTGATACGCGGTTACGTGCGGTGCGTGAGTGTGTGTCGAGGCTCCAGTGTGTTCGCGAGAGAGAGAGACAGAGAGAGAGAGAGAGAGAGAGAGCGCTTGCGTCTGCGCGTTGTCTTCTCCAGTTGACTGGGCAGCGAAGCGTCGCGTGAGAGGCGGTTGTGTGCAGTCAGCAGACCTTGGACCCACAGCGTGCCACTCTCAATCAGCTGCTTGTCTGTCTCCCCAGCCATGCACACCTCCATCAGCCACAGATGAAAGGGCACCGTCAAGGCCTAGAGAGAAAAGTGGCAGTCAGTGAGATCTATTTACTGAAAGACCAAAGCCGAGGGTTTCGGGAAATTGGGAATGAGCACAGAAAGCGACAAAGGAAGGAAGGAAGGGAGAAATATGAGAATATCTGGAACCTCGGGCAGAAAACAATTTCTATTCTTGTATCACATCCGCGGCTTGATGCAAAAATCTTTTCATTGAACACCGGGACGCATTCCTCTCCGTCACTGATTTTCCACCGTGTTACCTCTCTCCACAGAGAACCCCAGGGAGTCTTGCTTTGAGCCGGGCGTGGTGCGAAATGGGACTCGGGTGGGCGCCGATCTCAAGCTGGGCTCCACTGTCGCCTACCGCTGCGACAGTGGCTACACACTAGAGGGGGACCCAACCCTCACATGCATCATGGGGGGAGACGGCAAGCCGAGCTGGAACAAACCCAAGCCCATCTGTATTGGTAAACACTGAAATCCGGAGACAGCTGTTGTGGAACACAAACCACTTCTGACTTTATCGCATGTAAACATGCATGTGTGATGGTGTCCTACAGGTATATGCGGAGAGCCGTGTGGGCTTTGCTAATGTTAATAGTTGTGAGGGTGTAGCTTCAATTTAATCGCCAGTTTGAAGAGAGCTTTTATTTTATTTTTTGCATATCTGCTCCCTGCACACATGGAAAAACCTGCGTCACCTTGACTTGCCTCTGACATCCCTGAGACACAACTGACACACAATAAAAAGCCGGTAGCCGGTGGGATCTGGCGCTCCCAGTGTGAATGCATGTACACACCACGCTGATTGTCACACGAGCAAAGCGCACTGACACGTACGGGATCAGCACCGGCACAGAGATTAGAGCCCACGTAGAGTGTTTTTTAGGGAGCAGGAGGCCTGAGGACATTCAGGCCTGATCTCACCCGGGCTAACCTACAGGGACACTTGGAAAACATTGCAATTTCACTCTGGCAAACACTAGGGACATCTTCCACCCCAAACCCAATCAGACAAGAAAAGTAATTTGGGAGGAATAGAACAGAGGGGATGGAAGAGTAGGAGGAGAGATGGAATGTTTGCACCATTGGCTTTAGACCTTCCTCCTCCGCCTGTCTCTTCACGTCTCATCTCTCTGTGTGTTTCTTTAGCTCCATGTGGTGGACAGAACTCCGGTTTGGAAGGAGTGGTCTTGTCTCCTGGTTACCCCGGCAACTACAGCAGTGCACGGACCTGTCTGTACTCTGTGGTGGTGCCCAAGGATTACGGTAAGACAAGGAAATTCACTGCACTTCTGGATGTATTCATTTCATCCCAGGCAATATTTAATTGTGCACTTGTGTGTGCCTGAGAGAAGATAATTATGTGAGTTCTTTTAAGATGCAGTAATTCTATAATGCACCAAACAGCCATTAAAGACATAAACTGTGCCCAGCTGCCTGACTAAATTTCACTTATTCTTTCACCTTGCAAATAAATTAAAGTAAAGGAAAACTTTAAACTTTTTTCCCTCACACATAAATGTAAAAAAAAAAGTATAGGAAGCAACAAGTTTGAGCAAAACCGTTAAAAGGCTTTAAAAGCTCCCTTGCACTTATATAAATAATATATATACATATGAAAAATCACATTTATATGTATGTATGTATATAAATGTGATCTTTCATCACATAGTAATTGATGATTCCAATACCAATTTAGTCTTTTATTTCTATACACATGTTTCCACATTACTTTGGCAGAGCAATTGAATCACTATCTTACACCAGGCACACAACATGTGTGTCTCTCACACACACACACACACACACACACACACGCACACACACACACACACGCACACATACAGAGACACACCGACATCAAAAATAATTGGTGTCTGGAAGACCCGGCCTTCCCAGAGTTTCACCACGTTTTGGCATTTCCATTTTAAAGGTCACAGCTTGCCTCCAATATTCAATCTGATACTGTAGAAACCGCATATCATTCAGAAAGCAAAACAATGCACAAGTATGAAACAGCTAAAACCTCCAAGTACAGAAGCAAACGCGTTTCACTTGGTTGGCCACAATGTCGCACGCCCCGACTTCCTGTCCGTTTCTAGCCCCGTCTTCTTTTTTTCCTCTTTCCTCGCATTGTCACCGTTGCGCCTCTCTGAGGGGAATCTCAAGTCCCGTCATTGTTAAATGACATTAAACAGTAGAGGCCTCCGTGTTTTTTTTTAGTACTTATGCCTGGTCTTTTGAATGTCGAGGTCATGATGCCCATTCAGAAGTCTGGCGTTACTCCAAACTGACAGGGGCGGCCACTCTTTCTGGACCCCGTTGGCAACATATTTCACTCGACGGATCCATAATAATAGCGGATATTAAAATCCTGAAGGTGGACATTTGCATTTTGCTGGAAAATGACAGGGAAGGCCGAGGCAGCACAGCCACAACGATTCTCAGCTCGATTTCTTGCCGCTTCTCATTAGGCTCACCCCCCCCCCCCACTGCCCCGATGATAGGCTACTGCCCCCGATGCAGAGGGCAGGGTGGCTGTCACTGCAACCGGTGGTGTCTCTTATCATTAGGTGGAGGGGAAGCCACTGAAGCCGAGGAGGAGAAAAACAGGAGTCATGTTCAAGAGTAGCTGCCATCAGACCTATTGCTGAGCACAAGTACTCTCTCCCCTTTGCCCTCTCCCTCGTTCTCTTCATCCTCCTCTTCAATGCGCAGGCAAACTACACAAAGATTAGATGTGAAAGGACTGAATTTGTGCCGTGGTGGCAGCAGAAAGGATGAAAGCCCCATCACGGAGCTTTAGCCACACAGTGTACAACAGTCACCGGCGGAGCCTTTCATCCACAACAAGCAATCAAACCCAGACAGGATTGTTGATCTAGTTGTGTAATCCATTTTTTCTTTGCTTGTCAGAACTGTCAGTATTATCCTGCTCACTTTAATGTAGACACTTGAATTGAAATACTCTTTTTGTGCCTGTATGTCTCTTTTCCAGTGGTCTTCAGTCAATTCACCTTCTTCCACACGGCCCTGAATGATATCGTAGAGGTTTACGACGGGGCGACACAACACTCCCGGGTTCTCAGCTCCCTGTCTGGAGCGCACACAGGTACTTAAACAAACACACGCTGCCGGCTACCTGGGAGGACACTAAATCCTACACACCCGCGCAGGTTATTGTTTAAATTCAGCAGCAGTATTTAACTAATCCGCATATGTTTGTCTAGTCTAGTTCCGCGTCCCTTTCACGAGGACCCGGGGAAACTCGGGGACAAATTGCTGACACAGGCAGAGCTGCCGTGGCTGCATGCGGGCTCCAGTGAGCTGTAAAACAATTCAACAGAAACAACAACAACAACAACTTAAGAGTCACAGGGACAGCACATCAGCAGACAGGCGCAGACGCCCATGCAGCTGAAGTGGGATCAAACCAACATGTGTTAGCTCTCAGGATATACCTGCTTGCAGGTTTGTAGGCAAACAAGTGGGCTCGCACGCACACATCCAGCCGCCTGTGTGCCGGGTTTACGCAAGGGAAGTGAGATATTTATTCTTTACACTTGAAACAGAGACACTTTTTCAAACGCGCATGAGCACATCCAAGACTATCGTAAATATTACAACGTTAAGTTAAGTTTACACGTCTCAGCTTTACAAAACATAACTTTCTAGTAATTTGAGAAGGGTAATACCTTCAATGATTATTCACAGTTTAGTTATGTTGAGGAAAACCTTGTTTTCCATGAACATCAATGATATAGAAACATCTGTTCACTGCTTTCTGTCACAAACCATACTGTAAACTTTATTTTGGACACAAAATGTCAAACCTTAAAAAAGACATGCAATGTGTGAAGGCAAAGAAGAACGAATGAAATCTGTTGTTAGCGGTGTTATGGAATTACGTATTGATCTTCTACAACAGAAAAAGCATGAGAAGCGGGGGTTCAACCTTTCAAGAGGGGCGCTTTCGGGAAAAAGTGGGTGAGGTTCGGGCAGCTCTCCATCTGGACGTGTCCTTGTCCTGTGGCTCGACAAAAGCCAAATTACTTTGGTCTGCGTCCAGACTTGTCTCACAAAAATCCGGTTCACAGCTCAATAAACAGGCCGTTATATCAAATGAGGACTCCTGGTGGAGCCGAGCCGACACACTTTGGCAAGGGGGGAGCGAGTTGAAGCGCACGCACCCACCAAACATAATAATCGAAGCTCGCAAATAGACACACATCTTTAAGGAAGCAGTTCACGCAAACGGTTTCATGTACCAGCCGTCGTAAACATATAGCCGGTAATAATTTTAGTAGCTGGCAGATTTATTCTGACCAAAAAAAGCAGATTACATTAATCTAGTTGCAGCAAACGTGTCGTTATCTCATGTGTGGTGAGGCACATTTCTAGTTTTGAAACGTACGGGCACTTTCACAGGCAATGGTGACAGACAGAATTAAATGTGAAAATGGAGATTTGAACACGATAAAAGGTGGGAATTAGAAAAGAAAATGAGACGGCATGCAGAAACCACAAAAGGACTAAATCAAGAAATCAATGATATTCATCCAAATGCTAATTTTTTTAATGAAATTATTAAACAGCATGATGAGATGAGTCTTGTTTTGACTACATTTTAATTAACCGCTTTTGCTTCTTTTATTTCGTTTAAATAAATCCTATTCATAAAATATCTTAATTGTCTGTAATCCACTCCGGGCTGCTCTTAACTCTTAACGCTGTTTGATTTGTGGTTAAGCAGCCGGAGCGTTGATGTCTGATTCTGTGTGACTGTGCACCAACAACTGCCGCTGAATTGTGACCGCTGCCTTCCTGCCAAAGTCACATCTGTCCATATAAGCCTTTCACTTTGAGGGCAAAGTGGTCTGGAGCCAAAAAAGTGTCATGGGGGTTCATACATTACATGCTGACACACGTTTGATCCGTCTAGATGAGTACCTGCCCCGCACAGCAGATTATGAAACACCGTAACCACGACAGCACAGCAAGGGCTTTTAATAAACTACCCAGCATGCCTTGGGGATCCTACCAGCGTGGCCCCAGCAATCACGGGGGAAGAAGGCACGTTAAGAAAAAACGTGCCATTGGAAATATTCACACGCAGGATAAGACGCCCCGACTCGGGAGTTAAGCCACGTCCGACTTCCACAACGGTGGCGACAGCGAGCAGACGCAGAGTGATGAGATGCGCGGCGGAGGGCCAGTCAGCTGCACGGCGAGAAGGGGGGGGGGGGCAGACGCTCGCACTGTGTGTCTCGTGTTCGACACCAGCCAGAAAACAGTTTTCCACCACAATAGAGACGCCATTGGAGGCGTTTAATTACACAATGTGCCGATGAATATAGCAGGTGATCATAATATTGCATTTTCACTGATAACAATGAGGATCTGAATCGTAGTGAGAGATTTGCCACATATACTGTTCCTGTTGAGTGATATGAATGAATACAGTATATATATTTCATTGTAAACATACAGGCAATCTCATGACGTTATATATAAATATATAAAAAGAAATTGTAAATTGTCCACCATTTAATATTTAGTTCATGAATATGTGGTCGCTTAATAAATTACAGTTCATCTGAAAAACTAAACAAACCACAAATGAAAAGATCTAGTTTTGTTGACATATACCATCCAAAACAAAACCCAACTGACCGAACTTGCTCCTCCAAATCTCGCTACGACTGGATCTTGATCTTGAAATTGGACAGAGTGGCAGCCACTTAGCGTAGAGCGACCGTCGAGTCCGGCCTGCACAGTCTGCCCTTAAGGCGTCTTTAATGTCAGCGGGAGCGTGATTGTGGAGGGCCTCGCTGGTGATTAACCTAGAATTTGATTCTCTATTGATGTACGGCCATTGAAGTCAAGTCTGGAGAGCTGTGATCTCTGCAGCTGGTTCTTCGGCACTTCGGGGTCTTGATGCTCTTATTTCATACCAGCTGCAGATCCTCCAGTAATGATTCTTTAATTGGGTACGCGAACGGAGAGTCACGGCAGTCCAGCTGGGACAAGACAAAGAAATGAACCGTAGATCATATTCCTGAGCGCGGAAAAACAAGAACACAACAGCGAGCTTGCGTTCTCTGAAGCAGATGTGCCAGAACACGCCTTGATATCGTCTGACTGCGCTCATGGGCTCGGGTGTGATGAAGATGCTAAAGGAAAGCGGTTACCATCTCACAAGCACAGCGTGATCCGGTTTGACAGTGAAATATAAGGATGCCCTTAATAATCACCTTCCATTTCCATATTTTGATATGCTGCGGCTGCCTTATGGAGCCTTATAGGCATATTGTACTTTCATCACAGTGGGTCTTTCTGTGAAAAACTAATGTGCCCTAGCAGCACTTTGCTCAAACACGTTAGAAGCTGTGACTTTAACGTCTATATCTCATCATAGGGGAATCGTTGCCGTTAGCAACCTCCAACCAAGTCCTGATCCGTTTCACCTCCAAAGGCCAATCCAGCTCTCGAGGATTCCACCTCGTCTACCAAGGTAAGTTTGTACACAGTGAACACGTGCACATTAAACAGTCGGATCATTCAGACAGCGACACCCATCGTAACTATTTGAGAATAGATCATGTTGCCATTGGAAATGTCACAGTAAAGACAGTAAAAACCTGTTTGCGTCGCTCTGTTCGCCCCCTCCCCCCCGAAGCCGTGCCACGGACAAGCGCCACCCAGTGCAGCTCAGTCCCGGAGCCCCGGAATGGCCGCCGCATGGGCAACAACTTCGCCGTCGGTGCTGTGATCCGCTTTGAGTGCAGTCCAGGTTACGTGCTGGAGGGGCCCAGTGCCATCGAATGCTTGACCGTTCCTAATGCCCTGGCACAGTGGAACAGCTCCATACCCAGCTGTATAGGTAGGCTATACATTCTCAATTACAGACACAAACTTTTTTGTTTTTTTTGTTTTATGCTTTCCTCGATTATTGGTAGGAGTCTTTAATTATTTTATCCGCTCCCTGTCTTTCCGGGTCTCCTACCGTCCCTGTGTCCCTCCCACTTGAAGCCTTCTTCAGTGTAAAACTCTTGAAAGTAGCACACAGATGCGAGCTGCCAGCCGCTGCCTGTAGCGAGACAGAGAGAGATCAGCCATGCAGGACGCAGGTGGCGGGCTGCGCCGAGGGTCACAAATCCAACACGCATTCATACACTCACACACACACTCACACTCACGTGGAGATATGGGTGTGCAGTTTATGTTCAATGGAACACTCACTCACACACTACAGTACATAGAGCCGTAGCAGATGCTTCTACGCTGTCACCATATGTATGCCGATACTGAGCCAGTCTTGTATAAAGTGTTGGTATGGTTTTGTGGGCAAGTCCAGGTGGTTAAGACTCAAGTCCAGTTGTGGTTTAATGATTCGATTTGAGTCCTAAAATCTGGTTTGTATTAAAACAAGCTAGAAAGTGAAAAACTTTAACCTAACATTAACAGTTTTGTTTTTATTTTAGGGTCTTGTGCCTAATCTGTTGTGTGATCTTTGTCTTGTTTCCCGTGTTGTACTAATAGAATCACGTCAATGTCCCACGATTAAGCCATATGAACATACTGCTATTAAGTGTGCAAACCAAATGCACATGCTCCGAAGCATATACCTCATCTTACTCTTGCTGCATATTTTTCTATTAGCGTTTGTTGGTTAACTGGTACACGCTTGGTACACTGCGACACCTCTTTTTCACCCTTTCCTCCCACAGTTCCATGTGGAGGTAATCTGACCCAACGAACTGGCACCATCTTATCTCCCGGCTTCCCCGAGCCTTACCTCAACAGCCTCAACTGTGTCTGGAAGATCACTGTTCCAGAAGGATCAGGAGTCCAGGTTTGCACAACACAGTTTCTGCCTGGCATCAACTTTATCCTGTGTGACAGAACTGTAATAATCCGATAATGCAAAAATGTGTTCAATCTCGAGTAAATCCCAGACGGATTCGACCACAGTAGCCACGGAGTGTAAATACACACGCCTCTCCCAAATAAAATCCCAGGTTTCCAAACCACATGGAACCTTTTAGTTCCCCAACATCAAAGGGTTTAGTATCCAACATAATTATACAAATAGAAACTATCTTGACTCGATTTGAAAAAGGTTAGCAGTGCGACCTCATGATACAATATAACAAATGTCTTGTTTAAAAGCTTTGTAGCATTTAGAATTCTCAGGGTACAGGAGAACTGCTGCATGACCAAGTTCATAGACTTTACAGTGGCTCAGAATTTAATTTGACGGATCACTATACCTGAAACAAGATTGCACCATTAGAAAATGAATCTGTTCAATTACTTATTCTTTCTTGGGAGTTAATTCATATTGATGCATGTGCGATGGAACTTTACCAGGAACCTGTGTGAGGTCCCTCTGGATGTGCCAGAAGGAAAGGTTTTAGGCTCATGCTTCAGCCTCGGTGGGTAATGACCTCAGCGCAGTCCCTCGACTATTAGCTCGCCAACCTCAGCTGCCTGTCCTTGCAGGTCAAATGCACGAGACGGCCCGCAGGCACGCTTTGCATGCTGCAGTACTCACTAACATCTCAGTAGCTCGAAGGTGAAATAGGACGTAACAGAACAGAGAGGTGGCTGCCCGTGCACTCTCAAGGACAGCAGCATGAAACAGCATAGTTTGGAAATGACAAATGAGGGTTTTCGTTCTTTGGAAACACACTCCCAACTCGTTGGAAAAGGGTCACTGCTCGCGCTCCAAAAGATCCAGCAGGCTTTCCTCTGTGTCTACTAACCCGTGCAGCTGGGTCCTCCTCGTCCCTACTATTTGCGGTCCCGCTCATCTCTTTCACGCAGTCTTTGTTTTTCCCACCTTGCTTGCTTCCCACCTGCCAGTTAGCCGAGACACATTAGATCGCAGTGTCGCAATCCAGAAGATAACTCTTAAGGAGCGAGGTGCCATGCCGGCACATTTGTCGTGGACCCCCCACCACCAATGCAAGATCTATGTGATCTATTTTGTCTCCACAGGACCCACCGGGGCCCCTACCGCCCCTTTAATTGTCTCGTATCTGATCTATAACCATCAGAGAGGAGAGGGCTGAGTGATGGAGTGAGAGGGAACGTGAATGGAGGCTTGGGTAGTAAATGAACAGGGTTACATAGGATGCGGAAAAAAGGGACGGAATGTTTGGTGAGACCGGGGTAGATACTGCAGATAGCAGTGTAGCCGTTCCTAACCAGGGACTTTTTAAAGCGCGGCACGCGGCGTTGTTTGTCCGTTTACTCCGTCATGCACAGACGGCAGAGGCTGCCACGCAGCGCACATTCCCAGAGCCATGGCAAAAACCTTATTGAACCTTGGAAGTGATTTTAGGATACAAGATCATGTCCAAGGACTCTTGAACATCTGGAGTTAAGGAGTCAGGGACGAATGACGATCATCTAGGGATAAGAGAATTGTTGGGCTGTTTTATAGATGTGAGGTAAACCTCCCCATCCTTTGGTTAGTATTCATGAGCAAAATACGCTTTATGATCCAATTTATTTATATTTGAGAATGCAGGATGCTTTTGCAAGTGTGTTTCTCGAGGGGGACAAAAGAAGCCCTTCTTTTGAAGTCTCAGTATGTCTTTCTTTGAAATACAGTCTATTATTCATCATCCTCTGCTGCTGTCATACAGTTTTCCGAAAATTCTAATCCAACCCCCACCACTTAACTACAGCCTTTAAAAATGATGTTTGAAATGTATAAAAGCAAGACAAATGTTACACAATGACTATTTAGCTGTTCTATTGAGAATCCTCAATAGCTTTATTCATTCGAAATTTTACCTCCGCTCTAGTTTAAATAGTATGAAAAGAAAAGAAGAGAAATAACTCTTTCAGTTCACTGTTAAAGTTACAGTAAACAGATGTTTCCCCTGTGAAACCCTGAGGAGTTTAGAGGAGAGGATCTGTGGTTTTGGATCTCTGTTTTCTACATAGAAATATCTCCCTCCGGCCTCTGGTGGCCTTCATGGGACATTTTGACCAAAAGTTCTCAAGTGTCATGTCTGAGACAACTTCTATTCCCAGGGGCCATCTTCTTAGCGCTTTACTGTGTATCTCGTCAGTAAACTTTTTTTGTATGTGTTCTTCAACCTTGTAATCTGTGTCCTAACGCGTACGCACCCATGATCCTACTGCTCCTGCTGTGCTCCCCAAAATCCCACTTCTTTTCTTCTCTTTGGTCTCCCCCACCTCAGATCCAGGTAATCAGCTTTGTGACGGAGCAGAACTGGGACTCCCTGGAAGTGTTTGACGGAGGCGACAACACTGACACCATGCTTGGCAGCTTCTCAGGTAGTGTAGCTCTTGTTCATATCTGTGTTTTTTTTTTATCTTCTTGCACATTTTCAATCAATTTTGCAATGTTTTTAACATCTCGACCTTCAACATAAATCGCTTTTTTCCCCTCTATACCTGCCAAAAGCACAGTCGAAACAGCCTAAATCGCCCAATTAGTTTTCACACAGCAGAAAATAACCCCTATTACATTTTGTATCTGTTGAACAACACATACAGTGATACAAAACGGGGGCCTCATTTGGCACAGTTGGCATTGTAACATCGCACAATCCAATACACAGTGGAAACGGGCCGCAGATGAAGTCGTGGGAGAGGTTAACAATTCAAAACTAGTCGGGCTTCCCCGGGAAAAGAAAGGAACAATTCAACAGTGCTTGTCCTCTTTCTGTGTTGAATTGAATTGAACCTTTTGTTTACAGTATCTGTCTTGCTCCTTTTCATAGCGACAGCAAATTCTCCCTTTGTTTGTGCCTGGAACTTGACCAAAAAGTAAATGTTTTTTCTGCACCCTGAAAGTGAAGACATAAAAGGGAAATGCCAGGCGCACACGTTTGAGCTATTAAACAGCCAATGTCAGGTCTTACAGTTTCCGTAAAACATGTGCTTTCATTGAATGATGTTTTACGTCCACTGTTTTTGACTTGTTAAGAACCGAGTACGTACGCACACGTTGGAAAATACAAAGTGCTGTCCTCAGCAGGTCCCACTATTATGCATATTCTTAGCCAAATATCCTTGTATGTCTCTACACAATCAATCATCCATGCATGTTTGCTGCATGTCCACACAAACATACACAGATACGCAGCCCCTGCAGCCATTGGCAGCAGCTTATATCGTTAGTTATGGTCGGCCCGTGCAGAAGATAGCATTGCTGAACCACACTATTAATCTTCTCCCCAAGGCACCACCGTGCCGGCTCTCCTCAACAGCACCTCAAACCAACTCTACCTGCACTTCTTCTCGGATATCAGTGTGTCTGCAGCTGGATTCAGGCTGGAATACAAAAGTAAGTGAAAAAAAAAAACGGTTCATGCCCCTTGACGTTTACTACAACTCTCCTGGTGATGTCATTGTTGTATGATGACCTGGAACTAAGAATTGTTTTGTTTTCCCAAACTGAAAGAATAAGTCGTACCTACTAAGGGAGCTGGTCCCCTTTTTCATAAAGTGGCCAGCAGAGTGCAAAATATTGTAGTGCAGCTGACTTACCAGACACTTCAACTAACTCCCCTGTTTAATCAAATACTAGTAGCCTACATTCATTGACTGGTTGGCTTTCTCAATGAGAATCAGATGTCTTCCCTTCTATATTTTACTCCTTTCTGTTTTTCTATGGTTATTAAATATTCCTCATTTGTTTGCTGTTCCTTAGCGGTGTCTCTCACCAGTTGCGCAGAGCCTGTGGTTCCCATGAACAGCATCAAGGTGGGGGAGCGTCTCCAGATGAATAATGTGGTGTCTTTCCAGTGTGAACCTGGATACACTTTACAGGTAATCCCTCGTCCTCGACACATTAGTGACCGAAAACCCCTTTTCAAAAGCAATCTGATACTTTTTTTAAGCCCCAAACTGAACTGAATGCTCTGGTAATGCTAATTAGAAATAATTGTGCATTATTACAGTCCAGACAACTTCACAAGCAAGTTGTCTTTGTGTTCAGTTAAACTCATGCGCACTCGTGTGGCTCATTACAGTGTGTTCACGAGACAGCTTCTTCTGACTTCCAGCCATTGTGTTTAAACAATTGTGATCAAAACGTTTAACTCTTGTGGCAAGTTCGCTTTAAAACTCAGATACGGAGCGTTTCAAATAAAAATATGGTAAGACATATTTTTGGAGGAACAGTAAGTGATGATCTTAATATGCCAGCGATGCTCCCCCTCTATTATTCTCTGTCACTTCAGATAGATTTAGTCATTACATCGCCGCGTGAAGTCATGTGGAGACGGGCAACCGGTTCAAATAATTGGAGCAAGAGCTGAGTGACAGAGGGGGGGGGACAATTTAATTAATGGCCTGTTCTGTGTTCTTTTCTTCCAGGGGAACTCGCACATCACCTGTATGCCTGGGACCTTTAGACGATGGAACTACCCTCCTCCTCTCTGCATAGGTAAAAATATCCCCTTTATCTGCCTCTCGGTCTTGCCTTCCTATTTTTGGAGATCCTTTACCTTTGCCAAGCACTCCAGCTTTCTTTTTTTTTGGAGAAATATCCAGAGCATATAATGATTTAACGTGTGTGAAGACTCTGTGCCTTTGAATGAAAGCTGAATTAAATTAGCATATCGCAGCAAACTATAGGTGACAAATATCGCAATAGTGTCTCACGGCTCGCTCACACAAGCAGTCATTGTAAGAGGATCAGCAGTTTCCTGATTACCTCAGACTGTTGATGCTGCTCCAGGATAGCATTCAACACAACGGCCCCCTGGTCGTCTTTGTGTGGTTTCATCCTCCTTTGACTGATGTCGGCTGTGTTCTCCCATTTATTTCTTCTTCACGCGGTGTTTTTGTGTTGTTTTTTTCTTCTCCAAGCAATACCTCTGTTTTCTTCTTCTTGTTATTCTGCAAATTCTTTAACAATTACTTTCAGCCTCCTTTCATCTCTTTTCTTTTTAATTTTGGTGTCAGGATCTGTCGCTCTTTCATCTTTCTTGATCCAATCATTGCTTTTTACTCGTTATTTGCAGTTAGTTTCTTCTCCTCACTTAAAGATGAAAGGAGAGGGATGAAAAACAGCAAAATATACTGTTTTGGACAACAATATCTCAAGTAAAAATACAAGATCTCCGCAGTTCCTCAACAGCCACATTGATTTTTGTGTGTCTGTGTCTTTAAATGCCTATTTCATTTTTTGACAATGTTGGTCTTTTTTATTCATAATAGAATTATAAAACCATCTTTCCCACTGTTCACATTATTGCTGTTGAACGTGTAACTACTAATTAAATTAAATAAAAAATGGAGAATTAAAGTTCTGAAAGGTTGCGAGTAAATGGGGAATAATCCATTTTTGAGCATTTAATCAAGATTAAATTGGAGCACATTGATTCATCCTTCTTTTCTCCTTTAGTTATATCTTCAGTTTTTTCGGCTTTGCATGGCTCAATATTTCAACTCTGCTTTGTTTGAGCTAAAGCCAAACTTTTCTATTACTACAAAGAACTGTATTGACATCGTGTTTGTAGTGTATTCACATCTGGGAGAATCACCGTCAAAGCATTTTTTTTTTTCTGCCCTCTGCCAGCTCAATGCGGTGGGATTCGGGAGGAGATGGAGGGCATGATTCTCAGCCCCGGTTTCCCTGGCAACTACCCTAGCAACGCCGACTGTACATGGAGAATCTATTTGCCAGTTGGTTACGGTGAGCACCACGAGAGGCTCGAAGCATTTCGACTCTCGAGTACATTCAATTAAACAAAATGTAAGGCGCAGGTGTGGCATGGCAACATTTTAAGTTGTTGATACATGTTTGTCAATTATTTTGGAACTAAGAGCCGGTATCAGGGAGCCTTTACTACCTCAATAGTATTTCAGGAGGATGATGGCAGTGCTTTTGAATTTCCTATCCCCTCTTCCTCAGTACTGTTTCTTTCCTCTTTTCCCAGGAGCCAACCTGCAGTTCCTCAACTTCTCCACCGAAGCCAACCATGATTTTCTTGAGATACGCAATGGTCCCCTTGATACAAGTGCAGTGATCGGTCGATTCAGCGGCCAGGATATTCCCCCCTCCGTTTTCTCCACTTCCCACGAGACCACAGTTTATTTCCATAGTGACCACTCACAAAACAAACCGGGGTTCAGATTCGAGTACCAGGGTAAGAGACCACGAAGATTGAAGTGTAAAATTATGATCGGCCTTAGGATTGTCTCAGAAACAAATAGTCTCTGCTTATATATATTTATTCAAATGATCATAATCACCTGTGCTCTTTTTTCAAAACAGAGCCAGTATGAGTATTTTCAGTTACGTTCTTGGTAAAACTAGTAATTACTTTCGCTGATGCTTTTTTGGCTGCCTCAAACCATCTTGGCTGTCACACAAATGGGGTACAGAGAACGTTACTATAATTATCCGAGCTATTTCCCCAATTGACACAATCCCAGAATACACTATTACATCTGAGATGAATCATATTTAGGAACAGCGTCGGTGTTAGGTGTGTTTTTGTCAGACCATAACGTAACCGAATCGACTGTAGAAATGACTCTTCAACCCACAGAGCCAGTAAATGATCCGGATCTATAAATGTCTCTATACACAACAGTTGATCACTTAAAAGATTTTCGCCACATGTGGCAATAAAAGGCTTTACTGCATATCTGTTTTGCAGCAACAAATATGTTGCCCCTGTGTGCAAATGCAACAGGTGCACAAAGTTTGCATTTCCTCATTTAACAAACGACCCGGCAATCAAAAGGTAGCATTGATCATTTACATAAATCTGTACATTAGCATATAAATCAAGCATTATATTTGCAAATCCCACCCTCCCACACACTATTTGCATGAGTTATCTCCTACAAAGGAAAGCTGTGATCCATAGAAATCAATTTATTTAGTCGTATTTATATTCTGGCTCTTCAAGGCTCATTGCCTGCTTTTCCTTTCTTTCAAAGAGAATGAAAAAAAAAAAAGTAGGAATTATTTAACCACACTACTTCTGATAACTGCATCATACTCCTCCAGCACACGTCACACCTGCCCCGGGCATTTTTCTTCCCTCTGAAAACTCCCGTCTAAGGAGGAGGAGGGGGGGAGGCGTAGGAAGAGCAATGAGGGGGAGGTTGAGCTGAAGGAGGAACACAACAGAATCAGAAAGCAGGGAATATTCAGGCGTATCCTTCAAAGGTGGGAATTGATTGCGAGTTTCAGGCAGTGACAGAGAATGAGCGTACGGGGCGCACTAGTTACTGATTTTGGTACAAGAATGTTTCATTTTTTTTGTTTCAAGTCTACGCAAAATGTGTAAAATGTTCTGAATAAATGATCTAGCTATTTTTGAAAAGACTGACGTACGTGACGTTCTCTCCCCTCAGCCTACGAGCTACAGGAGTGCCCCGATCCAGAGCCTTTCCGTTACGGAGCGGTGGTGGGAGCCGGCTTCAATGTGGGCCAGTCTATTTCCTTTGAGTGTCTGCCCGGGTATCAGCTAATGGGATATTCCATCCTCACCTGTGAGCACGGCACCACACGCAACTGGGATCAGCCTTTCCCTCGCTGCGAAGGTACGGCGCGGGAGATCTGACACACCTAACACTTGGTCATGTGAGCGCATTAACCAGTCCGACCCACTAAGTAGTCTTCTAAACAAGTGGCCGACTCCGCTGCCTGATGCACGCGGAGGCAAAGTAATAGCTTGACTTCCTGTTTGGAATGTAGTGAGCTATTGAGCACCATTAGTGCAAAGTGGGATAATGGAGATAATGATTATCTATTATGAATTATGCAATTAAACTGAATTATCATCCCCTATTAATGAAGCAAAGTCCTTTTCAATGAAAATCAATGCTGTGCTAAAGACAAAAGGAGCCAAACAAAGGCTGAATAAAACAGGGCCTGAACTGAAAAGAAAAGTAATGGGTGCTCTTGCTTTTGCCTCGTCCTTGACCCACATTCTCACGCTCCGGCTGCCGATTATTCAATAATGCAGGCGGAATTACACAGGGAGGTGATGGCCATGACACTGTAATTTTGAATGGGCGATCAGGGAGATAAATGTAAGTGAGATAGAGTGTGAGCAACAGTGTGGAAATGAACAGGAGAACACATTTTGTTTCTCAATATTCACGTTTCAAATCCCAAAAGTGTTTACCCAAGAAATACTACCTGTGTGTGTGTGGGGGGGGTGGGAAAGGACAATGAGGGCAAGCCGCACATGCATACGGTTGCGTGATAATTTACTTAAATTTAACATGTATTTATGGAAATGCATTTGTCTGTCATTAATGCAACTAAATCAGGCGGAAGCAGAAGCTTACACAACTGTGACTCTTAACTAGACCAACGCGATTCCTACTGTTGCCATGGTAGCCAATGTTGAAATTAGTGTTTGAATATATCTTTTTTAATTACTAAAAATGACTAATAGCCCGTGAACTAATGAGCAGTTATCCCACATCTATCAACATCAAAGTTGATTTATGCGATTCTAATCCAACAGGCCTCCACTTTTTGTCTAATCCATCAGATATGGCCTATCCGCCTGCCGAGTTCTTCTAGGGGGATTTTTAATAAGGTACTCGGGTCTTCATGACCTGTATTATAAGTCATCCAAGGTCACACGTGACTTTGTCGATGTACAAAGTCCAGCGTGCATATTTGCGAGACACCAGATATTTGGTGAGAAACCGCTGCGTGTGGTGGTCACTCACAGAATCAGAGTTAAATCGTTAACTCTCAATTGCACCCTAATCAGATACTGTTAAATATGTGGAAAATTGACAAAATAATTTTTATTATGTTTCATTGTTTTTACAGATACTGTTATGCATGCACACACTTGCACAAACATGCGTCAAGGACAGTATTTTACATATTCATGTTGTTTACACCAAACAGGTGTCACAATGCCTTTTCCCATAAGGTTTAAGTAGGTTGCCTTTAGATGGCAGTCATACATGCAATTTGAGAGCGTTTTAGCATTCCATCTCATTGATAGCTTATTATGAACCACAGAACCAAAGCAGACTATCTATCTATGTGAAGAGACGCATTAACCTGAGAGAGAAACAGAAGGATACAACCAATGCAAGCACCGCATTTGGAAACATCACATTCCCATAGCCACCGACAGGCGTGCCGCTAAGCTCAATACTCGCCTGGGTTGCTTAAGAATTCTGTACTCCTACCACTCCTTCCGTATATTTCATGCTTCGCCAATAAGAACATGAGGTTCCGCTGAGGGCACCAGCTGGAATGTTAAGCTTCGTAATCGTTAAGTTGGTTAGAGCCTCCTGAGTCTCTGAGGAAGGTTTGAAATATATTTACCATTGCTATGCATGCAGATTGGATGCTGGGTGCAGGCTAGTTTTATATATGTGTGTGTGTGTGACTATTAGTCAGACTGGTCTGTGTTTCTTTTGTTTTTTTTCACCTCTGGATGTCAGGCGTCCACGGACTTGATTGAGGGGGTTCTAGAGTTTTGTCAGCTCTGACATGGACATCCTGTTTTTACCTTTCCCGTCACTCAAACTAATACGTTTTCACACACACATATCCACTTCTCATGCACTGACTTTCTACGCACAACCTGGAAAGCCCAGTCCACACTAACCCCTCGCCTCGTCTCCGCACTCTCGCTGTTCACCCCAGTGGAAAAGGGGTTGAGGCCTTATCTGAGCAAAACACTCCATCCAAGTCCCCACTTGCTAACAGGCTTTACCAGCTAATCTTTAGCTCAGACAAGCGCCTGGGCACTAGACGAAGAGTAAAGGAGAGGGGGAGAGCGACACTGAGACGGGGAGCAGAAGAAGCAGGGGATGAAAAATCCAATTTTTTCAACCGATTGCAGCTGAATTATGGATGTGTCCTGTTGTATTCTTGGCCCACTGATATATATACTCTGCCACCCTTTCTCCCTTCCTCTTCTCTCCCTCAGTGCCTTGCGGGGGGAACATCACATCAGACAATGGGACCATTTTCTCCCCGGGTTACCCAGAGGAGTACCCTAGCTCGGCTGACTGCTCCTGGCTGATCACGGTTGCTCATGGCTTCGGCATCAAAATCAACTTCACCCTGCTGCAGATCCACGGGCCACACAATTTCATCACTGTTTGGTGAGAAACGACTGCTTCCAGGGACTCTAGAGTGTAACATTTTGCGAAATACTGTGTATATAATGATCCTTGACAGATAATGCTCCACTGAAATGATATTTTACCAATTTACTGGTATTAACTAAGCCTTTATTTTAAGATGTATTTTATAACGTATTTTACGATCACGCAAACAAATGTATTTGGAAACAGTAGCTGCTATATACTGAACCAGACCTAGAATTGGTAAGACCAAACATCTCTGATCTTGACAAATGCGTATGGGTTTTGTACTTTTCATATACAATCCTAATGAATGAAAAGTACATCATAAGTTATTTCAACGGTAACATGTAAAGAACGCGAGCTGCCATGGAGGACCAATCAAAGCATTGTGTGGGATATTGTTGTCCCTATTTGTGAGTAAAGAGAGAGAGAATGTTTTTGTTTGGACAGATATATAACAGGTTTGTGTATTTCCTTTCTTCATATCCATAAAGCGCGCCCAGGCCATATGTCGTACCCCCCCCCCCTCCCCAAAGACAGGATTTTTCATGCATGACGGTTGCGAGTCACAGTTGATCCCTTCTCCCTGAGACAAGCTTCAAAGGTCCCAGCTCTCAGTGAGACCGGGGTCTGACGGCCCATCAACCTGCCAACTTGACAACCTCATGAGAAGTCCACAAGGAAGAAGGTCGATATCTATGTGTAATGGATTGCGCTGCTCGTAGAAATTGATGTGAACATTTTTAGAGCGCAGGGGGAGTTTTTGTCAGTAGGTGTATTACTAAAGCGAGCCAAAATGTCTACTTTTTACCGTACTGTGATCGTCTGTAAACGGCCCCCACTGTTCTGATCTTTCCCAGCGAGCTCGTGCAGAGCCAAGATGTGGACTATCATGTTCCCCAGTTTCCAGTTCCCACCGCTGTGTGTCTATCCACTGAGCCACTGAGCCAAGGAAATGGGCCCCGTAATGGCGGCTTGGCTAGAGGGCTGTCAGGCAGCACTCCCTAGCCAGCCGTTTCCAGAGCTGCTTGTAATCTCCCTTGCCCAGTCTGACAGCCAAAGACAGATGGTTTTTAAGCTGAATGGTTGTGGCAGGAATCTGGGAGCCGGCTTAATCGGCCTTGCCCACGCCAGGGGACTGCCAAGGCTGGTCGGGCAGCTTCCAGACACACTTCTATTGGATGGCAGACCTGTCATTCCATGCTCATCTGTCATTTTTTACCTTATTTGAAGGTAATCACCTGGAGCAGCACAGGTTTATTGGGTATGATGAAGTGAGAGCAGCTTGGCCGAAGTCTGCTGCTGGAAGCTGCTTGACAATCATCTGACGTGTAGCTTTGTTTGGTTTGCTCATAGATATCCGTCAAAGAGCCTCAAGGTACTTCATGGTTAGAGGCCGAGTGAACATTTGAGCAAATACTTACAGAATATCCTCATCGTTAATTATCATAACTTTGCTCCACTCAATTGTTTCAATTGAAGTTGGAGTTGACCTGTAAACTCTCTCCTCTTTTCCTCTTGTAGGGATGGTCCACAGGAGACAGCCAGGAAACTGGGAGTGTTCACTGATGGGGAGCCAAATGACCCGCCCAGTAGCACATCCAATCAGGTGTTGATACGTTTCCGTAGCAACACCGAGAAGGGCGGACTATTCCGTATCAGCTATCAAGGTATGCAAATGACCCTCAGCCTCCTGGTCATTTTGTCTACCAGACATTTTGCACGTTCTGCGTTTGACTCCTTTCCTGTCTTTGATACTCTGAATGTAGCTTACAGGCTGCAGTTCTGCCTGCCTCCCCCCATCATTCCTAATGCAGAGATCCTGATGGCAAGCAAAGAGTTTAAAATAGGTAGGTGGAAATGCTGTCACTAAAAGGCATATTCATACACATGTAGCCACCCACCCACCACCACTGCTATCCAGGCACTACTGGCAGGCACTACTTCTTAGCAATGGATGTCAATCCCATCGCGACTTTTAAATTGTTAATCCCACTGTCAGTTCACATTTTGGCTACAATATTTTACACTGCCCCAGGTTTACTGGCTGATCCTGACTACATATCGCATAAGACAGTTGTACTGAATACAGACCAGAGCCATACAACCAAAAACCCAGGGAATTTTAAGGCAGCATTATGAATGAATGATTGTGACAAAATAATCAGAAAGCCAGAGGGATTTGAGAAAGGCGCTCTGATTCTCCCCGGTAGAAGACAATGTAGATTAATTCTCCTTATCCGGTTATTTGCATACCTCCTCACCGCATTGCTATTCAGAGACACAAAGGAAGCAACACTGACATAGGATTCCCAATGAGGATTTATTTTTGTACTTTTTCCCACTGTTAACTTTTGCTTTTACTAAGACACACAATAGATCGTGATTAATTTTGCATCCTAACTAAGGGGCCCTGGTGGGTGGATAAGGACATTTTGGATTGTTCTATTCATATGGATTCTACAGACCTCATTACCTGCATTGCTCCCTACCCCATCTCTCTTTGTTCAGGTGATATAGTGCGCTACCGATGTCTTCCCGGCTACCAATTAAATGGAAACAGCATCCTGACCTGCCGGTTGGGGACGCACTTGGAGTTCGAGGGACCTCCACCCTCATGTGATGGTGAGTGAATGGCTTAGGCTCGAAAAAACATACCCAAGCAGAGGCATGTTGTCTTTTTTCAAGAAGGCCCCTTTCACACTAGCACAGTTGGCCACCATGCACGGTGGGTTTAAGGTGGAGTCAGGACCTCTGGAAAACTTCACTGCCCTCCCCTTTGTACATCCATGACCACTGCATCTCTAAGGGCCTTGCTCGAGAGCACCTTAATGTTGGGAGGTTGGTAGCGGCCAGCACTGTTTTTCACTATATCAGATTTTTATCCTGCGAGGCCCAGGGATCAAACCTATGATTTTGCACTCAGAAGTTCTACATTGTGATGACACGTTCCCTTCTTTCTGTATTTAGGGCATTTTTCTCTTCCTGCTTTATCTTTTCATATCATCTCCCTTTTATCCCATGGAATATATATATTATATTGTGAAAGTTTAGCTCTGGGATACGTGATTCAATACGGATAATTACAGACATTGTTTTGCATTATTTAGCTCAACAGTCTCAAAAGGAAGTTAGCCCATATGTACATTATGTCCAAAAAAACTGATAAAATAGCAGTTGACACTATGCAGTTGAAAACTATGCTGAAATAAGCCATGATCTATATAAGTCCAAATCCCACCGGCTAAATGGTGTGCTGTACATCCATTCTTAGTAAAAGTAATAGCTAAATTGTCTCTTACATAAAGATACTTCATATTGCCTGCGTGATGAGAAATTGTGTTTGACAGATGTGTCACAGCACTAGGGGAATGTTCGCCATGATAGTTATACTCTAATCATAGACTCATGGACTAGTTTGATATCTGCCTTGTTTAGCTGCACTTTCTGCCCGTAGTTATGGAGCGGTAGCTGCATATCAGTCTGGCAGCACTTTCCGTCTCCGTGGACGATACTAGGCTCCCATGAGGCTGTTGTGGTGCCACCTACGTGCAGAGATATTGTCCTCCCAGAGGAATTAATGAGTGCGGTGCTCCCAGCCCAAGGGATCATCACGGCGCTGTGTGTTGTGTGCAATGCTTTGGCTCTGGGCAATAGACTGAGTGCATAGAAGGGTCCCTCTGTTTTTCCTCATAATATCATAAAGTCATATATTTTTCATTGCATCCTTTGAAAAAAAAGGTAGTAATTCTTGTCGGTCTTGCTTTGCCATTGCCATTGCCATTAGTGTCTCACTCTGTTTGAGGGTTATGTAGGTGGAATTTAATAAATGCAACTCATTTAAAGTGTTAAATGGGAAAAATATGCAAATGATCTCACCGTGAGATAAAAGAAAGAAAAAGAGTTGCTGAAAGTAAGAGGGCAGTGAAAGGGGAAAATGATCTATGGGTTTGCTGATTTAAAGAGGTGCAAGGAGATACACTATGCCCAAGATACAGGGGAGACTGTGTGTGTCAGAGAAAAAAAAAGAAGTTTGAGTGAGTGCATTTATTTTTTTCCTCTGTGAACTTCCTTCTTTTGCAAAGTAACCTTTCACTGCACCGACAGACATCTGCAACTTTTGTGTGTATGTTTCTGTTTCATGTGGCCCTTTCGTTTTTCACCTTATGCATAGAGACACTCATAGTGGGGGGGTACCAACAGTTCCACTCAGTCTTGCTGCAAGCTGTCACATTGCTAGCATAGACAGACCTGGTTGATGGAGAGGAGAGCCACATATAGCAGAAGGTAAAGGAGTCAGGAATAGAGCGAAAGGAAGACACTTCGACTGATGGTGGTGTGAGGAACGAGAAGGAGATTGAAAGGGAAGAATAGAGCGCAGGATCGGAGGAGAGCGGTTGGGATCACTCTGAATAAAGATAATTCTAAAAGGGAAAAAGTTAATCCGTCTGGAAAGATAGAGGAGAGTCTGCTAAATGAGCAGAGGGATGGCGAGTAAGTGAGAGAAGGACACAAGTTAAAAATGTGAGGAGGGACAGAGAGTGACTTCGTTGGAGGGCAGCGAGGAGACGGAGTGCGCGGCTCATTGAAATGCAGGGGACATGCCGGCTGCAGCTGCACCTATCAAATCACCCCTTCTAGCTCTGACAAGCCCGGCACTCCGCGCTCGTCTCGCCGCCCACCCCTCTCCCCCACCACCTACCCCACGCACACTCACTCACACTTTCCATTTGCACACGTCACACAGCCGTGCATACGCTGAATAAACCTACACACGGGGTCCGGCGTGTGTCTGGGTTCCGCAGCAGTGAGTGTTGTCACTGTGAAAGCCGAGAGCAGACCTGCAGCCGACGGGCGGCTCTGCAGTGCCGCTGCTCGCCCCTTTGGTGCCTGTATCGTCTCTCATCCTCTGCACCCCCTCCCTCACTCGCCACTTCTCTCCCCTGACTCACCGGCAACCGACTGCTGTTCTTATGTAACCAATGTGCCCTTAATTAGCTGTTCTTTTTTCGTATGGCATTTTTGGGGGATGGTTCAAAACAGAACACAGTTCAAGGTATTCACTTTTACCCCTCCTTCTTTTTTTAATAATCATTTAATCATGAGAATTATTGCCAGTTAAGATGGCAAATGGCGTTAGCCTTTCTGTTATTGGCTGCCATTGGAGGAACCAGTTGATTTGTGCATTATTTGATTTCCCTGCTATTTGATTGATCTGTGTTGAACCCTCAGCCCTTAACTGCATCTGCTCTCTGCGACCACAGGGAGTTCCAGCATCACACACACACACACACACACACACGCGGAACAACCGCTTCAGTTCAAATTGTTGCTAAAATTCATTATTGAAACACAATGAGCTCTGATGATCCCAAATCCCAGTGTTTATCCCCCAGACAGACTTCTGGTTAGAAACCTGCATAATCACACAACAGTTTCCCAGCCAGCTCCTTTTCTTCATCCCTGTCGGTCCCTTAGCCTCCCTCTCCTCTCTGTCCTCGCCTCCTTCTTCTAGTGCTACGGAATGGATTACAGCTGCCCCTTCTTAACCATCTGCATTGTCATCCCCGACTTCCCAGAGTTGTTGGGCCCTGATCCACTCTAATGCTTATGTTGTGGCCCATCCCCTTCAATCAGCTTGTTATTGCTCTACAGCTTATGCTAATTAAATACCGACACGAGTAAAGGCATCTCGACAGCACCGTAGCACTTCAAGCCTGATGTATTGCGGATTTATGCACGCCGCTACCTTCATCCTGGAGTGCACAATTGTTCACGTATGGATGGACCTGCACAGCTGTGCTCGTGTGCACGGAAGCTGTCCATAGCATTTTTTCACTGGGTGCTGTTGAATACCATGGACAAGTTACCAGCCTATTCCGTTCCCTGTCTCATTTAAAGTTAAATTCCGAGCGTTATCAATGCTAATCTCACCTTTTGTGTGCTGCCTTTTTCCAGCTGTCAGAAGTGTCCCTTAATAGCTTTTTTTTTACAGCCAAATAGAGAAATGCTTTGTCTCATAGAAGATTAGTTTTAATAAATAGCAGGTGTAGATAAGAGCCCCGGCCTGCCTCTCTCCATCAGCTCCAAGACAAGCTGACTGCAGTTGTGAAGACACGTTGGAGCCTTTTCGAAAGGTCACCGGCAACACACATCTCATTCTCAGAGAATTGATTGTTTAAAGAACCATAGTGTTAGATTTTATATGCTGCTTCGGTTTCACTATCAATTCAAGCCTTTTGACTCACGTCCACTGGAGTGCTCGGTGTTGTAAATTATTTCAGACTTTTGCAAATGTCTTTCTGTGATTTTGGAGGAGAATATATTACTTCTACTTCCACATGTAAGAGAACACTATAGTTTTCTGACTACATAACAGCACTATTATGAAGGATGCACCATTGTACATGCTGGTGTGATTGTATTGGCACAGATGTTGCTCTCAAACAGCTATTCTGCTCTTATTACTTTTGCAAAATGTCCCACAAATGTTTTGGGTGACAGCTTCCCTGACAGTATCTGAAATTTCCTGAAGCGGTACATCCCACCTAGTTGACACGCACAGCAAAATATAAAAAAGGCTTTCACATCATTTGCAAATGCTGTTCAACCCAGGCTGTCTGCCATAATGTTTTCCTGCAAATTAAATAAGTTCTGCCCTCATGAACACACACAGAGAGGAGGGTGAACAAGCCAAGAAGCAAACCAACACACACGTACACAAATACACAAACACACAGACCGACCTCGCACACAAAAACAAGTTTACACATTGTCCCACAAAGGAGGCTCTGCTGGAATGTGATTCAGAGCATTCATTATTTCACCAATGTAATGAAGGACCGGCAGGTGCCAAGTGCTCTCCTATCCCGAGGCAGAACCAGCTGAAAGTATTCAAACTGTGGCACACAACAGGGGCATTTACACCCCCGGGTAGATATCCTGCTGCACCTGCTGACAAACACACAGACACACAAAATATGTCATGTCAACAAATCATCATGTGCAAGTCTTTTTTTAATCACACTTGCGGCATCTTTTTTATGTGTTAGTCCTTTTAATAAATGAAAAGCCTGTCTAAGAAAAGCCTCTGGTTGCTGCATGAGGTTTCTCTTTTTCTGAAATGGTCTTTTGTTAATTCTCTTATCAAGCTGCCGGTTTGTGTTCCTGCACCGCTTTAAGGGTTAAATCAGTTAATTTCATTAAGTATACCAGGGTAAGCCTTCATGATTCTGATGTAGGAAGCATTGATATGCAATGCAAAACATTTGTTAAGGAGGAATTTGGACTGAATGTAGGTTAACGGTATGTTATTTAGCTACCAAAATAGGAAAGCGTTAATTCAAAGGCCCCTGCCCCACTTCAGCAACTGTCCAAAATATATTGGACAGTTGCATTGGGATATTGTTACTGCATTGGCTTCCTGTCATGTTAAAGTTTGTTTTCTGGGCTTCCATTGTTTATTCAGACAGCTCTGGTAGATTAAAGCATGACAGAAAGAAAGCAACTGACAAGAGCGCCATATAGCGCCTGATAATGACAAAAAACACTTTTAAATGTCAGAGATGTCATTGAGATATCCCTTAAGAACACCGATGGCAGGGGGGGGGGATTATAAAAGACCTGGAATGTGGCCCAACCACACGTGCCACAGCAAAAGGACTTCCAGGTAGATGGGAGCATTACGTGGTAATTTAGCATCACATCTGTCACATGCTCACCTTGAGCAGTGGAGGGAATACAGTCAAATTCAGTAAAATTACAAGTGGCTTAGTTGTGTTTTATGTGTGTTGCTCTCTAACAACATGGGTCCAACGAATCCAATCTGTGCTTCTAAATTAGATCTACTAAAATTATTTCAGTCTTTCAAGTCATGTCTTGATTTATTTTTCTCTGTCTTTTATTTCTCTCAACAGTTACTTGTCCCATGAATGAGGTATTGACAGCTTCCACAGGTGTCATCATGAGCCAGTCACCAGGCAACGGTTTCCCCCATTTTGATTCATGCTCCTGGGTGGTCAAAGTAGAACCTGGCTACAATATCACCTTCACCATAGAACACTTCCAGACCAGCCGGCAGTTTGATGAGCTCGAGATCTTCGACGGTAAGTCACTGCTTTCGTTCTGGAAGTGAACATATGCACACTAACAAATACTAGAGTTTGTGTTATTTAGTCAGCAGTATCATGCTTCTTTGGACCTTTTCTTTGTCTAAAACGAGCGCATCGTGTTATATTCTTCATCTGGGTGATGCCAACTGCTGTTCAGTAGACGATTTACCCAACAGTACCCAACCTCAGCCAAAGACTAATTGCACTAATTTCCACAATTAAATGCTAAAATGACAGATAAATGTACGGCCCCTCAGTGTCCCCCACTGCCCCGCACAGAAAAACTACTAATCGAAAAATCCAACACAGTTTCCCTTTCATGGTGTCAGAAAATCTACATCTCCCTAGTACATTTAAATCTGATATGAGGCACACAGAGCAATTTACTTCCAATGCAAAAAGCTCTCTCCATCTGCAACTACAGTCGCGGTCTCTCCGAACTAACTGACTGCAGGACTCAACGCACACCGGAAGTAGACAAACTTGCGTTAACTGTTAATAATTGAAATTACCCGTACAGAAATGATTCAAATATTGAGTGCAGTAAGCAACTGCAGGGACCAACCACCATCAGATGTAACCTCCATCATATATAAATACTATCAAATATAACACCATCCACAGAAACCTGTGGGGAGGAAAGAAAGAAAAAAGAAAAGTCAGTGGCGTTGGTTTCATGATGGCAGTAATAGTAATGTGACGACTAACGATAATGAAAGCAGCAGCAGGTGTCAGCAGGGCCATGGCGGGAGGCAGGACCAGGGTCCAGATGGAACCACAATCTATGAAAACCCACGAGACGAGAAAGCACAAATACTCTGTTAAGTGACGTGCATTAATGTTGACGGTATTAGTAATGTGACTAATAATAGTGTTAGAAGCGGTAGGTGTCAGCAGGGCGAAGGCAGTAAGCAGGACCAGGGTCCAGATATGACCCTGATCCATGGAAACCTGTGGGGCGAGAAAACAGAAAACCCCGTGGAAGAAGCTGAATTAGTAATGTGCTTTAATGATGGAAAACAAGGTATTATTTCAAGACCCAGGACCTGGGGTGATTTACATTAACGTATTAGCGCGCTCATTATTCTGCACAAAGTCATGGGGCTTTGAAAATGAAATTCTTCTCAATAATAGTAATTTATTTTTGTTCTCTCTCTCAATCCAGGCCCATCCAGACAGAGCCCTCTTCTCATTACCCTCAGTGGTAATTATTCTAACCCACTGAGCATCACCAGCTCCAGTAACAGAGTCTATTTGCACTGGTCCTTCGACCACACAACCCGCCACAAAGGCTTTCGCATACGCTACTCAGGTGAGTCATGAGCAGTTATACACAGGCCTAGACTTTTTTTTTAGATATGTCCATTTAGAATTGATTATCAGAAGAGCATTGTTACCTGTAGTCCTTTTTGTGTGTGAGATCTCATCAGAAGTGCCTTTTCTTTACTGTGCCAACGAGACCAAAATGTGCCTGCCGAATTCAGTTGAAATTGCTAGGAAAATGATCCATCTCCATGGCAACGTACCGGGGGAGGCGGGCACCTGCAGCTCTCCTTGCTTTGCAGCACATGCCTGGGAATTAGTAAACGCTCGGTCTTTTTGTATTGCTCATAATTCTTCTGACCCGTCTTGTAAGATCTGTTGGTATGCTACACCTGCATATCTCGCCCTGAATTATGACTGTGTAAATATTTAAAAGGCTCCCTCCGTTCTGTATCAACACCACTCAGCCAGTTTGACTAATCGCCTCTCTCCTCTCTGTGAAGTTCTGTCTCCCCAACCGGATGTTCTATCGTTTATCTCCCCTTTTACCTCCTTACCATGACGGATTTTGCCATAGCAGACTAAATGACACACGGACTAAGTGATGGCTGAGAGCCCTGAAGTTGCCACGGTCAATATGGAGTCGCCTCCTGTATACTACCTTGGTCCGGAGGAAGAAACAGATGGCACCGACAGACTCATGTATCCAACTGTGACCTTCATCCATCCATCTTTTTTTCCCCCATTGGCCGGTCTTCCATCGCAAACTTTCAGACATCTCATCCAGCAACCCCGCCATCTTATCTTTCTTTTCCCTCTCTCCGTCCATCATTTACCTCACTGTTAGTCTTTTGCATCATTTAGTTCCTCATTCCCATTGGTCAAACCTTTCACTCGGCCTGACTCCCCCTTGCTATCACATCCTATGCTCACGGTGTCCCTTCCTTCTTTTTGTAATCACCACCCTCCCTCCCTCTCTCTCTTCTCTATATAATCTATTCCAATCCAAGTCACCTGGCGATGAGATCGTAATCCTCTGAGCTGCAGCGCTGATTGCACCTGAGACAAGCTGTATACTTATACAGGCAGAGAGAGAGGACATAGTGAGGAACACTGAGAGAAGGGCGAATGAGTTAGACACGATAGACGTGAAGAATTGAACTCAAGGGCGGATCGAGAGCCGCCCGTCACAGTGACTGACAGGAGAAGGCCTCGCTGAGGAAAACGGATTAGCTCATCTGCCTTTTTAAATACCATTACACTTACACATTGGGTTTGTGGGTGTTCTATTCCTTACCTGTGTGGTGGCATTACTTTGAATGTATCCCTTGATGAATGGGAATTGTGTAAAACCTGAATGCTATACTTAGCATTAAATGTCCACAGTATCTACTAAGAAATCTAAGATCTCATGAATGCTGAATAAATATGACAAGACGAGTCTTTATACTGTGAGGAAATTATGTCGGATTGCATAGCACTTAAATACCCTGCTGACTTGAAAATAAGTCATTTTTATTGTTTTTATGGAACTAAATTGGTCATAGTGATCAAGGGAAATGACTAATAATCTATTTTGTGTCATTAGTCCACTCTATAATTGGTCTCCACAATTAGCAAAATTTTCTATTACATCACCAATTTAATATTGCTTAATTGTCTTATTTATTATTCACTGTTGTTTGTGTGTACTGATGCAATTCCTGGATCGGTTGCTTGAATATTTTGGATGATACTGCACATGATTATTGCAGGCACCAATTTAGTCAACAAACAAATAAACATACTTTATTCCTGATTTTTTTAACCATCAGTTTAATGATTTTCCTCTGCAGCCGTTGACAAACTCCTGTTCTTGCAGAACATTTGTTTCCTGTAATGCATTTTTTCACGCTAGTCTGCAGTTTTTGCTTTAAAGAGATTGCATTGTAGCGCTTCTATTAATATATCCTCCTTTACCACGTCAAGCGTGGAGGACGGATGCAAACGAGATTTGGCGCCCTGTGCTACATATAAATCGTTTTCGTCCTCAATAAAAAACTTGCATCATTATTGAGTTTTTTATGCTTGTCGCGCTCAATTTTATTGGAATGCTTATTTATATCTTCACCGAGTTCTTTTCTTGTTTCCTAGTTGCCTACTGTAGCCCTCACAACAACCCTGCAAATGGCACAGTGCACAGTCTTACAGGCACTAAGCTGGGCAGCACGCTGCGCTTCAGCTGTGACCAGGGCTTCCGGCTTATTGGTCAGAGCAGTGCCACGTGCACGCGGACTGCACAGGGGATCTACCAGTGGAATGCACCAGTGCCACTTTGCCAAGGTATGGCAGAAAAGGTTGGAAGTTGTTGGGAAAAACAGATGAGTGGGTCCAGATTATTACTATTCTGAATTTAAGTTAGACGTATACACAAAAAGCTTTTACCTTGTCATTGTCATCGCGACTGACCTCATTCTGCATTCGGTCCTACAAGTAATAAAGTTGACCTGAAAAACCTGCAAAAAAAAAAGAAGTAGTTAACATTCATTGCCGCAGCAAATGTATTTTACAGGTTTGGTTGTTTGGATTTAAATTGATTTAAAAAAAACACATCATTGGATCCATTTGCTTTGGATTAAAGTATGATTTCAGCTGACAGTGTGCCTCAGGCGTGCTTAAAGGGAGCTCACTTCACCGTTCCTCAGATTCTGCTCTGAAAATATCTACAAGATTCATGGTATTTGGTTTACCTCAGAAGAGTTGTTTGATATGTTTGTCTTTTCCATTATAGTCACAGTGACATTGTGCATTGTTTTCATTGAATGGAATAAATAAAAAAAACTAAATGAAAACAATAAATAAGGGAATTGCTATTCGCAATATTGAGGCCCTCTCAACTTTATTTTAAAAAGGCTGTAATTTTTTTAAATGTTACTTTAATTTTTCTTCACTATCCATTTTTTTATTTGTACTTTAATTTTACAAGGCTGAGATGCTAATGGACCATGTTTTATTGATTCCAAATTTCAATAAATTTCCGATTTTCTTTTATATGCGACCTCAAAAGCAACTTCCAGTCTACTTCCCAACCAGAGTTATTAACAATAGCAGCTGAACCAGAAAGGGAGCAGAAGGGCTGTCATTCAGTGCCTGCTGAGGTCTGCACCAGGTGTAATCTCCACATTAATTGCGTGCACTCTCTCTAGGCTCGATTGTTTACTATAGTGCAGATGGCAGCCTGAGCTAATGTTTACTGCACATCATTGCCGGCTCTGGAGTGTGTTTGTACAGGAAGCCCATTGTGAGCAAAATACTGCATACAAAGATGGTTGTTAAAATACACTCTGCGACCTGTGCTTTCATTTTACCAACCGCATGTTTCGTCTCCCCCCCTAGTCACGTCTTGTGGAATGCCAGTGCCTCCGGTCAACGGCAGTATCGGGGGTCAGGACTTCTCTTTAGGAGCCAGGGCCACGTACCAGTGTAATCCCGGATTTCGGCTCACAGGACCTATCACTACCTCAGTGACCTGTCAGGAATCCGGGCGGTGGAGCCCCATTGAAGCCCCACCCAGATGTGTCCGTGAGTATTTGTCTCAGCGTTTGGTTTATTTTTTGGCAGTTGTGGTTTCAATTGAACAAAATCTTTATTTTGGCCATTTTCAAGGTTTTCTCAACTTTTCCTGATAACTGCTACCAACTAACTGTTTGATTTAATAAAGTTTGTTTGTCCTCCAATCTTCCAGCGGTAACCTGCCCTGACATTGGCCACTCTGCTGTGGAACATGGGAGATGGAGGCTCATCTACGGTACTCAAAACCAATACGATACTTTGATGATGCTCATATGTGACCCTGGATATTACTACAGGGGTCAAAGGGTCATTCGCTGCCAGGCCAACAGCACCTGGAACTACCCAGATCCACGGCCAGTCTGCGAGAGTAAGTTAATACTGTGCATGGTCCAATTTTCTCTGTTTCTTGACTGAATTCCCTCCGTGTGATCTGCCAAGCATGAATAGTGATTGCATCCAAATGTATGATATTCCACTGTGATAACTAAACAAGCACTAATCTCCTAACCAAAACAAAGCCAATGAAAACAATTTTCCAGACAAAACAAATTAGAATTCTTGTGGATGTATTTTCAACCTTTGGGATTGTAACTAAATTCTATATTTTTCTTCCCATTCAGTCATCTCCTGTGGGGACCTTGGTACTCCACCAAACGGCAATAAGATTGGAACACTCACAGTGTATGGAGCCACTGCCATTTTCTCCTGCAACACAGGATATACCTTGGTAGGCTCTCGGGTCCGAGAGTGTATGTCCAATGGCCTTTGGAGTGGAACACAGGTCCAGTGTCTAGGTGAGACCCTCAGCACCCAAAGACGAGTTACGGTTATACAAAATATTTATTATGACTTACTTTTACTGTCTTTTCATCCTCAGCTGGCCATTGCGGCACCCCGGAGCCAATCGTGAATGGACAAATCAATGGAGAGAATTATAACTACCGAGGCAGCGTTGTCTACCAGTGTAACCCTGGATTTCGTCTCATTGGGGTGTCGGTGCGAATCTGCGAGCAGGATCACCGCTGGTCCGGACGAACCCCCGTCTGTGTCCGTAAGTGACAACTTTAGCTTTTTAGTAAAGCTATTGGTGGTGTAGTGGATAGTTAAAGACCTATATTATCAGAGGAGGGCTTATGTCTAAAATGTCACACTGGGACATATTTATTCCTTCTAACAATAACAAATCACAACGTAGAAAAGTTACCATCTCTGGGATTGACCCTGCTGCGATTTGATACACTGCACTCCTCTGTAGAACAACTCAATTTACAACATTATTTTAATGAGGTCTCAAAGATCAGGTCTCAAGGTCCAATTTACAAAAGATCTGAGGATGAATAACTGTAACTGCAGTTTACTGCAGATTAGCACTGCATTGTGAATTTGACTGTTTTGCTATGATAATTATTTAAAGCCCAATGTATTTAATAAATGTGGATAGAATACAGAAGAACCAAGAAGCTATTGGCATAAGAGTTCAGTTTGGGGTGCATTTTTACAGGAATATGGCAATTACATGTTTCTTTTTTCTTTTTATGTTCAGCTTTACCGTGCGTAAAAGACGATCTAGTTTTGTTGTTGATTTTCTATTCTTTTTTCCATTCAGTGCCGTTGTATTCATATCAAACCTATGTATTTCATTAACCCGCTCTGTGAATATGTAACCATGATCGTCTCTTTCTATTTGCACTCTCACAGCCATCACCTGCGGGCATCCTGGTAACCCCACCTTTGGTATGACCCAAGGAACCCAGTTCAACTTAAATGATGCTGTGCGCTTTGTCTGCAACACCGGCTATGTTCTGCAGGGGGCTGTAAAGTCGGCCTGCCAGGCCAACGGGCAGTGGAGTAACGCCCTCCCCAGGTGTAAAAGTAAGTGCCAGATAGACGCCTGAGCTTGTTAATCAATACTGTAGATGTATGCTTTTGGGAGATAGGAAATAGATAGGAAATAGTACACTAATAGAGGAAGGTGGAGGCGGGGGGGTGGGTTCAACATGCCTGGCTCCAGGGGCATCTGTGAAGTACTAAATGACCTAATGTTTTGTAAGAGGTTTTATATTATGTGAACATAGATGACCCCAATCATTGAGAGAGAGGAGATGAAGCAGAATTTTTTAGGAAGGTAGGAAGAATTTAAATGATATTAGCTGAGATTGAAATGAAAACCATTTGGTCCGTGGAGTTTTCCGGATAATATTCACATTTGATGTTATTGCCTCTTACCCCAGTTACCTCTGCTACACCCTAAGGCTCGCCTGCCAGTGAAGAAACCCTGGTTAATAACCACGCAGACATCCAAAAACAATCACACCATCCTTGAGCTTGTGTGAAAGACAGCAGCCTTGTGAGACCCGCACAACTGCCTTTTGCACAGAATAAGAAGTACCCCGCTCTGCTTTGAAGCGGGGCGAGGACTTTTAATTTGGCAGTGTTTCCGCGACAGGCGATGCATCTCGGCTCACGCGTCTGCCTCCACGTCCCCACCAACTGAGGGCTCTGTGACAGGCACAGAGAGGAGGCGCTCGCAAGGTCGGGCCCCGAACGTGACAAGGCGGTGACAGAATCAGTGACGGATTGAGTTATGAGTTTGATTTCAATGAGGAGAGGACTGGGTTTTAAAGACATTCATGAAGGGATGAGGAGGTTGCACGTCTCACAGGGATTCTTCTTCAGTTGTTAAAACAAAACAAAAAAGAGAAGGGTACCTTTTGGCTGCTGCATACATAAGCAGAGGTACGCATTAAATCTGCTGGCGATGGAGTGGATGTGTCATCATATTAGGATTGGCCTCGTTTGGATGCAGATGTTGAGATGCATTCAGTGTGAGACTGTGTGTTTGTGCAATGTGGGTGTATTTGTGTGATGGCACATCATCATCACTGTTTATGTGGCGACATAAGTAGCTTAGCTGTTTTTTTTTTGTCAATCAGATTTATCACCTTAATTACAGCATTCCAGACATTTTTTGTAAGGCGCCTTCCCCTGTCTGCTGTACTACTAATACTATACTACAAATGCTTGGATGATATCCACTTCATCTTAGCTAAGCCGAACCATCAGCTTTTCTTCTACAAGGAGGATATATGAGCGGATGGAGACAGAAGGCAGGGGGGGAAAAAATGGTGCGTTAGGAGATGGTCGGACAAACTAATGATTTCAACGCTGCAGATTTTAACTACACAAGTCTGTTGGCCCATCAATTATGCAAGGGGGAGGAAAGCACCACAGGCCCAGCCAGTCTACCAGCCCCCGCTAATCACCACCAATTTCAGCCACGGCAACCGAGCCGCAACGCGCCATTCTTTGGACGATTCCGTGTGTTTACTTGTCTTTCAGCGATGCAAAGTCAGAACTAAATAAATAGAACTCTGACACAGCACTCACGGAGCCGCTACGTGGCAGCAGGCCAGGAGGAGGAGAGGTTTACTGGGGTCTCCGCTTCTGAGTGGAACAGAGATTAATTACCTCCGCCCGTCTCCCCCGTTCTTCTTTTGCTCTCATCGTTTGGCTTCCTCTCGTCCAGCTCACAGGGCCACAGACAAGAATGTACCTGGAGGTCAGTCAGTTTAGATGACTGTTGGATCGCTTTTGAGCCTAGGATGCCAGAGCTCATATAACCAAAGCTGAATTCCAAAATGGGAAAGTGTCGGGCTGAAGCAACTCCACCGCTTGGAATTACACTTTATTATGCGGTTAGTTGTAAATGACGGCGCCACGGGTCAGCACTCTGCTGGAAAGGATACATTATGGTACTTATTTTGGGGGCGATTTAGCTGTGCCAGGGCCAACTTGGGAGCATAACAAATGAGCTAGATTTGAGGCACATTAGCATACAATGTGTTCATTTTGGAATGTGCAAAGGCACAATCATGGGGCACGACTGGCAAGGCAGACTGGGGCACAATGCCTGCTTGGATAGCGTTTTAGAAGCCATTAGAGTTTTGGCATTATAATACATACTTGTTTCACAGTATAGACTAGAGAGCAATTGTTGCTCACTGTATTGTGACTTTGTTGAGGCATTGAATCATACTTTTTTTTGTTTTGTATCTAAGGCTTTCACGATGGATTGGTGCTGGTAGCAGTCAAAGCCTGACGTTCTGTCATGGATTTAAATACTGCACTATCAGGGCCTCTTCCTCTCTAACTTCAGTTCAGCAATACACCCCCCCCCCCCCCCCCCCCACCCCACCCCTCACCCCTCACCCAGCCCCGCCGATGCATTTCACTCCTGACTCATCCCTCATTCTCCCCTTGCCTAACTCTCTCCATCTGGTGCTAAACTGACACGGTGCCTCTTCTCGTGAGAGCTTTCCATCCATCACCATCTCGGCACCACGCCGGCCAGCAGGAGACTGGTCTAATGAAGCAAATGTTTATTTCCGGAGTCTGCCTCCTGTTTTATTCGGATTGGGGTGGATGAATGGATGAGCTGAAGTAGTCGATGAGGGAAGGAATGGACAGAGAGTAAAAGCGAAAAAAAAAAAAAAAGTATTAAAGTGTGTTGTTATAATATCTCAAAAAACACCACATTTCTTTCTTGGCATTAACATTTTAAATATATTTGTCAAAGAACATTAAGTAATAATTTTTGGTTATATCATTTCTTAAATTCAGCCTGAAACGCTTACGGAAGTTGCATTTTTCTTTTCCCCCACTGCATCTTTTTCTTCAGTTGTGAACTGCACGGAGCCGGGTCATGTGGAGAACAGCATCAGGCAGATATTGCCCAGTGGGCCGCATCGCTACAGCTTCCAGACCACCGTGTCCTACCGCTGTAACCCCGGATACTACCTGCTGGGTACCAGCTCCATCTCCTGTCAGGGGGACGGTACCTGGGACCGCTCGCTGCCCAAGTGCCTGTGTGAGTACCTCAGCGGTGGGTTGTTGGTGGCACTGCGTGGTTCCCTTATTCATATGTCTCCCCTTTCTCTCCTCCCTGTGCCCTGATCGGACAGTGGTGTTGTGCGACCGCCCCAGCATGCCTCCCTACGCCCAGATCTCCGGCGACCGGCGGACAGTAGGCTCAGTCATCCGCTACAGCTGCATCGGCCAGCGCACCATCGTCGGCAACACGACGCGCATGTGCCAGCTGGACGGCCAGTGGAGCGGCTCGCCGCCGCACTGCTCCGGTACGGAAAACTACACCCAGATTGGATGTCTGAATTCGGAGAGATTGAACAGATTTTTTTGATGGCGTTCAAACCTCAGCTGAATGAAGCAGCACATCTGTATGTTCTGTTGAAGCCCCCTTTTCGCATCGTCTGTCTTGCTGCTTGTTTAAGATACCTTGTTCCGATGTAATATCACAGACTTTAAGGGTTTGGGTAGAAGCTTTTATCAGGCAATGAGCAAAGTAGGTGGACCAATGATGGAACTGCCTGTCTGATCAATGGGCCTCAAGGGCAGAGTGAATGTCTTCTATAAAAATATTTAATCTGCTCATATTACACTGAAGAAAAGGGGCGCCCACACCTCTGCTGGGTTATGAAGCCCTATGAAGACATCGGCCCCCACACTGTCTCTCCCCGTACATCGATTTTCCAATAAGCTTGTACATAAGACACCAAAACAAGCACACTCACAAAGATCTGACTCAAACATAGACAGTGACTGAAACACACAAACTAGCTGACATGCGGACCCACAAGCTGACAGAAGAACAGCATGCGGACAGCTTAATGTCACAATTCACGACATTCGTATGAATTCTGGGGCAATGAGCACAACCTTTTCATTAAGACGTTTTTAGCGCCGCACTAATGAAACGATGTTGATCAGTGCTTTGTAAAATGAAAGATCTGCATGCAGCCGTAGTAAAGACTTTGTCAGTGTTTTAAATGGAGGACATGGAATTATCAAGTAGGTATCGTAAAAACACTTGGTGGGTCAATGGAATGAAAAACCTCATCTAATTCAACACGTTCCGCGCGGTTGACGTTTCGCCCCTCTAGGCGACGCAGCCGGGCTGTGTGGAGATCCAGGTACTCCGGTGCATGGAATCCGTCTGGGAGAAGAGTTCACGGTCGGCGCCGCTGTCCGCTTCAGCTGTGAGCCGGGCTATTTGCTGAAGGGCTCTCCGGAGAGAACTTGCCTCGCCAACGGGTCCTGGCTCGGCACCCAAGCCGAGTGTCACGGTAAGGCATGCAGACATGTCCTCCAGCCGTGTGTTTTAGCTGTTCTTCTCTGGCAAACATGGACCGGTAGACGGGGAGGGGGTGATGGATTCCGGTTTCGCACGCAGGGTTACACAGCTCAGAAGTCTGGCCAATTGTCCGATTTTGGTTTGAGTGGGATGAATAATGATTGCAACCTTGTCTTCTCATCGCTTCACCTTCGCAGAGATACTGCAGGGGAAACGGCGGTTCTTCCTCTAATCTGCTTGTGTTGCTCCGTGCCGGTAGCTGTGGGAATATTAGTTACTAAGCTCATTGCTCCTGGCTATCCGGCCCTTGCTCTACCTAAGCGGAGCCTTGTATCCATACTTGGTGGTAAGTCAAGTATGTTCACAGTCGGTGTCGTATTTCACACTCATAGGGTCAGAAAGAGGGTGAGCAGCTAATCGGAATTATAGACCAAACCGCAATAGTGTCTCACCCTAGACAGACGCGTATTTTAGGGACTGGTGAAGGGAGGGTGAGAGAAGATCGGTGATTGGTGTGGCACGAACCAAATTCAGCATTACGTTAAGGGGGGGCAGCTTTAATATCAATCAACGGCTTATTTCTATTGGAAGAAAGCGGTATTCTGGCCCCCTCTGACTGGAGACCTCAGAGCAGACCCACGAGACCGCGGAGAGATCACAGATCCCATCTGGCCGTGGAACTCGTTGGGCTTCATTACGGAGAGTTGGAGGACATCGTTAGAGAAAGTCACGTCAACATCATTTGTTTATTAAATTAATTTATATGCATAGATGTTGTTTCGTCTCCCACATAATATTCCACCTCAGTGAGTGTTTGAGAAGTTGGTTAAATATGTTCTACTTATACATCTTCACGTCTACATTGTTATGGTTGTTCAGATCTCGCTGATCTCAACATACCTCACCAGTGAATAGCACATTGCAAGTAATAGATTGTTGATCTAAACGATAGTCACTGATTGTGTAATTAGCTGCTGTCTTGTGTGTGTTTGCAAAAAGCGATTGAGTGAGACAGAATGGGAGGAATAATAGAGAATGTTTTCTGTATTGATTAAAGCTTATAAGGCTTATCATTTTCTTTGGCCTGGCGCAAAATCACATCCAGTTTGCTGCTGACAAAAGCAGGTTCTCTGAGAGTGTAGTGAGTGAGTCCAATCGACCTGGGTCTTACTGTTCTACGCTATCCTTTATTATTGCTGGGAATGAACAAAGAAATGACAGTGTAAAAAAGGTGCACTTCTGTATCTCAATTTTCAAACTAGTTTGATTAATTAGAATATATTTGAAGTAATTTCTAATCAAGCAGTTACTATGTATGCACTTTGTATTGCATGCATAGTCCCATAGCATCATCATTTTGTGTTTATTGCTAAATTTCCTTTCACATTGGGTTTCAAATCAACTCTCTAAGTATTAATATTGCCGGCTGTTATTTTGTTGCTTGTTTTTCAACCTACATTTTGGATACTGCATGAACCGGTGGCAGATGTCCAAGTGTTTTTTTTCATTCTCAGTGTAACACAAAAACGTTGAATAAAAGGTAGGCTTGGCAACGGCGGAGATAAATAAGGCGTGTGCAAGTTTCAACAAAAGTAAATACAATTTATTAAAAACTTATTTATCACAAAAGGGGTCACATCAGGGGACGTAACACTCAGCAACACTAAAATAATAAGACAGATAAACTGACAGTTGTTTTCCACATTCTGCAGTTCTATTGTATTTCTTTTATTTCCGTTATTTTTCTTACTCTCCATGAAAACGGGCCTTTTTCTTCCCACATCCTGGTGGACACTTTGTTATTTAAAGAAGCTTCAACCCTTCTGCAGGGCTGTGCACGGCACACACACACACATGCACACACAGCCCCCTCTCACCCACCCACCATCACCGCTCTCCCTTGCCTGACTCTTTCTCATTCCCTCTGTGGTGTGTGTGTGGTATGCCCGCTAGCTAAGGATGCCCACCTGTTCTCTGTTGGCACCGACTACAAGGGCCAGGCCACATCTGGTCATTACGGGAGGGCAAAGCCCGCGGGGCTCCGAGGGCTCGGGGCAAGCTGGAGAATGTAATGAACAGAACCATCGCTGGCGGCCGGACAGACACCGAGGGACTGTGAGCAAAGGATGTGTCAGTCAGAGCAGAGTTCCTCACAAAGTAGGGCTCACGAAAAAGATGAGGATGGAATGGTGGAAAGGTGGGCGGATGAAGAACAAAGGGAGAAGGAAAAAAATGGATTGAAAACTGATGGACACGTGAAGTAATGTAATTAGGTATAGGGAATGCAGTGAAATGAGAAGACTTTTGGAATCCCACACGCTCATTACAGCGTTCACTCTGGTCACTCCTGATGTGGTCCATAAATGAATATTACCTAATCCAACGCTGGGTCCTCTTTTTTTTTTCTCTCTTTTATTTTTCAGTGATCTCCTGTGGAAACCCAGGAACTCCACGTAATGCCCAGATCCTGAACCACGACGGCCTAACGTTTTCCAGATCTATTACCTACGCTTGCAGAGAGGGCTACTACTCAACCGGCCTGCTCACCCGACACTGCACTGTTAACGGCTCGTGGACCGGCAACATGCCTGAGTGCTCTGGTAATCAACATTCCCTGTGGAGAAAGAGCCTCCGTCGTGCTTATCTTTTTCTCCATGCTTTAATTTAAATCCATGCTCTTATTGAGGCTGTATGGGGGCGCGTTGGCGAGCACCGTCACTGTAAATTCCCCATAGAATAAGTGGAAATGGATGGATGGCTTGGATGGCTGATCCACATATACAGGTTGTCTACCTTACCTACATTCTCTTTTTTATTTGTATTTGAACGGAAGTTCATCCTTTGCAATACAGAGAATGTTTCTGACACCAGCAGGATATCAATAACTGGTAGGGGAGGGGCAGACAGGTTACATTTCTAATTGTTGTTAAAGACTTGAAACAGCTATTATTTTTTGTAACCTTTGGCTCCGGTGGCTCAGTTTTATGGAAAATAGTTTTTAGGATTAGTCCCCTCAAATCAGACAGGAAAGCCTGTCATCATGACATATAAAATACACACAGCTGCTATACAGAGCAAAGACACGCCGATAAATAGAGGTCCCTTATAGACCCTTAACCAGCACATTGATGGATTTCTGAACTGTAATCTATAGGAGTGAAAGGGTACGCAGTTCATTAGAACATTTTTACTCAGGCTATGTGAATAGGAGCACCTTCGGTTGAACAATTTCTACTGATTTCTTGTATACTGTTGGGTATACAAGGGGATTTATTGGACAGAGGTGGCTGGATATTGAATTTCTTGCAATCTCCTCTCAATTTCAGCTGTTAAAACTAGATAGACATTTGTTAAAAAGAAAAAATGGCACTTTTAGTATAATTTATTAATATAGTGGACTGTTTTCTAAGTATATAATTATAAAGGAACGTATTCCTACAGGGTGCAACAGTCTGGACACTATGGCTGCAGGGAACACTCTCACCTGTGCTCGCTCAGTCAAGGGGACACATGATGCCTCCAAACATCTGTTTCCTCACACCGCTGGGAATCTCTCTGCAATGTTGGTCCTATGCAGTTAATAACCCCTCTTTTTGTTGTCCCATTGCAACTCAGTGAAAGTTGTCTTTCTGCGCCCTGTTAGACATTTACAGCGGAGCTGAGCAATGACGCAGCTGAGTCGCACGTCGCACATCTTACTGTTGTTGCTCAATCAAACTCCCCACAGGGTGTGAAAATGTAATCAAAGAAAAGTGTGGTTCATTTTGGAGCTTTAGAAAGTTACTGTAGAAGGGTGTCCATCACAACATTAAGTCTCCCTTCACCCTAAAAGAAGCTTTAACTGGAGATAATCAAAGAGCAAGGACAGTTTGTTCAGTCACATTAAGTCACACTGTTGAGTTACGGTGATTTGCATTGTGGGTAATGTTTTAACTATACATGTATAATAAGCGCATCATCCAAAAGTGGCTGTACATCAATGAATGAAGTACTAAATACCTGTGAAGACACATAAAATATTCAGCTTTTTAGAGTGATTAACATGGTGAGATCAGCCGTGTGATATTGATCTGCTGCTTCACTGAGTACAATAAAATGTAAAACATATTTAATCATTAAATAACATGGCTCAATACCAACGTCTATCAACTGCTCTATTCATTTTCTTTTCTTTCTTCAACCGAAACCAACTCTCCATTTTTTCCGTCCTTGTGTTCCACTCGGCCCGTCTTCATTGACAATTCCTTTCACCCATTTTCATTTGGTCTTATTTCTTCACCCTGTGTTTGTCCTCGCAGTAATCAACTGCGGTGACCCTGGCGTGCCAGCCAACGGGTTGAGGCTGGGCAATGATTTCATTTACAACCTCACGGTCAGTTTCCAGTGTTCCCCTGGTTTTACTATGGACGCGGACCGGGCCTCCACTCTTATCTGCACCAAGGACCGGACCTGGAACGGCACCAAACCTCACTGCAAAGGTGAAGTTATTTAGCGTGATCTTTGTGTCAACACAGTGACGATGTAAACCAAGACTACAGCCAATGTATCTTTCATATATCGGTCGCATTCACACTTGGACTGGAATGCAACCCGTTATTTAAAGTAACAGGCAGAATCCCTGATGTCCTCCAATGCCTCTTTGCTCCCTCTGTAGCGATCGTATGTGGTCCACCGCCTATCATCCCTAATGGACAGGTTGTCGGTACAGACTTCACCTGGGGCTCCAGCATCAGTTACTCCTGCAACCAAGGTTACCAGCTGTCTCTGCCCACTGTGTTAACATGCCAGGGCAACGGCAACTGGAGCGGAGAGAAACCCCAGTGCTTCCGTAAGTGGCGCACCGCTAACATCTCAAATCACATTACATGTAATTTATGTCTTCCTGACATTTATTTTAAAAGTATGTATGCATAGCCTTTGGTTAACATCTCAACCCCCCCATCTTATAACTTTATCATCATAACGTTATCCCTGTTTCTCTGTGTCCTTGTCTTTGCAGCTGTGTTCTGTGGAGACCCAGGGATGCCCGCCCAGGGGAGGAGGGAAGACCGAGGATTCACCTATCTCTCCTCCGTCTCCTTCTCCTGCTACTCTCCACTTATCCTGGTGGGATCTACCAGGAGATATTGTCAGTATGATGGCACTTGGAGTGGCACACAGCCCTCGTGCATAGGTAAGGCAATGGTTTCTCCACTGACGTTAAGACATGGCTAAATTGCCCTACATTTGCATGTGAGAGATGTCTTCCCTTGGCTGGCATGCATTATTCCCCTTAATTGTTTTTTTCATTCCCATTAGTTTAATTCATTAAAGCAATCCATAGAATTTCAGAATGACTGTGGTCGACATAATGCATGACAGCATTTGATCAGCAGTTGTCAGATAATTGCCGTGGTGTGTGTTTCAGATCCCACTCACACTACCTGTGGAGACCCCGGCACTCCTCTCTTTGGAAATCAGAACAACAGTCAAGGCTTCCAGGTGTGAATTAACACCTCTGCTTTGTGAAATATCTGCGCGCTGCGGTGTATAATTGACTCGCTCGTAGTCCAGTCAACATTTACACACGCTCTTGTGTGTCCTCTTACAGATCAGCAGCACTGTGTTCTTCAGCTGTAGAAAGGGATACTTACTTCAGGGCTCCATTACTCGCACTTGTCTGCCCAACCTCACTTGGAGTGGTTTTCAACCTGAGTGCATTGGTAAGTACACACTCGGCTCATATTAATGTAGACGCAAAAGTATAGCATTTTTTTTTAGAACGAATGACCCCAAACGTCCACCGGGGCAGACTTCTTTCTTGGTTTTTTGATGTTCTTGGCTGTTTCTCCTCTGATCCCTCCCCTTGTTCATCTCCTCAAACCAACTTGAACCTGTTTCACAGTCTCTTTTTCTTTGGTCACCCTAATCCGTCTCTCCCTTCTCTCTTGATGCAGCCCACCACTGCAGCCAACCGGAGCTGCAAGCCCAGTCTGATGTTAGAGCCATTGAACTGCCATCTCTTGGCTACACACTGATCTACACGTGTCAGCCTGGCTTCTACTTGGCCGGAGGATCAGAACACAGGACCTGCAGGTCCGATGGAAGCTGGACAGGGAAACCACCTCTCTGCGCAGGTATGAACGGGGGATACGTCACATCCAGTCAAGACTGAGAAATACCCAATGTTAAATATACGTAGACATGCCTTTTTGCTTTTTGCTGCTCTTAAATCACTTCAACGCCACTTTCCGAGGGTGGAGTGAATGTTAAAACATATCGTCTGACCTCACGCAAAGGCACGATCAACCACATTCACCAAAACCTTACGAGATTAGATGTGTGCACCTGCCCGACCACTTTCCGACACAGATGCATTAAACACTCCAAGCACGTCACCTCATATTTATAATGAGCGGTTTCCATTAGCAGCCTCTTTTGAAACCACGGAGGTCCGTGCCGGCACAGGATTCAGTGGTGACTCAGGTTGGAAAATTGGGGATTCGGCTAATGTTGATGAATAGCTGTGTTATCCCTTGCTTATTCTCAGACACACGCCACTGTAGGACGGCCCATCCATCACACAATTGAACTCTATGTAATTGCACACTCACAAGAGTCAACCCCAGTACACGCACACACACACACACGCACAAGCTTTGAAAATTTAACAAGGGTGCAGGACCTGATTAGGCCAATGCATCCCATTGATTAGGTTAGCAGAAGAGCCTATTTATAAATAGTGAGGCAGTGTTAACAAGGTCTAGCAGACAAATAGACTGCCATTAAGACGGCCTCAAGCACTGGCCTAAATACATATAGGAAACAAAATAGTCATTGTCCCGCAATTAACGATGGAAGAAGGATGCTTATAGCTAATAGAGAAAGACGTACGAGAGGGGAACCTCCGTGTGATAGATTGCATTCTAAGCCGTTGTGTAAATACAAAGGTTTAATGTTTTTTTTTCTTCTAAGGCGACGTCATTAAGACGTGAGGGAAAGAAAGAGAACTAGCCGCAGCGCATTTAGGGCAAAAAACAGCACCTGTGGGCGCAGTGATGGAAGGGAAGCTCAAAAGACTGACACCTAATAAAGCACGAGGCTGCAGGAGCGTGCGTGTGCATGGCTGTTTGTTGGTGTCCATATACTTTTATCCAAGGTGATATTTATGCCCATAAACTACCGTCAGTATACCTGTCTTTGCTTGTAGTTGCATGTAAGCCCCCCCCCCCCCCCCCACGCCCCTCCTCGCTCTGCTTGCCTGTGTGGGTGTATGTTTACTACTGTGGTGTAGACCTGCGGCCCTGTGTGTGCAGCAGGGCTTTATTAAAGTTCTTCCCCTTGAAGCTGGGAAACTGTTTCTCTGACTTAGCAAAAGCCCCGCGGGGACAAGCGGGCCGCTCCTTGGGGCACTTTTGAGTTGAGTTCTGTCGCAGGCAGGCCTCACTCTGTCCATCACGCGGTTTATTAGTGGTGGAAGTAGAGAGGAAGTGCTGATGGTGACATTGTCCAATTGCAATCGCCTCGGGGCTGTTTCGAGAGAAAATTGGCTTTCACTTTCACCTCGTGATCAACTTGGAAATGATTTCTTAACTAAGCAGTGTTTTGCTGTGCTCTTCAGCTGATAATCGCCCGAGTGGTAAGAGCCCGGTGGGTACAGTGCAGGAGCCGCCGTCCAAGTTACCAGGTAAGACTCTCTTATATTCCAAGATGATTTTCTCCAATTATTGTATATATAGTGGAAATCTGATTTTATTTTCTGTATTTCTGGACGGGAAGCTTGATCAAAATACAATTCTGCTATATTTGAATCGACTTTTATCCAAATGATGGTCTGTGTGAGGTATCACAGCCTTGCTAAATCCGATTTCATCATCTCCTCTCCTCATTAAAAGCCTTTTTTCTTTCTGTCATCTGTATCCACCCTTTCGCTCTTTCAGTCCCTGCCGGTGTCTTTTCCAAGAACTCCCTCTGGAGGGGATCCTACGAGTACCTCGGGAAGAAGCAACCCGCTATGCTCAGCATCACCGCTTTCGAACCCTTTAGCAACCGTGTTAACGCGACACTCATCGACCACAGCGGAGTGGAACTCAAACTGGCTGGTTGGTGCACAAAAAGCAGAAGTCACTCTCAACACCTTCAAAACAATCACACAAACACACGCAGGAGACTTCACTGCGTTGGGGTTCCTACAAGCACACGATGTCAGATGAGATCCAGTGCAAAAGACAGAAAGCAGCCGGGCCGCTGCACGGAATAGATTGTGGAGCCACTGTCGTAGAATAGCAGACATTTACTTCTTTTTATCCGTAGCCGCATAACCACCATGCAGCTGTGATCGTTACGGCTCAAATTTGCATCTGTAAGGGCTTGGACACTTCACTCCTCGTGTACCTCGGCGCTATAAATCCTCATCACTCGTCACATCATTGTAGTGAAAACGATTCTTTACAGCTACAAATTGCCCCGCTCTCCAGTGGCAGTAATGTTGCTGATGCGTGTTTGCGGATAATTGTTGCTCCAAACTAACTGCCGGCCTGTTTTTCTTCTAGGTATTTATAAAAAGGAGGAAGCTCAGCTGCTGCTTCAGGTCCACCAGATCAGAGGCCCCGTGGAGATCTTTGTCAACAAGTTCAAAATAGACAACTGGGCCCTTGAAGGACATGTAAGTGCAAGTCCAGGGTTCGGGTTGCGCAAACTCTGTGTGGCTGCAAATGTACTCCATTCAAACACAAGAACGCATACACCTTTTATGTGATGCATGCACAAGCACACACACACACACACACACACACACACACACACACACACACTAACCTTGTCACTCTCGGGAGATGGAGGGCCCACCAAGAGTTTCTCTTTAATTAAAATGTCAGTTAAATCATTGCCTGGTAATCAGGACTCAACAGACCCCCTGCACCCCTCTCTCTTTAGTATTATCCCACAACCTCAGTCACCTATACCGCACACCCACTCCAGATATCATTTTTAAAAAGCAGATCACAGTATATATGTTTAAATGGGCGTGCTTCACAAGCCTCACGACTCTTTAGTGTTTACGTACAAGCAAGCGGAGTGTTCCTCTCGTGTGTAACGCGGCTGAGTGTGTTTATGTTTGTGCTCTTGAGCAGAAAACGTCATATTAAATGTCAGCTACGAGAGCGCCTCTCAGCTCCTTTGACATGATATTTCGGGTTCTCCGTGCACCAGCTGCTGACACTTTGATGAGACTTTCCTTTGTGAAGCCTGGATGTGACACACAGAGTGTCTGTCTTCCGTTCCTCTCTCTCTCTCTCCCTAGGTGTCCTACATCTCTTCATCCAACTCCTTTGTGTACCAGGGATTTGTCAGAGGAAAAGGCTTTAGCCAATTTGGTCTCCAAAGACTGGGTGAGTAAGCTGCCTGCTTGGTTATAGAAACCACTCAGACCAAGCTGTCTCTTGAGGAAAGACTGTTATTTTTTGTATTTTTTTCCCCCTGTCTAGATCTCTATCACAGAAAGCTCTCACTTCTAATATGCCTAGCGTTCTTAAGCTCAGTTGCGGTTGTGGTGTGCTGGATTTCTAATTGATGTACTTTCACAAAACAATTTTGGAGAGCGGGGCAAACCCGGTTCAATAACATGATTGATATTTAGAAAAAACACACCACACCTACCAAAAACCTCTCCTTCACAAATTGTGGGTAGTGTGTTGATGCTCACGGTTCCTTTGCCATGTCAAGTCACCTCACATCTCTCCGTTTGGATACAGTAAATACCATCTATTCTCTGCTGTGTGTCATTCCGTGGTTCCTTTAGTGACTTTAGCTATGCTGTCAAGGATATTGAACATTTTTTCAAAAGGCTGCAGCGATCCAAAAATGCTGCTTCATGTCCGTGACCTAAATAAATCCCACCCATATTATCCTCCCCGCTACAGTTTGTGCACCACGAGTTCTCACAGACCCGACTCCCTGGATCTGAATGTCTGCTGCAGTCGAGCAGTCTGCGTGTATGATTCTTTAACTTTTTGCTTTACTTTCTGGTTTGCTTCATTTTTTTTGCCAGAACATTGGTTTACTGCTGCCACCAGTATGTTTGCACAGAGAAAACTATCGAATTGATCTATTTTAGATGCTAATCAGCATCAGGGCCAATCATGTGCCGAAAGATCAAGAAAGGTTTTGGACTTTAAAACCTAATTTCTGATATGCATTAACTAGAAAATGGACTTGCTTGTTGGTTAATTCATTTTGTTCGTTCTTCATGTAGCCTGCATGGCCTTAGACTCTCTTAAGTCCCTGTAAGACAATGCGTTCAGGTAGAAATTCTCTAGATGAAAGAAATGGCTAAATCTGCTCTGACAATTTAAATTTGAACTAAATCCTTTACACTCCGATTTTTTAATTCCCTGTTCCATATGTGACATGCAGATAATGCTCACACTTCTGCTGTTTTCTTTTGCTAATGCTGTTGAAGTTGAAATATTTTACGAGACTTTTTAAAAGCAAAGCCCAGATTGCAGCGGCTTCCACGTTGGCTGCACGGCAGTCTCAAGAGCAGCAGTGCGGGTACCAAAATAGACGCAATATGGAATTGACTAACTTGGAATTAGTGCTAACACAGATTAAGTGTGCGTATGCACAGGCAAGGTTGTGTGAACATAATGGAAGTGGATGTGAAAATCTGCTGTAATGAGAGAGGTGCTTGAACAGCAGGTGCAGAACACCCCCCCACTCCCACCAGACCCCACACCCCTCTCCCAGCCACGGCACACTGATTGAGCAAACAGCTCTTTATTAATACTGAGGACTGGGGCCGGTGCCAGGGCATTTGTGTGCATGTGTGTTTAAGTGTGTATGAGTAAAGCGGATGGGAGGAGGGGTTTGGACGTCTTGAAAAACAAAAAAAATCAATTTGTCGAGGTTTTCCCGTTTGGTTTTTAACTCCGTGGAGGTGTAACTGCGACTGCAGTTGGGTTGCTCGAGTGCGTGTTTATGTGTCTGTGTGTGTTTGTGTGCATGGGTGTGCGAGTGAGCTCGAGCTCATGCAGCAGGGGGTTGATTTGAAACTCCACAGATTCCACTAATTCCTTCTTGTTTGTCACTCGGCCTTTCATTGGAGCTTTTTTGGCCTTCTGCGGCAAACAGGTGGGCTGCCGCTGCTCCGATGTAGCTGTTGCAGACACACACACTCACCTCCGTAAATTAGAGGATGAATCTGAAATGACTTAATGGCTTTTGGCGTATGATGTCAGTAATTAAGACTCATTGCTAGGATAATTGAATTTGACATTGCCGGGGGGAGAATGAAAATTCAGCATTGTCACATCATTTAAAAAGTCTCCTATATATAAGCAAAGCTTTCCTGGCAGGCCTCCTCAGCGTTTACAGGTAGTTTGATTTGCAGGTGAGGCGGGTTTCCTGTTTGTTTCTTTTAATTATTGTATTCGTGGGATATAATCATAATGCATATAATGTAAGTGATGCTAAACCAAGGACTCGATGTCGTCTGTCCCCCCCCCAGAGAGCTTAGATTCCAGCAAAGACAACACAGGCTACAACTTTGCATCCAACAGCAGTTCCGTGGCAGCAGCCATCCTAGTGCCTTTTATAGCCATGATCATCGCAGGCTTCGCTCTGTATCTCTACAAACACAGGTAAGGCTCGCAGTGTTGATCTATGTCACAGTACACCTGCAATCAACATTGTAACGTTGCTCAACTTACGAAGGGTCTCAAGCCAAAGTTAAATTTACCTCTGCAACGTTCGCCCCTCAGAATCCATTCATATCGTTCATGACAGTGGGAAGGACGGAAGTAGTAGGCTGTTTGATTCAGTATTTGCTTACACTGTCCCAATGGCAGACTGAGTGAGTCAGTGAGTGACCCACCGTGCAACAATTAGGTAATTAATCCATTGGTCGATTGATCAAAAAGCAAAACATTGATAGTGAATTGATGACAAGCGTTGGCTGGTTCTAGCTTCTTGAATGTGATTAAGATCTGATCCTTTTGGCATCCTGATATAAATTCAGATTCAATGTGTTTCAACTGTTGGTCAGGAAAAAACAGATCCTCAGTGATGTCACGGACTAGACTAATAACTGATGAATTAATTGAAAGGGTGATGATTTGTTGGGTTTCAGGAGAAGACCCAAAGTCCCCTTCAATGGTTACGTGGGCCACGAGAACACCAATGGACGCGCTACGTTTGAGAACCCCATGTATGACCGCAACATCCAACCCACCGACATCATGGCCAGTGAGACAGAGTTTACAGTCAGCACAGTGTGCACTGCTGTATAGCAACTTCTTCCCCCAGAGGTGAGAACCAAACACCACCACGCCACGCGGGTTCATGACGGAGCAGGGACGTAGAGCACCGGGCTTATGGATGTAGCGGAAGATATTGCCATGTGGCTGACTTCAGTTGATCTAAAAACATTCTTCTTCTGTATTTTTACTTTTGATTTGTATTTGCATTTGAAATTGTTTTTTTTATCTGGTTTGTTTATGCTTTATTCAAAGATAATGAACATGTTTTTTTGAATTTGTACTCTGATGAAAATATTACATTTATGGTTTTATCTTCTTTGGGATTATTTTACCTTCACTATCTCCCCATCTTTCTTTTTTCTGTGTTTTAATTTCTTTTAATTTGACTCTGTTCCTCACCTGTCGGCTACTATCTCTCGTCTTATCCTTTTCCCATGCTCAGTTAGGGGAGGAGAGGTGGACCACATAGCTTGCCTGCCAACTGAGGACATCCATAGTTCCTCGGGCCGAGGGCAAGACAAAGATCCTTTTATTTGCTGTAGTACATTCAAGAAACATCTCCAATGGCAAAGGCTCCGACCCGCAGCAGACGAGAAAAAAGTGGAACCACGTGAAGACAATAAGGACTGTAACAAAAGCCAACAACAAAATGCTTTTTGTAACTCTTCATGGTTTCTTGATACTTTTTCCATATTTCGAGGAGGAGCTTTGACCTGAAACTGCAGCCTGCAGGAGTACTGCTGGAAGCAAAGCTGTGATGGATTTTCTCACCTGCTTCGCCTGAACCCAAAGGGAATTGTATGGTCAACCATAAGTCTAGAAATTGACCTGTAGCTAACAAAGATCTCCGTGCAAGTCAACTGCACGGAGGACAACCACACGTCGGTCTGCTCGACTCGAAGAGAGACAGTCTGGACTGTTTTGATTCAAGCTTCTCTCTGTTTTCCATTTTTCTCATTTTGGGTTCTCTTTTTATACACTGCTTGCTTTCTGTGATGAATAACTGGAAACCCTGTAATTCCCGGACGGTCTGTTCCTGCAGCTGTCTGGAAGTGTTCGTAGGAGGCCCGTCAGTCTCTGGCTGTGAATGAGTTAAAAATTCACTACGTCATGATGCTCATTTGTTGAGGTTTCTTTGAAGCAGGAATGAAATCTGCCTGCGAAGGCAGCTGTGTCCAGAGGACATGTTAAAAGGTTGCAACGGCTGCTTTAGACAAAACGTGCACTTATGTGTACAGGTCAGTGAGACGTTTCCCCTTTGTCTTTTGGCCCCGAATCTACCCTGATACACAACTTTGCAAAATGTTCTCAACCATTATTTTCTTTGGAGTCATGACACTACCTGCAGGCCCTGTACATGGATAAAACAAAAGGATATCGGGAACAAATGCTGTTAAATTGACTAGGAAAAAGGTGTGTGAGCTTTTATCTGCTTCTCTCTGTTTTCAATGATTGACGTGCGATCTCTTTACATGTTTATGTCTGGAAGAGAAGACCAGACCTCAAGGAGGTGTGGAAAAGCAAATCCAACTCTTGTCTAACAAAATGGTAAAGAAGAGCTTATTATCTCACATTTGCTCCACATTGGCATCTGTTACAACTTTTCTGCCCATTTGGAGGAAAATCGCCTTGGTGAAAGTAGGCATGTCAACTACGATACATTACATTTCAGTGATGTGTAAATGTCTCGGGACCACATCTCTTTTTTCTCTTTGTTTCCAAAAGTCCCCCCCCCCCCCCAAAAAAAACTATTGCACCAAGCAATTGACAGAGAAACACGCGGCCCCTTGTTCTTTGGACATACAGAATTTTTGTCTAATGTTTCTGCAGCTTGAAGGTAATACGTACTGCATTCTCCCTGAGATGGAGTGTCAGCGTGAGCTCCTTTTAACTTGGCCTTAGGAAAACAAAGATCAAAGTGTGGCCGTGTTTGAACTCCCTCAAAATGTACAGCTGAAGGCCCCCCGAGTCTGAAGAATGGATTCCCAGTCAGATGTGTGTTTCTCCTGGATTACGCGCAGGTCTTTTTTTTCCTCCCAAGTTAACTTCTGACAGCTCAGGCCTTCTAGAAAAAAACACTGGGGTTGCTTTGCTTTTGTCGTCGCTCATGGTGGAAATGTTGCAGACGCTTCCCTCTGAGCTGTGACAGCCGAGGAGCTGCTCGCATACCAATTACTCCGATGCATTCAATTTGAAATGATAAATGTGATAAGAAAACCGCGTTCATGCTTCTGATGCCAGGGAGTGATACCCAGAAATATGGTTTGGAAAGTGCGACACAGGAGGAGACTGTCGATAACTATGAAAGGAGGAATCTACTTTGGCAGGTGGATGACATCACCAACGTGAAACAATCAGAACGCTAATGAATTTGTGACCCTTAAATTGTGTGTTTGTCGGTGTGTGTGTGTGTGTGTGTGTGTGTGTGTGTGTGAAAGCGTTTGAGTGGGTGGATTTATAAAAACACCTCCTCCCAGCTATCTGGCCCTCGCTCACCATCCCCATACATGTGTATTCATGCTGTAGAGGGTGAATAGTGCTCCGAACTTCACTGCAGCAAATTGAGCCATTACGTGCAATTTACTTTAATTTAGCCATGCCTCATTGTCATACCCATATTGAATCCTGAGTTCACCTTCGCATCATCACTGACAGGACAGGTCATCAGTTACGTAGTGTGGAAAACATCCATAGCTTCCTACCATGTAGTCTGTCTTTTAAGGGTTGGAAACTGGAACCGAAATTTTATTTGATATTTTTGTGTACATTTATAAATAAATGCAACAAAGTGACTTTCAGAGTCAAAATCAACCTCTGCAGAGTACCGACAGGTTTTCAAATGAAGTCTTTAAAGTCACCTAGAGTACATTGTTTCCCTTATGAATCCAGGCCTTTGAAACCAATCACTGTATTGTTCCTTCAATTAGATTTTCCATGGGTCAGTAATTGCTCATCCAGTTTTATTACTTTTAAAGCTCTCGCTTATCTCGACAGTGAGGATAGAATATTGCTCCTTTCTTGCTCTGGTTGAGAAGTGATGGAAAAGGAAACGATTGAATTACCCAGTGGATTTCATGAAAGGAGCTGTTGCACTCCCATTATCTTGAAGGCATTGTTACTCTGTCCGCATAGTTGCATGTGGCTGTTGCATTGTGTATTGTGCATTTCATTAGTTTTTGTTCCGAAATCGCACTAAATATTTCAGCAGTCGCTTCATTACGTTGCAGATAGTTTTTGTTAAGGCCACTTTGATGTGGTCTCCCCCCTCTGCTCATTCCTCCCGTGGCAACGTTTAGCACGCTTTATTGAGCTGCGTTGAGTTTAAAACAAACCAATAAGACACAATGCCCCCACTGACTAGAAGTAACTAATTATATTTGACTAGGTTTAGACTGTAGTTTTGGATAAACGTAATACAGAAGTATAAGCTCATGGCACTCTTTTTATTTCTCCCAAAAGGGCTCAAGAAATTCTAAAAATGGTTTTAAAGGGCCAGATTTTTACTTTTTTCAATGTTCCTTCCTCCTGTCTTTAATAAGCACTTTACATTCATCATAGTGCCTTGGTAAACCTGCTTAAGTGGCTCTATTTTTTCCAAACATCATATAATTACCAGAATTGGAGGCATTATAATGTTAGATGAATCTAATTTATCTTCCCGACCTGCATAACCCGGAGAGACATCCGTACTTTGCATCTGTGTTTATGAGCTGAGCCGAGCGTTTGGCTCATCCAAAAGGAGCAATGTGTTTATAAGTACTGTAACGTCTGGCTGATAATTAATTAAAGGTTCACCGAATTAGAATCTAGCGAAATTACCAAATGAAGACAAATGGTTTCAATCAGTCCCGGATGTTGCTTCATTTGGCTGCGCTACTTAGAAAAGTTTTTAATGGGGATGAAAATATTTTCAAAAATTCATGCTTGTAATTTTGCAGTATGGGGTTTTCCATTTAATGGGCACTACATCTATAGAAATACTTTTCTTTTTAACCCATCTGGGTTAGTCCGGAAAAGTTCTCAGAGAAAGTGCAGCGCAGTCGTTTGAAGATCTGTGGATTCTGGATTGAGAGTTTAAAGAGGCAAATTTCTTGATAGCGGCCGGCTACTTCCTGGTTCTCTTTGCATATTTTAAGACAGAAACTCTGATCATCCGAGGTTCATTTTCGTTATCGGCCAGACGCAGCTCCGAGTCGCCTCCTGCTCACCATCCCCTCTGTAACAAAAAACTCAGCGGGGCTGTGTGGCGTTCCAGTTCCCATCTAGCTCACTGAAATAGGCCCCGAACGCTTCTCATTTCTTTCTGCAGCTCGTGCTCTCGCTTTTCCGTGTGTAAGTGCACTGGAAGAACCGAGCAAACCCCTCGGGGCACGCTGTGTGTGCGCATCAACTATTATTTGTAATCTCCCATCTTCCATTGTCAACGCGTATGGACGGCTACGAATGAGCCCGAAATACTGCTGTGTTTTTCAGGCCCATTCCATGCAATTTGCCTCCTGCAGTGTCTCTAGTGGGCTCTAACATGGGGGGAAAGAGGGTAAGGAGATGTTTTTTTTTTCTTCTGTAAATGGAGATTAGAGAGTGGAACGGTAGTTTCATGATTTAGGATTAGGTCACTGGAGTTATTACTGACCAATTGCTGAATGTATTTCATTTTACCGATATCTGTATTCCTATAACTGCTCCTCTGTTTGTATACGGTGATCATAAGTTCATTCATATTTAGTGTTATACATACGTATTTACAGAGCTGCTTTTTATTACCAGAGACTTTACATTCCTGTATTTTTGTTATGGCAACACAGTTATTGCAAGGTCTTTTTCTTTTCTTTTTTTTTCATATTTTCATTTCAGCCCAATATATCTCTCTGCTAACCCGTAATTGAGACATAAACTCAGAAATAACACTGAAGCAGAAATCAACACGGCCCCTGGAACACCACGACAAAACAGTAAAAGACAGAAGTTCAGTGTGGATGTCTTGCTGCACACCAAAAGGTTACCTGTGAAGAAATGAATTAAAGTGGACTGGAGCAGACTGTGTGCAACCACAGAGAAGGAAAGTGTCTCGAAGAAAACTGAATATGTTGACAAATAAAAAAAAAAACCTTTTTGTACAGAGATATATTTTTGTGAAAATACATTTGTAATATAAAAAAGAAAAAATGAATTGACATATATGTAAATGTTTTTCTTTTTCATTATTGTAGTACAAATGCTAGCGGGGAGTATATGAAGAATCTCTCTATAAATAAATATATATAAATATATATATATAAATATATACAAAGAAAACTAGAAACAAGGCTTTTTGTATATGTAAAAAAGATTGTACATAAAAGTTTACATACATACTGTACATATGTAAGACCCACCATGGCTTGTCTGCAATATATAAAATGTATTTTATCCGTCTGTATATGATGCTTTGCATTGTGTCTAAGCTTATTCTACTTTCTTGAACTTGAAACTTATTTTGAAGGTTTTGGAATAAAATATAAAACCTACTTTTCCATTGTGGTGTTTATTGGCTGCATTGCTTTAGATTGATTGCTTTAGATTAATCCTTAATAAATGTTTCAGAGAGCAGGGAGAGTGCATTTGTTTTTAGAGAAAAGAAGGGCCTGTTGCTCACTAAATCTTCCATGATGGCAGCTCACTTTTTAGCTGGTCAACGTTAGTAATTTAATTTCTAATCTAATAGCAATCAGCTCTATTAACATGAAGTCACTGTGGGAAAAAAATACAGTTTCAGGTAACCTAGAATCTTTTTTATTTTAAAGCGGTTCAAATCTCAGTAGTTAACAAACTAAAAAATGCATTGTTGATCTACATAGCCACACTGTTTGTGCCTCTTTGTGCTTCATCATTTAATGTTTTGTATATTATGACAGTGGGAACTTAAACGCACGCCTCCAGAACTGCACTGCAGTAAAGTCGGTAATGGCAGCGCAAAATGCCTTTGTAGCTTTTAGAAGTACTAATAGACTGCAGACAATCTTGGTTTTATGGAGTATGATTTTCTCTTATAAAACCGGCTTTTTCCTTTAACCATCACAGGTCATTATTGCATTTAAGGTTCCCTTATTCACTTTTAAATTAAGGACGCAGGCAACCTGTGGTGGAATGTCTCTGTTTTTCCAGTAGAGCATTTTAAATCAAGAAAAAAAGAATTCATGCTGCTCTGAATAAGTGAGTCTGTTTGCGTGTGCGTGTGTGTGTGTGTGTGTGTGTGTGAGAGAGAGAGAGAGAGAGAGAGAGAGAGAGAGAGACTACTTTCACGTATTGGCATGGTTGGAGCCTTTTCTTGATTGATCGAATCAACAGCCATACACGGGTCATTAGTCACTCCTGTTCTCCCCACCAGGTTTCCCACGGCGATTAATCAAACCATGTCAAGTTGCCCTGACCTGCAGGCGCGTCCCCTCCCGGAGGCCAGGTAGCCCTTCGTCCTCGAGACTGGAGTTTTTATTGCCTCTGTGTTTGTATCCCAAGTCAGATGCGGGGTCTTAACTTAACCGCTGGTTAACTTTGTCACTGACTTGACGCCACGCAAAGATGAGACATTCATCGTCGCTTCTGTGACTGTCGGAAATGTCCCGATCAGTTTGCAGTTACTAGTATCTCTGTCCTCGTGGGATAGAGGGCTAATTTTTAGTCGCTCGTATTACACCATCTGGTACGACGTGAACGTCGGATTCACTGCTTCTCTCACGCTGTGCCACACAAACGGCTCCCTCGGGCCTTTTCAATATCAATGATTGAAATTTTGAGGAAAAAAGGAATGCGGGAGAAAATCTCCGCAGAGGTCCCGGGAGTGTCTTTAAGCCCCGAAGATGCCAGGCGACGTTGGGATTTGTCACTTTCATCACCGCACTGTAACAGTCGCACTCCAATCTCCCAGATGTTTCGGCAGCCATGTTCCCTTCGTTGCTGTTGTTAAGGAATAAGCAAATAAGCAAGCGCACCGCTACGCAGTGTGCAAACAAACTTCCCCGGATATCACAGGTTATGTGGGACAGGGATATTTTACTCCACAATACACATTCCCTTGTTTAATTAATCTCCCGGTATTTTGTTGATAGCGAGGTGAGGTGGGGCCATCTCTTTCCAGATACCGCCACTCAATTTCCCGCTCAAGCCGGGATATTCCAGGAGACATCAAAGCGAGAGGTTTACACGCGCAAATCCCCCCAGCGTGCCGGCCCGGGCCTCGGATAATATCAGGCAAAATCCACCCTCTGCTGTCCCACAAGACATCGGACCAAGGATGAAGGGATTGACAGATGAGAGGGAGAATATATTTTCCCCATCAGTTCAATTTGTCAGCGGGGGGGGGGCTTACTTCCTGCAGACGGAGCACCAATTATTAGAAGGAAATATCCGACCTCATTGAGATTTACAGTATGTAGTTGATCCAGGTACATTATAGCCTTATAATAATAATGTCAATTACAGAAATACTTTCTCTAATTAAATAACTTCAGTCAACTGATCCTTTTCTCTACCACACATCTATGTTTTCAATCGTCATCCAGTTGAAGCTGCAAACATGGGGGTAAAAATAAGGAAAAATGCCAATAGCAGTAACCTCCTCAACCCTTCACTGTTATGAATGCAGTGGATTTATAAAGAAATAAAGCAGAGGAAAGAACCGACTGATAATGTGCTTGCAAGTGTTTGGATATCAGAAAACCTCCTGATTAGATGTAATAATGAATTAGTTAAAAGAAAGCCTGAGCTCCATGATAACCATCAACAGTGAATCTCCAATTACTTCCATCCTGGGCTCATGACAATAGGACAATAACTAATAGGGAACTGTCAGAGCTCGTTGGCATAATAATAACAAAAGCTCATCAGGACGAGATGCACAAATGTGAAGCAGACCAACCAATCAGCCCTTTATCGTTCCTCTTCTTCCTTTGTATCCCCCACTCATTTCCAATCCTTTCTCAGTGAACTTGAAGCAAGTGGGCTTTCAATGTGACCATGCATTTGAGTCATTAGCACATTTGTGTAATTATCGGGATAATTAATGCCGAATCAGTGGGTAAAGAAAGCTATAGATGAGACCTGTGAGTGAGATGTTTTTGGTTGGATCATTTCCCACTCAACGTGTTATGACCAACGTCAAGATATGTTTACTGTATTATGTAAATGAACTATTATGCATTGTTCTCTTATTGAATTCGAGGTTTCTAGTAGAACGAGTTTGCATGATTTAATGGGCAAAAATCCCATAATCCCATGTAATATGGATGTGCACCAGCAGGAAAAAAAAACTTTTTTTTATATCAACTGATAATTGAGAAGAGGTTACCTGTAATAATAAACCTATGAGGAATTATTTCCCAAATCTCCAACTAAGCTTTACTCATTTTGGCCATTTGACTTTGACCTTAGACTATTTCTTTCCTCCCTCTCGTAGCGTCATTTTTGGCTTTTTCAGTGAAAACAGTCCTCATGAATCCAGTGTGGACTGACTGTTCAGCACACAATACACAGGTGAGTGACTGGAAACATGTTTGATCTGTCAGTGGTGGATTGGTTGTTGGAAAAGTATCAACGATGCAGACTACGAAAACACTCTTAGGGCTTTTAATGCAATAAGTAATTGTAGATGTATTCGTAGTGACTCACAAATTAAGAGATACCTGGCAAAAGTAGTAGAAATTGTCGTCATGGCCAACTATTATGCTATTCCTCTCTCAGGTCTCATGTATTCATTTTATTCTCTCCTTGGTGATAAAGGTTAGGAAAATACTATTTTTCACGAGAACAACTTTCATAGAATTTAATTTAGAAATGAATTAATTACAAATTTGTCCTTGACTCGGAGTCCCAGTTTCACTTTTTATGGAGAACATAATGGAGACTCCTCAGAAAACCTCGGAAAACAAGTCCGGCTGTTTCACCCAGAAAGACGACCACTGTGTGTCACATACCCAACGTGCTGTAAAATGTTTGGTTTCGTCTTGGTGTTTGTTCACTGTCCTCAAAGTGTCATTGCTAACAATGAGTCTGTGTGTTCAGATGCCAGAACAGTTCCACAGAGAGACAGGGATGTGGAGACCAAAGTGATGAAGTTCAGCTGCCTCTTTGATCTCCTGCATGTAAGTTTTCTTTTTCATCGTTCAGAAGAAAATGGGAAAACGTGAACATGAAGTTATTTCTAAGGCAATCATACCAATTCTGGAGGAGCATTTATTTTATTCCCTCCAAGATGTGATTGAAAATACCTGTGACTTGTGTTGTTTATTCATGCTTTAGATCTGGGTCATACACCTCAAAAATCTGCAGAGTAAGTTGCAGAATTGAATATACTGCTGATGTATGTGGATGTCCAACATGGAAGACTTTAGCTTAATGGTGCCAGAAGGTTTTGACCCATTCAAATGTTGGAGCGTTCGTTGCAGCATGCACCACATAGTCAGCATGCACAATCTCAGGTTCCAATGACTCTATTTCATATTTCCAACATATAACATGTTATTGTTCTCCATGAATGTCTCACGCAAAATCTAATTTTCCTAAAAATGGTCAGATCTGGATTCCAAGTGTAGGCTTACCTTCATCACTCATGTCATATATAGAATAAAATGTGATGACATTTTGAATAGACAAAGATGCAATCTGCAAAATTTGGAGGCATACAATTTCTAGTTGGTATTTCTGGCTATTTTTAGCGTATTCTCATAATATTGAGCAGCAACAAATGCAGTATTTTAAACTGTAAGTCCTCGTTTCCGTTCAGCATTTCTCAAGCCTGCTGTATGATTGTGTCATGAAAAGTGAAAACAATATTTTGCACCCACAATTCCAAACTCAGAGCATCATGTTAATGTGCACTACCTTGCACCTGGAGTATCCATAAATTGGATGGCAGCTGCTTTTGTTTGTCTCTCAAAATTTGATATACGTGTTACAATACAATGTCTGCTCAATTCTTCAGTTCTCACGTTTTAAACACAATACACAACTTAGTGGGAAGTAATCAGCTTTGTGTGGGGTCAATAATACCATCAGTTGAGCCCATTGTTAATTCTTAATGAGAATTGCTTAGCACTTGTACTCCCGCCCCGCTTGGAGTTGGAAGGAAGATGAATTATGAATAAGTCATCCATAAAACATCTACTTATTTATGGAGATTAGGGGATATTTAAAACATCGCTAATTCTATTCAAGGTATTTTGCCACACTCCCTGTAGCTAAGGCTTATTTCAGTTCACGTGAAAGACAAGTGGCAGGGAGCAATGCAAAGGTGGCAAAATTAATTAGCATGCATGTACAATTCTTTTTTTTTTTGCCTATTGCATTCCAAAAGCTATTGTCTAACTCATCTCGTTGGCCCTAGTTATTCTGTCTTCAACAAGTCTTGTGCCAATTTTTAAGATTCTCCACATAATTGCTGAGATAATCATTGACACTTTGCCCCAATCGCATTGCTCTCAGGCTCACAATGCTGATTTGTTTTTATTAAATAATTATAAACATATATAAATAT